TCACCCGCTCCAGGGGTTGGGCCAGAGAAGGGCGAGGGCAGAAACAAAAGCGCTCTACGGGTCTATCGGCGGGCTGGACGCAGACATGGAGAGCACGGCTGTTCCGCTCTGTCTCTTGCGCTGCATTGCGATGCGGCCGAAGGGGAAGAGAGAATGGAGATGATGCGCGAAAACAAGGTTGAACAAGAGGCGGGCGAACTGGCCGGGTCCGTAGGCCGGAGACCGAGCTCGCCGCATCAGGCCACTGGAGCTGGAGCCTTGCGGGAATGGAAGCCTGAAACGTGCTGAGGCACCCAGAGATATAGGGCGGAGTCAGGGCGCTGTGGGTGCTGTAGACAGGGCGCTGGTCCCCTGAAGGCACTGCACAGGGCAATTGGGCTTGGTGCTCGGACACTGCAGGTGCCCTGAGGATGTCGATCCCGGGGCTGGTTGATGTAATCGTGCGTCGGCTCTTTGTCAGCACATGCCCGCCATGATCGGATGCGCCTGACCGGAGCAGCGTGGGAGTGGCGCCAAGATCGGACGGAATCTGTTTAGATAATCAACGATTCATCGAGAACTTGATCACATCAAATGGCTACTGAATTATTTCTCCAGCCTCATTCAAGAATTGTGTCAGCAACTGCCTACAGTACCATATAATATCAACACGGAAGCCTCGCCTGTCCAACTGAGCCACGCTGACGCTGATGCCGGCTGTGGCATCTCTCCTCTTCCAATGCGCAAACCGCTGATGCGAATCCCCTACACTGACATCCTCCCGTCGCCCAGAATCATCCCGGCCTCGGCCCATTCCCTCCAAGGCGCCCTCGCCGCCCTGCACAACTTCTTCGCCGCCCCGCCGCCCAACTCGCTGCCCTCCTCGACCGTCGTCCTCACAGGCGCCGGGCTGTCCGTGGCTTCTGGCCTGGCCGACTACCGCGGGCCCAATGGCACGTACCGCGTCAACAAGACGTACCGCCCCATCTACTACAACGAGTTTGTACAGAATCACGAGGCCCGCAAGAGGTACTGGGCCAGGAGCTTTCTCGGCTGGACAAGCCTCCTCAAGGCAAAGCCGAATGCTGGCCATTATGCTATTAGAGACTTGGGAGACTTGGGCTTGATCAGCGCCGTCATCACGCAGAATGTCGATTCCTTCCACCCGAGAGCCCATCCCCATATCCCTTCCCTCGAACTCCATGGCTATCTGAGATCAACCTCCTGCACTACCTGCCGCACCGAGTATCCCCGCGACGAGTTTCAGCATCAATTGGCGCGGCTGAACCCTCGCTGGGCGGAGCTTCTCCAGGAGGCGCTGGCATCGGGAGCTCTCGATACTGAAGATCCGGACGAGAAGAAGTTCAGAGGCTTAAAGGTCAACCCGGATGGTGATGTTGACTTTCCTGATGCACCGTATACCACTTTTAGATACCCTCCCTGCCCTCGATGTCTGGCCGATCCGCCGATCAAGGCAGAGGGCTTCAGACACACAGTAAGGGTCGACAGCGACGGGGCATGGATTTTGCCGAGCTCCGCGGGGGTGTTGAAGCCGAATGTTGTCATGTTTGGGGAAAACATTCCCAACCAGGTTCGAACTGCGGCCGAGAATGCCATCGACAGCGCCGGGAGACTTCTCGTCCTGGGCACTTCGCTTGCCACCTATTCGGCGTGGAGGTTGGCCAAGAGAGCCAAGGATAGGGGCATGCCCATTGCCATCGTCAATATGGGTGGCGTCAGAGGAGAAGACCAGTTCTTCGCCGACGTTGATCCTAACCAAGCCGGCGAATTGGCTGTCCGCGTTGAGGTGTCGACTGACGATGTCCTCCCAGCTCTTGTATCTCAGCTTCGCCAGAGGCTAGCATCATCAGGCTCGCTGCCCATCGATGCCCCGCTTGGGAATCACGAGCGGGAAAACTCATCGCTCTTCAAAGATATGCTCTCATAGACATTGTAGATAAAATCAGCGCTGCACCATAAAAACCATTCAGAAGAAATTTCCGAAAGTGGCCGTCTTCGTCTTTACCGGAGCGGGGGATTCCGACTGCGGCTGCTGAGCGCTGAGAGATTGGCTTGTAGCCTTGGGCCGGGGTTCCGTCGGCTTCTGCTTGGGCTGCTTCTCGGAGCTCCGGGATGCTTCGTCGCGCTCAATCGCTTGCAGCACTGGCATCAATGTCAGTCACGGAACTGTCTTGCATCGATATCACCGTTGCCGTGAATCACTCACTTTCTTCCCACTCCGTCTCCTTCTGGGGATCGCCCGTGCCGAGAACCTTTTCGACATCCACGTCCTCTCCATTCTGTATGCGCTGCACCACTTCTCGAAGTTGGGCGAGTCTCAGCGACGACTGCCGCATGTATCGCTCCGTCTGGTTGCGCAGCGCAATCATCTGAATCGACATGGAGCCGATGAAGAGGAACATGACGATGAAGTACGTCGCCGGGTTCCAGTCCTTCTTCGCCTTCGCCTTGACCTTGTTGCGATTCTCCTTGCGCATCGGCTTAGGAATGAGAGACTTCCAGAACGATCCTTCGACGATGGTGTACGGTGCCGTGCTCGAAAATCGCAGCCCGAGTTTCGCATGCGCAAAGCTTTTGGCGGCAAAGCTGCTGGCAGCGATGCTGTTGGTGCCAATGGCAGCCATGGTCTGCCTTCCGGCGTGCAGCAGAAGCCGTTGAGCCGCCATTTCTCGCGCTCTTGTCTGGTGTCTCGTGGGTGTTGGAGTTGATGCTGAAGCTCTCTGAAACATGCACGCTCGCATGTGGTGGGAGGTTTTCTGAAATCCGGCGGATGTATGTACAAAGTACTCCGTGCCTGGTTCGGCTCGCAGCTCCGGAGCGGCGCTTGTCCGATGCCGGTCTGTTGCCCTTGACAACTTCCGATTTTTAGCCGCTCGAGCTTCAACTCGCATCCTTGCTCACCAACACAATCAGGCCCATTGATTGATTACATGCAACAGCACAGCACGAAATAGCCTTCACACTCATTTGTATAAGCAGCTTCGCGCCGGATGGCTCCGCCTCTTTTGGGTTTGGATTTTGGCACATTGGCACGGTATGATTAACACGATCCGGGCGGAGGAGAATAGTGCACATGGCTTCATCACAGGCAAAAGTCGACGCCGTCAAGGCGGCTGTTGCGTCGATATCGAGCTGCACGCCGGCAACAGTCGTAACGCTCAAAGAACTCCTGCTGCCAGAATCCGAATCGCAACCGCCGAGACCAAAGCCCGCCGCCTCACGATCCACAAAGGCTGGAGCCACGACGAAAACTAAGAGCGGTGCCGGAAGAGAAACCTCGAGCTCCCAGAGCGAGACGCTGAGTGCGCGTGAGAGGGCTGCTTTGGCCACCCACATCATCAATGTCACCCTCAAGACGCTGTCCGAGGCCGCGAAGCCTCAGCCTTTGCCTACGCCGTCGAAACAACCATCCGGCGACCTTCGAGAAGCAGCGGGCATGCAGTCGATTCGGAGATCCTCCTCGGCACCGCTGTCCCCCGTGCAGCCTCGAGCGCTCAATCGCCTTGCTGCGTCCTCCAACATCGAAGCGATCAACACGAAGTCACAAGCGCCAGCCCAATCGACGGGATGCCTTGCCACAGTAGAGTGCGCGCGACTTGCATTTTCTGCGCTCCGAAGCATCAAGGGCCCAACGAAGCCCGATGAGGCCGACTTTCAGCTGGAGACGGGCATGTCGGCGTTGGCAGGGAAGCTGCTGGCTTTGGGGATGCACGACCAAGCTCTCAAGGAGCTGAGAGTGCTGAAGCGAAGATTGGATACTACCATCACTGGGAAGCAGTCAAGCAATGCCAGGTCAGGGTCCGAGAGCGCGACGACGACATCGGCAATCGCCGATTTACTCAACCTCCAGGGCTCCATCACAAGACAGAGCCTGGCCACCATCACGGGCTACCAGATGCAGGTTCTGAAGCTGGTCGCCGCGACCAAAAAGCCCTCTCACATCGAAGCCATTCTCCCCTACCTCGCCGATTCGTACGCCTCGTCTCCGTTCAACCTCCTGTCCGCCCTCGCCAAAGACGGAGCCAAGGAAGCCGCAAAGGCGGCGCGCCAGATGGCCTCCTTGTCCCAAATTCTCCTGTCGCTTGCGCCCAGCATTTCTAGCCAGGAAGATGCTGTAGCTACCGAGCCCCGGCTGAGTCCATCTCCCAGAGCTGCTTTCGAACTGCAATCTCTAGCTTTCCGGATCCAGCTCAAATGGTGGAAACTGGCCGGTCATCAGGGCAAGATTGACAACGACGTGCTTTCGCCCTTCTCGCGCTGCATAAGAGCTTACACACGTCGCCAGAGATCAGACGACGGCTCCATCTACGAAAGAGTGTCCGAAGCATACGACGCCATCATGCAGCTTATTCATGCCCACCAATATCGTCCAGCAACATCATTTAACTCGCCTCTGGCATCAATACACCAAACTCTAGGGTCCATAGCCCAGGCTGAGCGCCGATATACCGAAGCCCACCGCTGGTTCCTGGAAGTGAAGAGCTCGCTCACTGCCGGACAGGAGTCATCTGTTCTCAGATGCTCCGTGTCTGCGCGCCTCCTTGCCGTGGCACTGAAGAAGTCCGATCTGGATCAAACGGTCGAGCCTCTGCTCTGCGAAGTCGTTGAAGGCTTAGACGGTAGCCTCAGCGGAACAATTGCAGAGCTGGATGAGCTTCTCGAGAGCCTGTCTCTCGCAAGGCGTTCAGTCGTCGGCCTCCTCATGACGTGCTTGGGGCCGAAAGCAGCCGAAAGCACCGTTCCGAAAGTCCTGATAAGCCACCTCAAGACGTACGTCCTGAAATATCCGCGGTTTGTGCGCCGATGGATAGGACTGCCGCCTGGCAAAGACGCACCGTCGAAGCAGGTCCTTCAGTTTGATCAGCGACGACAACAGGTTGCACAATCCATAGGCCAGACTCTGGATGCTACGCTGATGGTCCTCAAATGCGACATCCAGTCCGATTCCATGGAATGGCAAGCAGTCGATGATGTCCTCCAGCACTGCGTCTCGCTTCTCGAGTGCATGACTGCCTCTACCCTGTCCACCAATAGATTGGACAGTCTCGGCGGCTACTCCGTCAAGCTCTCCAGCCTTTACTTCCTCTATTTTTCTCAGCTTCGAAAGAAATCGGATCGATCCAAAGGCGAGAATAAGCACCTCCTGCAAGCCTTGCATCGCTCGATCGACGTGGTTAAGAACTGCACCGAAGCCGAGAAGGAGAAGGCGCAGCTTTCAACAAAGCTGGAGGTATTTGCTGATATGTGTAAGTCCTCCGGCAGGACCGATGATGCCATACAGGCGTTGCGTGCCATCTGTTCCAACATAGCCGAGAAGGGCGCATTGAGCGATGTTGCTGAAGCGCTCTCTGCTCAGCCTCCAAGCACAGCGTGGGCCATCAACGAGAGGGTATCGCTCATGTCACGCACTCTACGCTCCTTGTCCAGGTTTGACAGCTCATGGAACGAGTGGACGTTTCCCCTGCCAGAGGCTGAGCGTGCCGCAGTCTTGGAGCATCTGATATATCTCAATCTCTCTGGTTCCTCGACGCCTCTCGGGCTTCACGATGCGGGAGTCGCTGCGCTGCTTCGCCTTTACACCCTAGACAAGCATCCACTACGCCGCCTCCGTGTGTTGCTGCATCTCTGCTATCAGAACCTCGGCGAGGAGGAGCAGCTGGCCCAAATCCTTCCTCTGGCTGAGGAGACGTTGGAGTGTGTCGAGACCGGAGACAAGGCGGGAGACGCCGCACTGGTCCGATTTGTGCCCCATCTGAAGGCCTATTGCTTTTCCATATCTGCTCTGATACGTGTAGATGAAACCATGCCTACGCTGCTCAGTCAGGCGATTGACTCCTGGAAGTCCATGGTTGGAGCTTGCCAGACGCAAGACGAGCTGTTGACAATAATCGACGACCCTCAGGGCCTCCTGGACCACCTGCAGTCATTACACCAGCTTGCAGGTCTCAGGGGAGAGGCACGTCTCCAGCTTGCCATTTCGGAGCTTACCATCGCCGTATCCAGGGTCTTTGTTGGATCCACTGACGCCAACGGCGACAGATTGGTTCTCAGCCATAGTCATTTGGCAGCGCAATACGTACATATTGGGCTCTTCCCTCAGGCCCTCAAGACCCTGGAGGAAACTCAAGAGCTTATCAGCCGCTACGATGGCCTGTCGCGACAAGTCCAAGCCGAGTTCTACCTCTCGCAAGCAGAGTATCACACCGGTATTGGCGAGATGGAGACTGCGTAAGTTTTGCCGGATGCCACCTCGAAATACAAAGAACAAGGAGAAGCTAACACATCGCAGGCTCAACTACTTGTCCAAGGCCAGCGAGATCTGCAACGCCCCCTATTCTTCGTGGGCTCAGAGCAAGTCTCAGGCTTCAATGGTCATGTCCATCACCGCATTGCTGCAATCTATTGCTACTCTCCAAGCTGGGCAGCTGCAAGACGCACTATTATACGTCAAAACAAGCGTTCGACTACTCACTCACGATTGGACCAAACTCGAAGCAGCGATGGGGAGCGGCCCAAAGAATGCAGCAGATACGAGCCTGTCAGACTTGAACACTAGCATCACAGACTTGACTACTTCAAGGGGTAAAGCATCCGGCCCTCGGTTCTGGGCTCTGGCCAGCCCACTAATTCGAAGCCTCTTGCACATCTCGTCAGTGTACGCTCATATTGGCATGTTCCAAGAGACGATATACTATGCCGAGTCTGCTTGGAAGATTGCAGAGAGCACTCAATCCTCCCTCTACAAGTCACAAGTGGCCATCTGGACCGGCTCGGTCTACCTCAGGGCCGGGAAGCTGCCCAAAGCGCTGGCCACTTTCAAGGATGCAGAGGAGCAGCTACCACGCGATATCTGTTCCGCCCGCGTGCGGTTTGCTCGTCAACTCGGAGAATTCTATTGGGAGATTGGAGAAGACGAGAAAGCTGCCGGGTACCTGAAGATCGCTGAGGAGACTGCCCGTCTCCTGAGCACGGCCGTGAACGAGTCTGGCTGCAATGGCGATGAGGAACCCCCTGTTGCCTCAACCAGGACGACAAGGTCCACGAGAGCGACAAGGGCAAAAGCAGCTGCTGCCTTTGAGGGCCCAAAGCGCTCGGTCAAGGCGAAAGCTTCTCCTTTAGAAAATACTGTGCAGCTATCCAAGGACATATATTACGCCTCCCTCCACGCCGCCATCATCATGTCACGCACTCTAGGCCTGATTCATCAGAAAGACTGGAAATCGGCTCTGCAAGCGCTGGAACAACTGAAAGATCTTCCCAAACTTGTCAGTGTGCTGTCTCAAGAGCAGGTCCTGACAGCGGTGTCATTGATTGGCCACAGCATGGAGCAGATGACTTCCGATCCCGTCTTTTCTGTCATGCAGGATTCAACCATTTCCTTCCCGGCTGTCTCTGCGATGGTTCTGTCATCTCCCGTAAAGCAGTCGCTACTCAAGCCTGAAAGAGACCTCAGCTCTCCTGCCTTTGCCGATGCGTTGAGACAAGCACAGGAGGTTCTCATCGAAGCTCACGCCTCTGCCCTTTCGAGTGCCGACAGCAGCATGGTTCGTCGCATCTCTACGCTGCTCCAGAGCACCGTCATCTTCCTGTCAGCCACACTGGCTTCGTGCAAGTCTCTTTCTGAGCCAAGCTTGGGCACGATCGCTGTTGACATGGCTCGAAATGTCACCTGGCAGCGAGAGCAGCAGACGCTGGCTGGGCTCAATCACGATGCGGCCCCTATCCGGATTGCGACCTCAGTCCACAGGCCGCCCACGGCTGAGGCAATGGCCGACATGGCCAACTTTCAGGAGAACTACGTCGACTTGATCCCGGAGAAGTGGAGCGTCATCTCTGTTTCCCTGAGCGATAACCGCCATGATCTCTGTATCACTAAATTCCAAGCAGGCCAGGGTCCATTCATCTTACGCTTACCCTTGGAGCGAGCCAACTCTCGAGATGCCGATTCCGAGGTTTTCAACTTTGAACACGGCCGCGAGGAGCTGCTGGAGCTGATCAAGCTGGCCAACGAAAGCAGCCACTCTGCGCGAGATTTTACTGCGAAGGGAGAGCGAGGTGCTTGGTGGGCGGAGCGACAGGCTCTCGACTCTCGACTGAAGAAGCTCTTGGTCACCATCGAGACAACTTGGCTGGGAGGGTTCAAGGGCATATTCTCGCAGCATCGCAAACAGGCAGACCTGCTGGCACGCTTCCAGCGAGATTTCCACCAAATGCTGGACAGGACTCTGCCTTCTCGGAACAAGAGCCGGGGCAAGAAGACGACGATCAAGGCAGAGACGGTCACCTTGGATCCCCGAATCCTCGACCTGTTCATTGGCCTCGGCAACCCGACTGATCCCGACACAGACTTTGACGAGGCGATGAACGACCTGCTTTACTTTGTCGTGGATATCCTACAGTTTCACGGCGAGCGAAATGCTTACGACGAGATTGATTTCGACAGCATGGTTCTGGGGACGTACGATGCTCTGCGCGGATATCACAATGCCGCGGCCGGCTCTTCAGAGAGGGAGGAGGGCACGCACACGGTGCTTGTTCTCGACAAGCTGCTGCATGCGTTCCCTTGGGAGTCGCTGCCCTGCATGGATGGCCTCTCGGTGTCTCGAGTGCCGTCGCTCGCCTGTCTTCGTCAGCTCATTGAGGAGGCTGGTGGAGGAGGTCCGGCCAATGCATCGCAAGGCCACTTCGTGTCGGCAAAGGCTGGCACGTACATCCTCAATCCGTCGTCTGACCTGACCAACACCCAAACCTTCTTCCAGCCGGCTTTCTCAAGCCTTGCCTCGTGGACCGGCATCACCAACAAGGCGCCCAAGGAATCCGAATTCGAGCAAGCGCTGTCCACGGCTGAGATCATGGTGTACTTTGGCCACGGCAGCGGCGCTCAGTATATCCGCGGCAAGACGATCCGCCGCCTGGACAAGTGCAGGCCGGCGACGTTCCTCATGGGCTGCAGCTCCGCGGCCCTCACCGACGCGGGCGAGTTTGAGTGCTATGGTCCCGTGTGGAACTACATGATGGCCGGGTGTCCGGCCGTCGTCGGCACGCTGTGGGACGTGACGGATCGCGACATTGATCGGTTCGCCGGCAGGGCGTTTGAGGAATGGGGGCTCTTTGCCAGGGGCACCTTTGATATCTCATCGTCGTCATTGTCGTCTAGCAAGGGGAAGGACAGGGCTAAGAGCTCTGCCGAGGAGGTGGAACAAGTGATGGGGCTTGATAATGCTCCTGCTTCTTCTTCGTCTTCTGATCATGCTTCGCTCGCCGAGGCGGTAGCGAGGGCTAGAAGTGCGTGTCGCTTCAAGTATCTTAATGGCGCGGCGGTGGTTTTGTACGGAATTCCTGTTTATATTAGAAAGGAGTGAAATGGGCGACTTCTTGGACAATTGTGATGAGGTAACTGGGAGAAATGGCATTGGACAAAGTGTGGGTTTGGGTAAAGGAATGGAATAAGGATACCACATCACCCAAGGGGGGGGGGAATGGGAAAATGGCACATGACTTTCAATGAGAAAGGGAATGAGAATCACGACATGAATGACGACAAGACAGAAATCAACAACGAAGACGTTATAGCGTTTTTTGGAATAGATATATTTGAACATGGAAAGGCGAGAGAGAGAATGACACTGTCGATTGGCTTCTTTGTTCTTAGCACAGCGGTGAGGGAGTCTTGTTTGTTGTCTTTGAGCAGATAGATACACACAAGGAAAGGGGCACGCCGGCTCAATCATCTCTTCCGTCTGCGCAAGGTGGCGCTTCAGCATACCAACACTCGCTCCCTTTTCTTCGTAGATGAACAAAATAATAGGGTTACATCAAATAAAAACATAACAAATGTCCCAAGGCAGGTTTCGCCCGTCGAGTGCCTTTTGCCGTAACGAACCATGTCTTTTCCCCTGGGTATATATGGATAGATGTCCGTTTGATCCAATATCCGTCGTCCTGAAGCGCCATTTTCCATCCAAATGCTCCTTGTTTCCATCCATAGTCCAACATTTCGTGGTCAGTGATACAGACAGCAGTAGCTCCCAGCCGCCTAAAGAAAGGAAAAGCAAACAAAGCATAGCACAAATAGCAAACGCAGGACCACGCCGCAAATGGCGCCTGGGTGTAGTTCCTCTCCCGTAAAGAGGTGACGCGTCCCAGAGGTCTGTTTGAGCTCTTCATGTCTCCAGCCAAAACCTCAGATCGTGAAGCGTCATCGAAAGCGTACATCTGGCTGCTCCAGGCACATAGCTGCTATGCCACAGTGGGAGCATCATCAGTTATACGCCACCTTGGTGGTCGGCCATGAGCATTCCTCCGTCGCTGCCGAATAGGTTTGCAAAAGGATCTACGCTGCCGAATCCCATATCCTGGCCTGCCTCCAGCGAGAGAAACCATCCGGGAGACGCATCTGGGCCAAGGTATGGGTTCAGGCCATTGCTGTCCATCTGATCCTGGGCGTGTGCATGGTCGCTGCTCATGCTGCCAGCCTTCATGCTTTGCTGATTGTGGACTTGAGAAGTAGCCTGCGGGTTGCTCCCAGACATGTTTCCCCAGCCGCCAGATCCGTTCATCACAACGCCTCCAGCACCCATGGAGAATTCGTTGTAGGAGAGCTGCTTTCCCAGCGAATCCATCATGCCGTTGGGCTGCTCCAGGTTCATGGTAAGCAGATCTGTAGAAAAGAAGTTCTGCAAGGGCATGCTTTGGGCATATTGTGCGCCGGTGGCGGGGCTGATGGATGGCATGTTAGGGTATGTTGAGCTTTGAGGCTGCGATACGGTGAGAGGGTTGAAGGCGGATGGATTGGTAGCATGTATTCCCAGCGCGTCCGAAAACCTGGGTGGTTGTCGAGCATGCTGTTGCTGCTGTTGCTGTTGATGTTGCTGCTGCTGCTGTTGCTGGCGTTGCATGGCAAGCCTCATCTGCTCGTGAAGACGCTGCCCGCTCAACGCCGCCGATTGTTGCTCACTAGTCTTCTGCTGCTCCGCGTCGCCCGTGGTCGACACGGCTGGCTTCTTCAAGGGGGCTTTCCGCTTAGACGGCCCGGGTCGTGATCCGTCCTTTTCACTCATAACCGGTCCAACAGCCATGAAGAACTCTTCGATTGACTGCAGCTCTGGCTTCTGTTCCAGAACGCCATCCTCTCCCCGCTCCTTCTTCCTATACATGGCGGGATCCATATAATCCGTGTCCGAGACTCCGTGGGGATAGCGGTTGAACCAGTCGGAATATTGCAATATCGGTGACGACGCGGTGCTGCCATCACTCGGGCCGCCAGCGCGGGCGGCGTCGAGGGCATTGCGAAACTGGATGCGGATATTCTCTACCATCCAGTGGAACATGCCCCAGTACTTCATCATGCTACGCAGAAACTTCACGTTGACGCTAGAATTGGCCTCTGATGTAGCCTTCACCGCCGGGTTTCCGGAGAAGATGCCACTGATGTGAATGGTTGCTGAAGAGAAGGCGCAGTACCCGGCAAAAGGCGTCGCTATACTGCACTGAACCTCTTCCGCATCCCTGATGAGGTCTGATATCTTGTTAGCGGCCGCAAAGGTCTTGGCGTTGGCCTGCGAGACGAAGTCATCGGGCGCCTCCTCATCGACTCGCTCCTTGGAAAAGGAAACTGCAGCTTGGTACAGGAAGATGAAGTTTTGCTGGATGGCCATGTGCAGGTAAAGGAGATACTTCGCGGTGCTCTCTGCTCGGTGGATCTCGAGAGCCTCGCGGGTACACTGCAAGTTTTCGGGAAGACTGCGCAACAGCTCCTCGGTGGCTCTCACCAGCTTCGCATACTCAGAGCTTTCATTCCACATCGGATAAGGATCCTGCTCTCTGCCGCCCTGGTTCAGGTATGTGACGATTCGGCCCCAGATGGAGACGCATCGGATGATGTAGGCAGAGGCCCCCATGTTGTCGCGCGGCGTGTCCAGATGGCCTTGCTTGGTTGGCTCACAAGCCGGGGGGAGGCTGCCGTCGAGATATTCGGTACGCACCGGTATATCGAACTGGAAGTATTTCTCGGCGACGGGTAAGGGTATCTTGATGGACTCTTCTTTGATGAACACGGGCCGGTCTGTCCCAGACGAGTTGAAGCGATCCATGATGAAGCAGGCCCACATGACACGGCGACGGATTTCGCGGTCAATGAAACTTAGCTTGATCTTCTTGTTGCGCGACTGAGGATCATACTCCAGGTCTCTATGCAGATGGAGAGCAAATGCCATTCGAATAGCCTGCCCGCCCAGTGCCCACGCGCGGCCGCCGTGACACGTCCCGAATTCGTGCATTCCCAATATGAGAAGACAAGTCAGTATCGTGATATTCGGCCAGTCGTATCGTTTGGTGCAGATTTCCCTGGCATGAGAAGCCCATTCCTCTCCACGCATGAACTGCTTGGTGGCCGAGTTGAACTTTGGGCTGGAGGTGAAGCGCGCTGCAATGGCACACACAGAGAGGACGAGCACCGGCGGAAGGGTATCGTTCCTAATGGAGCCAATGTTAGCCGTTGTCATAATCGCGTAGTTGAGCGCGAGGGCGGAGGCTCAAGGGGGAGATGCGGCGTGAGCCATTGCCCCCCACAACAACGTGTCGTACTTTAGTTTGCGCATATAGCTTGGTTTATGAAGGAGATGGTAACATTGGCCGTAGACGTTGTCGAAGTAGACCTCGGCAAGATGCTCCTGGACGTCTTTAGGGGGGAGTGCCTCCCTGCCCTCGCGCAGCAGCTCGTTTTCCGCAGCTTCGCGAGATTCTGGCGTGTCGGCCAAATTGTCCTCCGGTAGCTTGGGTCTGGGTGCTTTGGCCCAGGCCTCGAGATCTCGGCCAAAGGCTTCGTCGACGTTGCGCTTCTTGGCGACAGCCTTACCAGACGCCATTGTGCTGGTACCAGGGATGGCGGGCTTGACAACGGCGCGAGGGATGGATGATATTGTATCTTGATCGGCTTTCGGCAATATCTTGATGATGCGCTCCTCCATGCGCTTAAGTCGCTTGTCGAGCATGGCCATGTAGTCGGTACGCGGAGCGGCTTTTCGGGTGGTAACCTTGTAGACGCACGGGATGCGTGATCTCATGCAGTGTTTGCAGGCGGGCTTTTCGCCAGAGCAACGTATCTTCTTGCGCCGACAGGCGATGCAGGCAAGCGGCAAGCGTTTCCGGTCCTTGCCAGCCTTGGTTTTCAGCTCACTCCAGGCCGGAGGTGCCAAGGACGGATCGCTCTTCGTTTTGCCCCCCAGGTCTGTACCGTCACCGCGATTCTGGTTCGAGGTGCCGAAGTCGTCATTTCCGTCATCGGTTATCGAGTTGGAGGCCGGAGTCGTTTTCTCCGCCAGGGAGCCGTTGGCCAGCTCTACGCTCGGCATCTGCTGATCGTGCATCGGTACGAACGACTGCCTCGTGATCCCGCTCATGGCATTCACGGTATGCGGCGACGGGACTGGGCCGATGGCGGCGGGCTGGTGCTGTGAGAATGGGTCCGCCTGGTTGTTATTGATGGCGGGCTGGTCGGGCATGTGGAGGTCGGGGATGGCGGAGAAGGGGAAGTTGAAATCACTGAAGTGAGGGTTAGCACCCATAATGTCGTCGGAGGGCATCTGGCGTTGCCCGCTTTCAGGAGGCTCTTGTCGGGCAAACAGCTGGGGCGCTTGGTCGAAGCTCTGGCGATGCGAGTTGCGGAACTGGCGCTGCATGCCGGCCCGGCCGTCCGACATGCTCGGGAGGTGGCCTACAGACCAAAGAGAACAAGCGATTCTCTCTGATTAGAAATGGAGGCAAGCAGCAGATCGAAGGGCCAATTGCTGGTCATTTCACGGGCCTAATGCTCTGATACAACAACAGTGCCGTATCTGCACACAGGGGGTCAAGAAAGCGCTGTTGCAGCTGTGCGCACACGGCTGGAATGCTGGGCTGCCGGAAGCTTCAAGGCGGATTGACTCTCCAGCAGCCAGAGTCCGAGATGATGGTGTGAGAGTCTGGACCAGGTCGATGCGAGGCGAGGTTTCAACAGGATATCGTGGACAGGAGCGAGTGAGGCGAGGAGAGCAATAGAGGGAGGAGAGGTGAAGATGACGGCGAAAATGGAGATGGTGTGGTATACAAGGTGGGATAAAAAGCTGTGCCCTGTAAGAGAGCAGATGAAAAGGCCAAACAGGAAAAAAAAGACAACCGCTTTCTTACGGCTACCTACTTGTACTAAGTAGGCACTATTTGCTGGGGAAACTCAACAGAGAGAAGGAACTGCTGGCAGATGAAGCCAAGCCGAGCAACGCAAGGTTGGGAAGGTGGGACAAGCAAAGACGGGCAAGAACACGACAGGGCAGGCGGATCTAGGAAGCCACAAGGCGTGGGTCAGCAGGCTCTCCGTACTTGCCGCGTATCGGTAAGGTCGCCTTGTGGTACCGGTACAGACGGGGGTACTCCAAGGTTGGCACCGGTGCTGACGCGACGCCTGGTCCGGCCGGGGGCTGCGTCTGCGTCCGCCAGAACGTGAATGCACGAAGCTGGGCGTGCGCGGTGCCGTTTTCGGACGAACGTTGAAGTTCCATCCTACCAGAAACCCTACCCAGGCCGGCGGTGGTTGCGTACGAGTACAGGTACAGGTACGGCGAGAGGTACGCGACGAGGTACGGCGGGCTCGGTTGTCGGTACTGCGGCGCTCCCTCTTCCGTTTCTGCAGCCATGAGCCTGGCAGGCCTTGGATCAATGGCAGGCCTCGTGGGCGGCCGCAAAGTTCAGTGGCCCCCTCTCATATGTGATGGGCGTGTGTAGGGCGGGAGTATCTCTGCTGTACTGGAGAGGCGGGCTAATGCAGACGGATGGATTCAATTCCCCTTCCCTAGTCCTCAGGCCTCGTTACGCATATGATGTCTTTTACTTGGGCAATCGTGTAATGAAATCCGTCACTTCCACTGCTGCAGTGCTCCTTTCCTGTTATAAGTACTCATTGCTGGGTAGGTAGTGAAGAATCTACAGTGTAAGTCTTCCTACTACTGCCTAGGTAGGTAGGAAGGCAGTGCATGTCCGTACGTTTAATACCGACATTGAAAACGAAGCCTTGTCTCTGGATGACTGAAATATCGATAGCAGCAACGGCCGACCCGTCCTTGGAGAGTTCGGGCTTGGGACCAGATCGGACAGTTAGGACAGAGGGTCTTCGACTCTGGTGGCACACAACCTGAAGCTGTGCGTCTGCAACGGGCTGCTGCTGCAAGGCCCCTGTGAGCACGTACGAACATTTCCTACATGCACATATAGCCAGCATTGCTCCAGGCTGAGACTCGACAAATTACACGTCGGTCTCTATCGACTTCGCAATTGAAAAACGGACAAGTACGATCATTCCAAATTATATATCTCCTGGGTGCTCAACGGCTCCATCAACCAGTTGCTCAGTTCCATGTTCCCTGCCTTTGCCAGCTACCTGGTCTGTACCTCTGCAGTGCAGCGGTTGCAGTGGGCGAAACTGGAGCCTGCAGACGCCACTAACCGCCTAGCGTGCGCCGCTGCAAATACCCCAGGCTGGCGCCTAATTGTGGGGTTTGAAACCGTCGAAACGGAGCTGGGGCCGCTGTCGAAAACGGTTGTCCCGAGCGCATGGACCTCTGTCCGTTGGTGCGCCTTTTTGTCTCAAGAAGCTGGTGGGTGGTGAAGGTGAAGCCATCGCCGTGCATGTGTGTGTGTGGGCGTGTGTTGCTCTGTGTCGGTGTCTGTGTCTTCATGGATGGCTATCTTATATATATAACATCTGCGCACGTACGACTGTCAGGCCGATATGTAGAGACCCGTGCATGCCTCCACGAAGATTAGGACAGTGCGAAGTCTACGATTTGAATCCGGACATATATTCACTCCAGACATTACCTTCCCCCAAGAACAGACAGACATACGTACATGTGGATAGATGGCCAAAGGGAAGATGGGACGGCGTGGGTATCAGAAAGCCGCCTCAAATGGATGCGGGAAAGGCGAGAGGCCCTCACCAAGCCAAAGCCTGTTGTCTCCAAGATTTCACGTTCTCTCCTCCACACCCTCCACTTATGGTCGGTAAACTAACCAGAATTCGCCTCGAAGACTCAATGCAGTGGCCAAGAGTCTCCATGATCGTCTACTTACTCCATGTCTATTGATCTGAGACACCAGGTGCTGAAATTGCGACCATATTGAGAACCTCAGGCCCAACAGCATGCAACATGGCAGACTATATATGCATGTTGCTTTAGATTCCTAACCTCCCAACACAGGGCCGGAGCAGAGACGGCGCGGAAGGGCTGAGCACGCAGTGGCATTGCCTAGATGGCCACGGGCTGCCACTAAAGCATCAAAATAGATAGGTTACTAAGGAAAGGCATCTTTATCTTTTGGTACCTCAGGACAGCACCTAGGTAGTTAGTAACACGTATGAAACTCCAGAAATGGCAAAGGGCGGCCTGCGATAGAGTCGAGGATCGCTCCGGGCACTCCGTCACAAGCAGGATCAAACCCAGTTCCCAACCTCAGGTGCAGGTGTTGAATAGGTACGTCACGTATGTACCTGATACGCGCACATACCTTAAAAAGGCACCATAGATGTCAGGCTCCGTCCTCTGTATCAGGGCAGGACGAGAGTCCGAGTGACAACGTAACGTTGAAGCTGAATATTAGCCATCCATCTCAAGGCCACCTCTATTCGTCCATTCGGCCGTTGAAGATGGTCATCAGGGAGGCCAGCGGTGGCTTCGAAATGTCCTCTAATAGTGGCTTTCTCACTTGGTGCTAATGGGGGGTTCAAATGCCTTACACATGACAGCGCTCCTGCTGCGCACTTCAACGCACGTCTGCCCCCTACAGCAACATATGGCATTTGGCCACTAGCAATGGGCGCCGGATGCTCAGCAACTAATATAGTGGCATCGCCTCATAGCCAATCCCTCCTCACCCATAGCCCAACGCCTGTCAACCGGGGGTGTGGCGGCTGAGTGGCCAGCTCTAGGGAGAACCGAGCCGATGATGACCTCGCTAGACCGGGCACGACCCGGAAGCTACTTGAAGCATACCTACCCAAGGGCACGACGTTCCTGTATAAAAGATCTTGAAGCTGTGACGAGTCCAGCCTGCGATTCTACACTGGACGTCGGTAAATTGTAACCCATGGAAGCAATAAGCCGACAAGGAGTCAAAGCCTTGTCAGCATTGAAAGGTGCGATTCATGTTGATAATGAGGACATGATACCCTGAGGTTTATGCTCAATAATTCCATGTAAGCGCGCCTTGCCTTTTCACTCCTTACAAGGCAGTGGTATCTTGTGCAACTGGTGTACGTTCAGTTACGCCGAGAAAGACGGTCCAAAAACAGTATACGGTAAGCTGGCTTGCATGGAAACACTTGGCTGCCGTTTTCATACAGTGCGGGAGTCTGGGCTTGCCTGATGGATGGACTCCAACAGTATCAAAGCTCCAGGGTTAGCAGATAAGGCTGCCGTTGACTGCCCAGTGCTTCCTTCCCCGGACTCACACCTGAAAGCATACCCACTTGCCGCCTCACACCCTAATACTATACCTGTCTCCAGCATGTGTCATGTAGGTACTTCACTCATAGCCATTCGACGATTCCTCCAGGCAAGGTACTTTCTCTGTACGAAGAAGTACTTTACACGAGTAAGGCACAGAGCGCCTTCCATGTTTCCCAACTGCCATGACGCTCCGAAAGCACCTGCAGTTTACGAGGTGAACCAAAAGGCTAAGTTAGTGAGGAAGGACCTAGCAGGTGCCTACCTACCTCCTCTAAACTTTGTCCTGAGCCTGTCATGTCATAAGTTCTTGGCATCGAGGACGTCTTGCTGACTGCGCACAAACTTCAACCTCCAAGCACAACCCATCGCAGGCGCCCCGGAGCTGCAAGGCGCGACAAGCGACCTCAGAGGTTTCAGTGCCTGCATGCACAGCGCTGCTTGGCACCACAACTAGCATCTGCACCGGCAACGCTTTTCCGCGATGTAGCGGCAGGGCCCCTGTTGGCGAGAGAGCACTAAGGCAAGCCACCTGGCAGGCCGTCCCGTGCTGCTGGACAGGTCTCCCACGCCTTCTGAGGTTAATTTTAAACGCAAGGCCCTCGTCTAGCAAAGAGTCCCTGCACCAAGTTGCAGGGGCGGCAGCACGTATGTACTGCCTGGGTCGAATCCTCGTTGCTGCAATGGATGTCAAGCCAGAGCGGCCAACTGACGACGCAGATCAAGGCATCCACCACGAGCGATCCCCCAGTCGATAAAGAGCGAGATGACCATCAAAATGGGTGCAAAGTATACGATACAAAGTGCTAACAGGCACGGTACTTTATGGAACAGGCTGTGAACAAGACAAGGAACCCCCACCTCCGAAGATCCAAGGACGCGATTCCGACTTACCAGCGGCTGCAACCTGACCCTGCTTGTACCTACATACATATGTACAGACCTTACTCGTACGCAGCAGACATGCCCCAGGTTCAGCCCCTGAGATCGTGACCTGACCTCTGGATTCAAGCACTTTCTCACGCGGCTGGGCAGAGACGGAGCACGAGAACGCCCTCTTTCGCTGCCCTTGCGATTGATATCTGGCGGTTGGGCACGCTCTTCTTGCCCAAATCAGCACAAAGCCAAACAACCAGAGACGACTGGAGGATCCGGGATTCAATTTCCCACGGCCTTGCAATACAAGTACCGGCAACGTTCCGAAAGCCAACACAGACATGTAAGACTGAATGGCCAGCAAACCAACATCACGGTCCAGGGGTGTTGGGTTCAACACAGAACCAGTGTCGAGGCGGGGATAAGGCATCCCCTGTCATACATAACTTACTGGCACCCGACTCTGGGTAGAGCCGAAGCTACTGGCTGCAGCGGTCGAGACTCGGGTCAGATCGCAATGGCGTCCTCCTCCTTGGCTCATACTTTTGTTGATCTACAGTGTTGCATACCTGGTGTTCTTGACCGGGGATTTTGCCAACTTCTCCACTGACAGACGTTCAGAATCACTAACAGAATGAGTGGTGGTAAAGGAGCCAAGCTCCCAGCTCCGCTGACCCTGCGGACATCTGAACAGCGTTCCTCGACATGTGGAGGCTCCCAAGAAGAAAAACAGCGTCTTTAATACTATCCGGTTTGGTAGGGCTTCGTCTGTGGCAGCCAGAGTCTGCAAAGAGGCTGGCTTGCATGGCTGGATCTGCCGCACTCATTCGACTGTCAAAGCACATATCCTTCAAATATTCCTACCCCCGATGAACGGCCACACCTGGCTGATCCCCCCTTTGAACCGCAAGGATGTCTCTTGCGGCAGGCCGTTATCACCGTTACATGTGGAATCCTGCGGGATACGGAACACGGAACATGGGACATCCTGCAGTCGATATCTGGCCTTGCGTCCGACAGCTATGGCTGTCCATGTCATTTTTGCAGTGTTTCATTTCAGCAGCCACCTGGACCATTCTCCGGGAGAATAGCCCAGCTTCTTTTTAGAACCCTACCCGCAAGTAACCGAGCCACGCCGGATCCCGGAGCTTCTGACGCCGACTTACGAAGCCCTTCGTTCGAATTTCAAATCTGGGATGCTGATACCAACGATCAACGGGGCAGCGGTTGAGGTCAGTCAACACCGCTACCAGCCTACCCCGCAGCTTCACTCGCAATCATCTGCAAGGCATCGGCTTTCCGTGTTCCCAAATTGCAATCGAGCATGAGTTGTGGCCATATTCTTTGCTCCTTCCTGTGTATGTGGGAGCCTATGCCCACACAAGGCCACAGCTCTTTACGAACGGACCATACCTAGAGAACAGGCGATAGCCAACGATATCCTCTATGTAGTTGGTTGTCAAAGGATGCGGACAGATATCGTGACCTACTTGGGCATCTTACAGAACAGATCCAGTCTCTTTGGCGTTATCCCACGTGAACGTCCGGCGCTGTTGCTCCCGCAAGTGAGTCCAGCGAACCACAGGACGGGCAAACGCAATCGAACAAAGCCTAGCCCCTCATCCAGGCTGTTCCCCCGCATATGCGTCATCTCTGGTTTGCCCTGGCATGGATATCTCGAGCACGCATCTTGCTCTTGAAGACTGGATTGGCGGACTCTGTTTGACCAAGTCGATGACTGCAGTTCTATCACAGGGGGCAATTCGTATTACGCCGTCAACGATTCCAGCCTGCCTCGCTCCATATCTGCTACCACTATGGGATATAGCTACATTCGCGGACGCCATCATGCAAAAGCCAATGCTACATGCTTCACGGAAGGTTAGTCTTTTGTCCGATTATTCATGGATCGTTCATCATATCTCTGGCTGATACACTGCCTCTCGGGTCCCCGCCTCGATGCTCACATATCACTCTTGTGGCACAAAGCTGCAGTAGGGTTTGACGCTATCCCACTGCTACGCCGACTCGAGCAGACAACTTCCCGCAAGAACCCAAGCAAGTGTCAATGAAAGAATTATGTCTTTGTTCTCCTGCCTAGTCAACTTGTTAGACGTCTATGTTACTGCCAACAAGGGGCTTTGCTATTGAGAGACTACACAGCTCCGCAGCACGTGTATTCAGCGTCCTACGAAATCTCCGAGCTTGTCAACTATTTAGTACATGCTAACCCACTTCCGCTCACCATACCAAGCCAGGCCTATTCCAAGGTCATCATCATCTCACCTACGGTTAGCATGTCTCATCCTGTGCAAATAAAAAAGAGAGATTACAGGCAACCTTGCCTTTTGTCCTTTTAGCCTCGCCTGTGCATTCCGCAGCAGCAAGGGAACGAATTCCGCCATCTATTCGATGCATGCAACCCTTGCCTATGAAGTACAACACCAGGATGTCATAGCTGCTTCTCTTCGGTCATGTCTAACCTGATTTGTGACCATTCGTAGGCAGTATCTGAGTTGACCAGTGCTTCTTCCACCGGTGTATTGACGACATCTCAAACGTGGTCGAACAAAGGATAACGCCCGCCATCCTCGGCTCTGGTGAGCACCGAGACCCTTCTTTTGCTCTCTAGAGCAGTTCCAAAGACCCCATTAGTAGGTGGAACAACTCAACTGAAACGGAGCACCAGAACGGTTACGCTTCTGGATCCAGCTCCGTTATCCACCTTTGCCCGACCGCCCCCGCGAATAACCCTAGCCTATGCAGTCAAGGCAGGGCAAAATGCAGCAGACAGCAAGGCTAACGGCAGCAACTTCACCGACTTGCAAGCGTGGATGGGAATGGAATCCTTACCCTCGCTCAATGTTCGTCCCCTTTGCTTGCGTCCCCCACGGTCTAAAGCGCAAAGGGCTCGTATCACGAGGCACTGCATAGACTTTTAGGCTCTACCACACACAGACTACCTGGCTTTTTGCCGGCCCGGGGTCCAAACGAGGTTGCGTTCCGGGAATCGAGATACAGCTCTTATACGAGGCTCATCTAGTTAGCACAGGGCTAACGTGTTCGTCGTTTTCAACACTTTGTATACCACGCTGGCTATTGACATAGGAAGCACCTATGCCAGGACTGCTACCTATGACCGTTTTCAAGGAATTCCGGTGGCACGCACGCTCTCTGATATCTAGGAGTCAGTATCAGTCGCTTTGGCGCGCATCAACGAATGGAATAAAGAAGAGAAGCAGTCGGGCTGGAGGCTTGGGGTCCAACCTCGGAGAAGTTCCGATATCCCGCAGCTAAGATTGCCAGGTATGCATTGCATGCTTCCTACAAGTACGGGTTTGTAACCAGCTTCGACTTGCACGCCGAATTCTTGTTCAGGCCGTTTTGCATGTGCCGAATGTTGACGCCTTTTCCATGGATTGTCCGGGCACAATGATAAAGAAACGAACTACAAAGGACGGCGTTGGCCACAGACGAAACGGTAGGGCAAACAGGGATTTTCTTTTACCCTTGGCTGTTGATTGTACCCGCTGCTGTATCTTCCCTAGAGAGTGATCTAGTAATGCTGCATCAGCCCTGTCACTCAGGAAGGATTCGCATACATGCAGTATGTAAGCGCAAGATGCTACCTGTCATTGCTGCGTGTACCCGGTGTGAGGAGCAGTCAGTACGAAATCGTACATGCCTGCATTACATTACAAGCCAGGCTCTCCAACCGCACGGATTACGGAAAGGAAAAGGGAAGAAGCAAAAGGAATAATACCATTCCGGACCCCAAACGTCCAGGCGAATGATGGCTCATCCCAAACCACGCCCTCCCTCTACCTCGCTCTCTATCGCCCTCCCCCTTTCTGCTGTTTGTCTATCAGGAGAGTTTCTCCGCGCCAATGAGGACATGGCGAGAACTTTTTGGTTCCTATGTTGTCCATATTGGGTGGTAGATGTAGGTAATTCAGAGCAGGTCATATTACTAGTATTACGAAGTGCCTTATGAGGAAGTGGAAAGAGTGTAAAGGAGGGAAATGGCAAACACAGGAATAGAGACGGAAGCAAAACAGGCAATTCACTTCTATACTTATCTGCCAAAATGGAGATGGTCGCCAGAATGACCCATCATTGTATCGACATCCTCCTGAGTCCTTGAACTGATAATACCGTTCGGAGAAACATGAACCCAACCAAAGAAGACAAGATGAAAAAAGCAGTACCTAAGCATCCAGGGCTCAGGAGAATTGCAACCGAAATACCGGACAATTAACATACCTTGCCTTGCCTCTTCCTTCAAGCAAGGGTCCCCCCCAATGTCAATTCCAAGGACAAGGACAAGGACAAAAGAGAAGCCTTGAAGGCAAAAAGCAACGCGGATTCGTGCCTATTGTGGCAAAACCCCAGTAAGCAGCTAAAGCATAAAACCCAAGGTGAAAAAAAAGTTCCCTCAGCAGAGCTTTGCCCCCCCTCTGGTCAGACTGCCAGCATCCCAGCCCCAGAGTTATCACCTACTCTACTGGGTACGCAGAGCATAGAAGCATTACTATTACGCCGAAAGGATCAGTTACCTACATACAACCTACAACGTACAAACCCAGCCAAAAACCAGCCTCACCCGAAAGCGGAAACACACACATACGCAAAGGGGAATAAGCACTCCGTACAGTAACTACCTTACGAGATAGGCAGATCGACGAAGAGGACCACCTGGGAAGCAAAAAAAGGAACACCATCGCCCATTGGCTTCCTATACGAGCGTCAACTGGCGCTGGCGATGGGACGGGCCGTTCGATTAACAGATGAGTACTCGTAGTTTCCACTACCTAGGTACATGTAGGTCAGGGCAAGGTTTATAGGCATGTGAAAAGAAGAAGAGAGAACCCTTGCGCAACTGATAGAGCAGTTGTCCAATCGGCGTTCCCTGCTGGTCGCTCCGCCAAGTTGCTGCGAATTGCTTCTCCAGGATCAGCGCTAGGATGAAGTTGAGGTAAATGATAGGTAGACTTCTGACAAGGCCCCTCTCGTATTTCTGTCTCCCCCACGGACGACAACTCGGCGAAAAGACGACAATGCGCAAGGCAAAGCAGTCGGTCAACATCGTCCATTGGGCAGTCCCTGCATGAGATCGCCGTTCCCAAGAGCCCAGCATGTTGCCTGGCTTGCATGAGTTAAAACTATCAACCAAGATGCTTAACCAAGCGTCAGGGGTATAACAAGTTGAAGAGTCTCGCTCCAGGCCTGCTCAACTATGTCTCCATAGAATCATGACCTCGGCCCACAGGAATATGTACATCAGCCAAAGAAACAAGTGCCGCCCATATCTATGATTTCGCTATACCGAATGAACGCTAACAATGTTTGCTCAAAAGCTCCACGACAAAACGTGGAGTTGCCTCCAGGTACGAAGTGTGTGGGGGGCCACCATGCTGTTCAGACTTGGCCGAAAACTGTAATGCCATCCTTGACGGACTGTGTTCTCTGGACTTCAACCTCCTCGAGCTCGTATCGGGCATCCTTCGCAAGAATGCGGTCTCTGTGCCAAGGGCCCAGGAACATACCTTGTGGATCGGCAGCGTCTCTGATTTGTCTGAACTTGTCGAGGTCATCGCCGTACATGTGTTCAATTTCCGGACGAAAGGTTTCAAAGTTCTTGGCCCAATGCGGCTTGCCGCCCATATCCTTCATCAGCCATTCAAAGGCTTGATAGTAACGTTCCCGGCAGGGTGGATCGCGCAAGTAAGGGCGATACAGAGTCGCATTGAGGTACAATGTCGGGCCATCCTTGACAGTTGGGTCAAGGAGAGGTCGGGCGTTTGAAGTCAGAGTTGTGTCGCTGACACGCACCTCAACTGGCGCGTGGACATAGAGCCCCTCGGCGGAAAAGGGGATGCTGTGCGGTACATAGTCCGGGTCGCTAGGAGAGAGTTGGTTGAGCCATGAGCTCAGTCTGCGGAGTGCCTCGGGCCCCTTGTGCAGGGGAATAGCCCACTCGTTGACAAACTGGGAGTAGAGGCAATTCATCAACAGCGCTTTGCGGCTTGGCTGGACAGCACTCGTGGTGGAGCCGTTGGCAAACCCATACTGCATGCCGAAGACAAACCACTCGACCCAGGGCAGGATGCGAGGGAAAGACTGCGCAAGGTAGAGAAGGTTGTGATAGACGTAGTAGCCGAGGGCCCCATCATAGTAGCTCACGGGAGGCTCGCGGTGCTCCTCGGTTGTCTGATCAGCCTGCCAGACCACCGCTCGCCGTGTATAAGGGAACCACCAGACCCGGACAAACTCGCTCTGGGTCCACAAGTCCTTGGACCATGAGTCGAAGACTTTCAGGTCTGTATCGATGGTCTGCTTCCACCGAAGATCAAAGGCTGGGACAGCCTGGAAGGTGATCTCTGAGATGATGCCCAGTGAGCCAAGCGAGAGCAGCGCGGCTTGGAAAAGGTCAGAGTTTTGGTCTCTGGAGCAGTCCTGGGTGGTGCCATTGGCGAGGGTGATTTTGAGAGACAGAACATCCTCAGACATGAGGCCGTGGCGGACGCTGCTGCCATGCGTTCCTGTAGAGATGGCGCCGGCAATGGATTGCTGGTTGATGCTGCCCAGGTTTGGCATGGCCCAGCCGTGGCGCTCAAGTTCCTCACACAGCGTGTACAGGCGGATGCCGCTCTGCATCACCACGACGCCGGTCTTGGGGTCGAGGGAGAGGATCTTGTTGTACTTGTCCAGGTTGACCAGCCAGCTCGAGGTGAGGGCGATGTTGGAAGGCGAGTGGCCACATCCCACCGTCACGACTCGCTTGCGATATCTGTGTGCAAGATTGACCACATGTTCGATTTCGGGCAGCGACTGGGGCTGCACGTAGACATCTGCGATGCAAGAAAAGGTGCGCGCCCAGGTGCGGTGCGTATGCTTGGAGACGGAGCGGAAGGGAATGTCCTGGGTCGCCTGGTTGCCATCGCTTTCTGGTGCGAGAGGCGCGAGAGGCTGCATGTTTGCGAGCTTCGCAGGATATTGATGGCTTCTCGTTTTCGTTCCCTGTTGTTTCTCCCTTATTCCCTCAGCTCATCCATTGACTTCGGGTAAGGTACGAAGGACGGGAGGAGATTGAGAGACGGCGACTCCGATAACCGCTGTCAGGATTCCAAAGACAGATTGATAATAATAGAGCAGTAGCTTGATAGGGTTGATCACGCAATTTGTTTGCTCCTATGGAAAATGCTGGTTCAACGACAGCACTTGTTTGGTGCGACCAAAATTTCGGTTTGTCAAGAGGAGGGGGATGTAAATGAGGAGATAATTGCGTGAGAGAAAATGAGGAGAGCCATGATTCATTTCACAGTTGGCCAGAGAAAGAGCCGTTTCGCAGTCGTGGTTTCCATGATTGCAACGATAATCAATGATTTTTACAGCTTTTGAGTTAGACCGAGTTTGGATTTGTCACAGTAATCAATCGCCAGCCCTGGGAAGGAAGGACTGAGAGCTGTTTGGCCACCCACCGGATAAGGGTCTAGACTTTAGATCTGCGAAAAATCTCTCTGGACCCTGCATCGGAGCTACTCAAACCTCCGAGCTCAGCCATTCCTGCGCTAATAATCTGACGTGTCTCGATGAACAACACCGAGAGAAAGCGCGGTGGCCATCTATTTGCCAGCAACCATGTGAGGCTTCAGAGAGAGGTTGATGAGGTTTTGTATCACTTGAGCTCCTCATTTGCCTGTGATGCATCACAGACGTTTGTCGTCGCTTCGCCAGCCTTCGGTGAAACAGCATCCCCAAGCCACATGGAGACAACGACACGTGAAAAAGGGTCCAAAGCCGTTCCTGGCCGCAATTGGCAAAGCTGTCTGAGTCGTTCGATTCTCAACCCAAGCTAGAAGCGCTTCTCTAACCCTCTCTCTTCTCTCCAATGATTTGCGTAATATCTAGAAACCCGGTGGTCCTGGATGCTATCTTGTTCTCAGAAGACAACGATAATTGCCTTCAACCCTGACCCAAGAAGCTGGTATCATCGCTCCATCCTTCTCAGATCAAACGGCTGCAACCGCTTCAAGCCTGCACTCCCTCGACACCATCCATCATTGGTGCCCGCAGGAAAGACGTCTGATGCACAAAAGCAACTGCCATCAGTAATTTCTCCAAACTCCTGCAGCAAGAACTCTCGAACCACCACAAGTGTGGGAACACGTGGGTTCACCAAAATGCCATTGGCGTGGCGCCGGATTTTTTTTCCACCTCTGGAGCGCCATGGCATGTCCTCGGACCGCTCCCGAATTCCCACCATGATGTGCTATTGATTTGCGCTCGCTTATGTACCATGTTGCTTTTTGTCGCTTGATACGCCCCGCTTCTAGAGGGCGTTTGTAGATCAGTTCGTGTGACAGCAAGGTTTGAGGGTCATGTACGGAGTAACCCACTTCAAGTCTTGGGGGATCCGACGAGAGGTTGGGACTTTGCTCTTAGTGATGACTTTATAGACGTGTATTGACTCGTGCATCTCCAACAGCTCTTACGAGCCTCATCCCCAATGCCCGCTTGGCTAAGCGGTATAGCGTGTCACTAGTAACTACTTGACATGACAAGGTGATCAGTTCGACTCTGATAGTGGGCATCTTTTTTTGCTCTCGTTGCGTATCATTTTGCCAGTCGTTTGAAATGGTTGTGAATGATAGAAGAGGTGTTGGAGCGTGCAGATAGATTGAATTCGCGGGCCCAGGTTTGCTATACTGAAAGTGCTGTATTTCTATGTACCCCAAACGCTAAATCTAATAAGGCAAAAGGAGAAGAGAAAGCTCTATCGTTGCTGTTGCCAGGTTGTTGTTCTGCCCATCTTGTGTCACATCTTCACATTCGCCATAAACTCCTGATTATTCGCAAACACGTGGTAAGCAAGATCCCCCCTACACCATCTTAATACCTTCATTTTCAACTTCCTGCTCCTAGAGCTCCACGACAAGAGGATCCTCTCCTCGCAGAACCCTCCAGTTATTGGCAGCAGCCACCACATCTGGACACCCTTGAAGCAGGAAGCCCCATTTTGTGATGAACTTCTCCGTAAACTCCCAGCCGGTGATCTCCCATGGATCCGACCATGAGAGGATGCCGGTTTCGGCAGCGCACGGGGGTGTGTAAGTCCTTAGGGTATACTCTTGCTCTGGAGTCAGTCCCAGTGGTCTTTCACCGACTTCCTTGCCATCTTCCGACCCGCTGCTCGACGATGACGTTGATTCGTCGTCGTACACACAACCGATGGCTTCGAAGATGTCCCCAATCAGATCTGCCAGCAGGTCTTCTTCATCAACGTTAAACTCCTCTATTGCCAAAATGAGGTTGTCCCGCAGCTGAGGTGACGGAAGGAGGTCGATCCAGCCGGGGTGGGGAACTACCTGCTGCAGCTCCGTGGGAGTAAACGACGGAGGGATAGCAGGAGTGCCATCGAGGTTCTGAGGCGCCAGGGCCAGGTCGCTAAGCGCAAAGACGCGGCGGCTGTCACACATGCTAGCCGCTATAGGCGTGATGCTACATAGGATGAAGTAGTTTGTGATGACAGCCCGGGAGACGTTGAGGACGATGACGTAGAGCAGCTTGTGGTCGGGGGTGAGAGGGAAGTAGACTTGATCGGAAGGGTACACGTGCTTCTGCCGCTGGCATCCAGTAGTAGGAGCAGACGCCGGTGCGCCTGGATGTGGTAGTACGGCCGTTGACTTTGATTCGTGCTCCTGAACGAGGTTCAACCTCTGCCGACGGCCTAGATTGAGAGCGACCGGTTAGTGAGTTCGGTTATATCGTGTACAAGAATAACCAAGAAGAAGAACAATCATATAAAAGAGGGACCGGGGACGGGGTATTTCCTACGAGCAGCCCTCTGGTTGATCCTGTTTTGTCTCTTCCTTCTCTCCTTGGCATCCTTCAGCCCTGACCAGTCGTCTTTTTCATCAAGCTTCTGTTGGATCACTCCTGATTCAGCTCTTCTGCCAACCTTGTCGAGAGCCAAGATGATCCACCGAGGTTCATGTTGACAAACAAACTCACCTCGTCCCGCAAGGGCACTAGACGGAATCTCTGAAAAGTTGCCATCGTTTCACAGCTGCAATTTGTAACAATATGTACAAGAGTACGAGAAGTATCCAATGTAATTCCTCTGTTCACAAGGAAAACCCAGCGCCAAGGAGGATTTCGATAGATAGGAGGAGGGATGAATCTGGAGGTGGACGGTCATCAGTTTGTCTTTGAATGTCTCCTGCTGACTGGGCGTGACCGAATTGGGAAAGCCGGTGGGGCGGCGAGAGACCGGCGCTAATGCAGCCTGATGACTGCGCTTTCGCCTCTTTGGGCTTAGACTGGGGGATATTCTTGGGTGTGTCTTGCTTCAGACGAGGGTGAAACGGGCTGTGGGTGGACCAGAGCTGCTGACGAAGATTCCCCTTTCTGGGGAATGGAGACTGACAGGGAAAGACATTTATATATCATGATGAACTCTGTCATTATGTCCTGCCAGCTTGAGATGCAGATGTTTGACAGCACAGTTTGGTCGGTTGGAGTGTACATAAAGATACTAGGTCTCGACAGAGGATGAAGACTGGCGATGGAGACTGACACATATCTTTGAGGTCCATTTCGAGCAGACAGAGAGAGCAAGCACACAGGTCAATAGTTGTTCGAGAGCATCATTGAAACGAAGCCTTGCAGATCGAACAACAAGCGAGCTTTCATCAATCGACATCGTCTTGCTCCAGACTGGAAACCACGATTAAGTATTGTTGCTTCCGGGGGACATGAAGGGTTCCGGTAGCGCCCTGGCAGGATGCTCCAAACTGCCTGGAAGCACTGAACAATGAGGAGAGCTTTGGAGAATTGGCCGACACATACTGCATTTTCCAAACTTATTGTCATTTACGCAGTTTGAGAGCTTGCAATGCTTGCCGTCTCGCCTAACGGCGAACCAGACATCGTGGTGAATTGCTCGTGCCCGTGAGCGTGTAAGTCGGATCGGGCACGGGGATCGACTCGGCAGCCCAGCGCAGCGGGCTTGCTCTTATCCAGGCGACGATTTGCATGACGGCGGAAGGAGGCTCTCGGACGCTCGCTGTTGCAAGCGGACTAGGTCCAGAAAGCCATGGGTTTTGGTACCACAAGAACAAAATTGCAGAGTAAGAAAGAGCCCCAATATATGTGAACGTAACTTTTCCCTACGCGGGAATGCTGTTGAGAATTCTTGGCTAATATGGGACTATATTCACAGGCCAAGGGAGAGAAGCTTCAGGCAAAGATCTGGAACGAGATGATGGAAAGTTGGGCGCCACAGGGCGTTGAGGTGAACTCAAATTACTGAGGGTTCCAGTCAGACACGTGGTGAGACTCGGAATACGCACTCAATCTCCGCTCTAATAATCATGGACTTGTAATACGCAGGATGAAAGCAAACGTCATTGCTATATTTACGATCAACTCTCCAAACGTCTCATCGGTTGGTTCATTGTCTCCCTAAGCTAATCGTGTAGCGAATGTAACCCATCTGCGTGCAGATAAAGTATCGGTAGACACTTTCTCCTCCTCCAAATACTCCGCCTGAAGAACGCCCGGTAGGGACCATCACGGGATACCAGACCCGGTTGTTTTCATTTGCTGTTGGCGTACTGTCATGTGTAGCCCTTTGCCTGTGGTCATGGGGGAAGTAGCTGCGTTCGACCGTCAGTATACCGAAACCCATCTTCTCCAGCAATTCCAGCAGAAAGTCGGGGTGCGTATCCTCAAGACGCTCCGACACAATGGTTGCATAGCCTCTCCGGAAAGTCTCCATATCGATGCCCTCGCGAATCAGTAGCTTCTTGAACAGCGGGATGTACGGACTCATGTCGGCGGCCCCGGCCATTTTCAGTAGGCACACCATCAGCGGCGTGTGTCCCTTGAAGCCCCGTTGATCGGTTTCAATGCCATCCCATGTGAGCATCAGCTCTGCGATATCCGGCCTTCCTTTTGAGATGATCTTGTGGAGGGCAGTCTCTCCCCAGTGATTTTGTTGGTTGAGGTTGAGGCGCGGCGACTGGAGGAAGAGCTTGACCGTGTCCACGTCCCTGTGGATAGTCGCCTCCATGAGCGGAGTGTCACCTCCTGCTCCTCTGTAGTTTGGATCAGCACTATATTGAAGAATGAGTATTTTGATGACCTCCTTGTTGTTTCTCTTCGCGGCAAGATGCAGAGGAGTGTCGCCGTTCTCATAAAATTCTGGATCTGCACCATTCTCGAGCAAAAGCGCCGCCATGTCCGCGCCCCGACATCTCTCGATCGCCAACAGCAGCAACTTGTCTAGGTACCTGTCTTCTTCATTGATGTAGCTTGTCATACCGCCCACGAGCAGCATCGGTCTGGCAATTCCGAGATAGTTCTTACCTACGGCCCAGGAGAACCATTTCGTCCATAGAGGGCGCGTTGCGTACTTGATCACGGTGTCCTTGATGGGAGACTTCTTGGCGTTTTCTGCGGCTTCTTCAAGGACAAGCTTTACGATCTCTGTGTCGTTGGACATGATGGCGAGGTTCAGGATGGACATGCTGTCGAATCTGACGTTGTGTTCGATGAGAATGTCTCGGAGTCGCCGTCGTTGCTCTGTGTATGCTTCATTAGTGCTCCTCCTGGGTTCCACGACGAAACGAAAGTAGACGAGATCTGTAGGGAGATAATCTATGATGGACATGATGATCTCAGCCGGATACGGGGCGAGGATGTCGATGGGAAGCATTGGAGCTGAAGTGAGAGGGAAGGACATGTGCTTCAGAGTTTTGCCGGCTGGAATATGTTTGAGTGATTGAGATTGAGCTGCTTCGAGATACATGAGCTACACCACGGAGGTAGTTTGGGTCTACCTTATATGAAGTATGAAGTATGTACGGCTTGTCTCTGACCCATTGCTGGTTGAACCTCTTTGAACATGAAGACATGCTCGAACAGCTTCATACAGCAATTTCACCGAATGTTTTAGTCACAACTAAGTAATGAACATTTGATGGGTTCATGCGGATTGAATGGGAGTTGAAAGCAGCCAAGTTTTGAGGGTAGTCGAGATGTTCATTTTCAAGTCGGACCATCTTGTGTGCAACTCTCCTCTATGAAGGTTGAAGTCAGTACCTTAAATGTATATGTTTGTGCGGACTTGAACAATGGATAGGTACAGGCACCCAAGGCACTTTTCAACATGAGAGCAACGGCCTGGATTTGCCCTTTACGAAGGCATAAGAAAATCGATGTTATACTATGCTCTGGGTACATTACGTTGACTGCGCTGAATCAAAGGCTTCCCGTAGGGTAGGAGTGTCGAGTTAGACTTCAACTGGACACACAAAACTTGTCCATATTGAGGCAATGGTGTATTCGGACTATCGCCGTTGATGCCCCCTCCCCCCGGGACGAATGTATTCGTCATCGTTCCGTGGCAACTCTCGAGCCTTCCATCACCAGGGTGTAATCAATCAAACGCTGGAATTGGAGAGCCAACAGCCTGATCACAGACACATGCATGAGTCGATGCATGAAGCCGTGAAAGGAAGCTGATATCGCGCATCCCAACCCTCGCGAACCACGGCACATGACTAAGCACACCCACTGCCGCAGTCCCGCTAGTTCGTTTAGAGTGGAAAACGTCATTTCGAGTCTTCTGTGTCACGACCTTATGTGAACTTGGCTCCAGCCCAGCCAGCCTTTAGCGCTCCAGGCTCTCTCCTAGTGGTGTTAGCGACAGCCTGCAGCACCTGAAGCGCTGGAGTCGACGGGAGCTTGCGAACTCAGCCACCCCTGCAGCATCATCTCTCAAATGCCACTTGCTCTCCCCACTCCAATCTCCACGCTGCCTTGCTCCTAGACTTTGCTCCTTCAATTCGCGTGCAGTCCTTTGCTGGAGACGCACTCTTTGCAGTTACACGATTCGATACCGAGCCCCTTTTCTCGCCGCTGTTCTTAGGTGCTGGAATAGTGCTTCTGCGCTGGCGGCTGGGGGCTGCCTTCAGCCTGCAACTCGCAACTCGAACCGAACCACGAACACGAACCCACGAAGCGAAACACGAGCGGGACAATTGCATGTAGCCCAGCATGTCGGACGTGGGCGAGAGGTACGTCGGCCATCCTCGGATTTCGAGGCGTTGCCTCGTCTGGTTGTCTGCAACAACTTTGATGTTTCCACCGTCCTCACCCCCGCGCCGTCTTTCTTTGTTCAGTCTGGTCTGGGGGCTGCGCTGCGCTGTCCACAACTGATTGATAAGATTTGATGCGGGTGAGCTGGCTAACTCGCGATGTGGCTACAGCAACCACCACAAGCGGTCCAAGTCCGCCGCCGCGCTGTCGCTGCTGCGCCGAAAAGACACTCGCGAAGACGAATCAGGATCGGAAGACGGCCGACTCTCGGCCACGGGCAGCCATGCATCTCCCCCGAAAGCCGCGACATCAGCTGCCCGCAGCCACAGCTCGCGACTGTCGACGCCGTCGGCCGTCCTGAGCAGGACACCCTCCAATAACCAGGCCGCCGCAAGCGCAAAATCCTCCTCCCCTACGTCGGACGTCAAGACCGGCAGCCTCGAGCAGTCGGTTCGTAAATTCAGGGTTGTCGAGGCCCTGAGAAGCGGGGACACGGCGTCCATCTCAAAGGCCATCCGAGAGACAGCCGACGGCGTCCCACGTGCGAGCATCTCGTCGCTTGGCGGGGCCAGCACCGGCGCGCTGGAAGACACCACCATACTTCACCTGGCCATGCAATGTGCCGAGTTCCCCGTCATTGAGTATGTTCTTTCCGACGGCCTCGGCAGCCTCGACGTCAACTCTCGGGACAAGGATGGCAACACCCCGCTGCACATTGCCGCCATGCACGGCCGGACGCAGGCAGTCAAGCTGCTGCTGGAGCAAAAGGACATCAACGATGCCATCGCAAACAACCAAGGGAAGCTACCCATCGACCTGGCGCGAACTCCCGAAATCTTCCAGCTGCTTCAGCTCTCGCGCTCCCTCTTCACCGACGCCAAAGTGCAGCAGATCCAGGACCTCATTGCCAAAAACGACTATGATACCCTTGCCCAGGTGCTGGAGGAGCAGCGGCTCAAGACAATGCTGGACATTAACAGCACCGAGTTCGTATGCGACCCGGCTATTGCCCAGGCCGGAGGCACGCTTCTCCACGAGGCGGCGAAGAAGAAGAACATCCAGCTCATCCAGGTACTGTTGCTCCACGGCGCCGATCCCTTCCGTCGCGATCGCAAAGGCAAACTGCCCCAGTCCATAACCAACGACGACAACGTCAAGGCCATCCTGAAGAAATCGCCGGCCGCTGTGGCAGCACAGAGAGGCATCCAAGAGAAGGCAGTCCTAGGACACGCGGCCTCGCAAAGCGTTGTGGGAGGGCCTATTGATCCATTGGCCGGCCGTGAGGCTCGCGAGATGAAGGGCTACTTGAAGAAGTGGACCAACTATCGCAAGGGCTACCAATTGCGCTGGTTCGTACTCGAGGATGGCGTGCTCAGCTATTATAAGCACCAGGATGACGCCGGTTCAGCATGTCGCGGCGCCATCAACATGAAGATCGCCCAGCTGCACATGAGCCCGGATGAGAAGACCAAGTTCGAGATCATCGGCAAGTCGTCCGTCAAGTATACGCTCAAGGCAAACCACGAGGTCGAAGCCAAGCGATGGTTCTGGGCTCTCAACAACTCTATCCAGTGGACCAAAGATCAAGCCAGGGAGGAAGAGCGCCAAGCGGCTCGCAACGCGGAACTTCTTCGAATCGCCAAAGCCGATCAGAGCGGAGCGCTCTCTGTTCAGGAATCCCACAGCGAGAACACGAGCATGACGGATCTGAGGCGGGTCAGTACGCAGTTACAGGCGCGCCCCATGCTATCCGTCAAAAAGTCAGACATGACCGCAACGAGTATAGGCAGCATAGAAGAGGACGATTTTGTGGATACTTATACAGAGGCCGAGGCTATACACAACCACGAACACGCCGCTGGCCCTGGGACAATAGCTGGTGACGGAGACGACGAAGACGACTATGGCGAGGAGACGAGTGGCCGTGAGGAGCCCCAGGCGACAAAGGACGCACTCAACATTACGGCGCAATCGGCGAAACTGCAACTCGAAACCATGGCAAGCGTTCATTCGGCTCTCATGGCAGAGCTCTCCCGTAGTCCTGCTACAACGTTGTCGGATACAAAGGTGGCACAGGCACTCTCCACATACGACGCTGCCATCCGAAGCCTGACGGGGCTTGTTGGCGACCTGCTCCGGATCTCCAAAGACCGTGATGCATTTTGGCAGTACCGGCTTGATCGAGAGTCGAACATGCGACGGATGTGGGAGGAAAGCATGGCACAGGTGGCTCGTGAGCAGGAAATCCTCGAGGCCCGCGTTGGTGAATCAGAGATGAAGCGCAAGCTGGCAAAGAAGGCGCTGCGCGAGGTCATGGAAGGTGGCGGGTTACCGTCTGCCAGCGTCACTCCGACGATGGAGAGGGTTCAGGAAGAGGTCGAGGAGGCCGCTGCCATTGTCAAGGCAACGAGCCGTTCGCTGGCTCGGAAGCAGACGGCCCTCGCGCAGATCGAGTTGTCTGACAGCGAGTCTGGCGTGGAAGACGAGTTCTTTGATGCCATAGACTCCGGCGACGTCGAGGTGACAGAGCTCCCCCCCAGCGACACCAAGCAGGAGAAGAAGGACGTGGTCATCTCGGGCATCGACATCAGCAGCTCCTTCAAGGGATATGAGAACGGAATTCGCCACAAGCTGAAGATGGAGAACGATGATCGGCCAAAGATTTCTCTCTGGGTAGGTTGCAAAACCTTCTCTCGTCTGACAAGCGTGCGGGTGAGCTAACAACGAGCAACAGGGCATTCTCAAGTCGATGATTGGCAAAGACATGACGAGGATGACGCTGCCTGTGTCATTCAACGAGCCGACGTCTCTGCTGTACCGTTGCGGCGAGGACATGGAATACGCGGACCTTCTTGACCTCGCAGCCGAACGGTCAGACTCGATCGAAAGACTCATGTACGTGGCGGCATTCGCTGCCAGCGAGTACGCGTCCACCATTGGCCGCGTGGCCAAGCCGTTCAACCCGCTGCTCGGCGAAACGTTCGAGTACGTTCGCCCGGACAAGAACTACCGCTTCTTCATTGAGCAAGTCAGCCACCACCCGCCCATTGGCGCCGCGTGGGCCGAGTCGCCAAACTGGACGTACTGGGGCGAATCGCATGTCAAGTCCAAGTTCTACGGCAAGTCGTTTGATATCAATCCCCTTGGCACGTGGTTCCTCAGGCTCCGACCCACCGCTGGTGGCAAGGAGGACCTGTACACATGGAAGAAGGTGACATCCTCGGTCATTGGCATCATCACTGGTAACCCCACGGTGGACAACTACGGCCCCATGGAGATCAAGAACTGGACCACGGGAGAAGTGGCCCACGTTGAGTTCAAGGCCCGGGGCTGGAAGGCTTCGAGTGCGTATCAGATCGTCGGCAAGATTGTGGATGCCTCGGGCCAGGTGCGGGTCAGCCTCGGCGGACGGTGGAACTCGAGACTCTATGCCCGTCTGACGCCCGGCTACGAGGCTGCCGTTGACGAGCCCTCGACGAAGAACAAGGACGTTGTTCACCGAGGCAGCATCGCGGACCCCAACCGAGCGTATCTCATCTGGCAAGCCAACGAGAGACCAGCGGGCATCCCCTTTAACCTGACGCCGTTTGTGCTGACGTTCAACCACATCGACGACAACTTGAGGGCGTGGATTGCACCCACTGATTCACGTCTGCGGCCGGACCAGCGGGCCATGGAGGAGGGCGAATACGACTTTGCGGCCACAGAGAAGAACCGGCTGGAGGAGGCCCAGCGAGCCCGTCGGCGAGCTCGCGAGAGTGCCGGGGAAGAGTTTGTCCCCGCGTGGTTTACCAAGGCGAGGTGCGAAATCACGGGCGAGGAGTACTGGAAGTTCAACGGCAAGTACTGGCAGCAGCGAGAAAAGGCCGGACCCGATGGCGATTACGCGGCGGCATGGGAAGGGCTGGAGCCTATATTCGATGACGTTCCCCAATAGATGATGTGGTTGGCAAATGAGTCCTTGGCCAAAGATGGAGGGGCCAGAAAAGGAAGAGGACAAAATGTAATTGTATGTGTTTTGCACTAGATCTGAGTTGATTGAGCTGGGTGTATTGCTGGTGTGTTGTTTGATACTCACGGAGAGATGAAGACGAAGAGGAAGATGAATGATGCGGATATTTAGCTCGTATGTGATTTTAGTACTACATTAAAACAGATTCTCTTTCGTTCATTCTTTTCATTCCGCCTTAAATGTCCTTTTTCTGTGAATGCCTGTCATGTAATTGCCGGGAGTTTTCAAGATGGACGAACAGGCAGTAGAGCGGGCCAGTTGCTGACTGTGACGTCGCTTTCACATGCGTGTACTGCAATTTGAGGGTTCAACAAACATGTCGGGCCTTTCTTCGCCAAATCAATTCTGAATCGAATACTTCTTCATCTTGGCATAAACAGTAGAGGCTTTTAGGTATCAACCGTAATCTACGTGTTTGGGCCCCTTTTATTGGCGTGGAGCAACATGCGGGCCGCCGAAGCAAATAATGGAGGCAAGCCTCGGCAATTCAGAGTGCTGATTGTGGACGATACAGTGGTGCCCTATCGCGATCAGGCCAGGAACAGAACAAACTACCAAAGTTGGTACACGGTTCAGCATAAGCGGTAAGCTTTCAGTGAAGATGGCCATCTTAGTGGCTTGGATCAGCCGTATTACCTATGACATGGAGTAGTTTCGAATCTCAATTCTTCCCGTGCAATTACATTGAAATGGATCGTGTTCTTTTCTGTCTTTGCTGTGGTCTGTATGTGAGCTGAAATGGGGACGGACGATTTAGCTTCGGCAGGGCTGAGCCGAGGCATTTCTGAGCCTTTTCCCTTTTGCCTTACGTCAAGTGAGACCCCTGATTCGGTGTGCTTGACTCGATGATCGTACTGGGACGCTGGATTTCCTTTTCCATTGCTTTTTCGATTGATTCTTTGGTTTCTTTGATTTTGCAAAGCTGTTTCTGAAAGTCGGCAAAAGTGATTGTGGGATGAATCTCAATCGGCTCTGAGAGTATCAACAGCGTCCAGTCAGAAGAACAAAAGAGTGGAGGCCAGGGAAAATGAGCGGCAGTGACAAAGACTCCAAGCTGGAGGGCACTGAAAAGGTGCTGGACAAGCGGACAACGCTGCTCAGGCCCCCGGCGCCTGATCCGAACAAGGCGCCCATTGAGCACACGGTCGAGGTGACGCCGCTGGCGGTGCTGGGCGAGGTAAGCAAACAAACCCAAATGATGTTCTACGTTTGAAGCCCGTCACAGCTTGTGAAGAATCCCGGCTAAGATGGGGCATCTACCCGCAGGACATCTTCACCAACACGCGCCCGCTATGGCTCCCCCAGGGCGCGCGCGGCGTCTACGGAGGCGCCGTCATCGCGCAGAGCCTGGCGGCGGCGCAGATGACGGTGCGCGACGACTTCCTGGTGCACTCGTGCCACTGCTACTTCCTGCTGGCGGGCTCGGCGACGATCCCCATCATGTACCACGTCGAGCGGGTGCGCGACGGCCGGTCCTTTGCGACGCGGACGGTGCAGGCGCGGCAGAGGGGCAAGTGCATCTTCACGACGACGGTCAGCTTCGTGCGCGAGGGCAGCGGCGGGGCGAGGCAGATCCGGCACGCGGCGGCGCTGCCCGAGGGCGTGGAGATGCCGGACGCGGCAGGGAGTGATGGTGGCCAAGGAGGGGATCCGTTCCTGAGCCGGCGGATCGAGATGCTGCGGGTGCGGGATCCGGACGCGAGGCCGGACCAGATGAGGGTGCGGCAGTGGCACCGCTGCAAGGGCAAGATCTCGGCGTCGGGGGGCCACCAGGCGCACCTCAACGCGCTGGCGTACATCTCGGACAAGTACTTTGTCGGGACGGTGGCGCGGATTCACCGGCTGTGGCGGCTGGGCATGACGCCGGAGCAGGTGGCGGCGCTGCCCGAGGCGGAGCTGAAGCGGGTGCGCGCGTTCCTCGAGTTCGAGGGCATGGGCGGCCGGCTGGAGGACTGGGTCGACCGGCCGCGGATGGGCATGATGGTCAGCCTCGACCACAGCATCTACTTCCACGAGCCGAAGCGGGTGCGGGCGGACGAGTGGATGTTTTCGGAGATGGAGAGCCCCTGGAGCGGCGACGGGAGGGGGGTGGTGATGCAGAGGATCTATGCGCAGGACGGGACGCTGCTGGCGAGTTGTATGCAGGAGGTGAGTTTTTGTTTTCATCCCCTTTTTATGCTCGTTTGATGAGCGTGCATGATTGACTGACGAGGTGAATCTAGGGCGTGGTGAGACTGCAGCAGGACGAGACGGAAAGGGGGGCCAAGCTGTGAACGGAGGAGATACACAAGGTACTATGTTGCTTACCTTGGACATGGCGTTTAGTATTGCTACATGGAGACGGACACGCGAGTTTGACTGCTATGGATTTATCTTTGAATGACGGATGCAACACCTAGTCGCTGTTTAGATTCACAAGTTACTGTTCGTTGTCACAGTTCCCCTTTGAGTTCTAGAGCAAAGACTACGATTTGAATACGATGCTTGAACTCGTTGTCTTGCGCAAGTTAAACACTTTTGATCCTATCTAAGGTACTCTCTCTACTCGCCTGCTTCATTCAATGGCCTATTATCTTTATACTATGCATGTTAACCAAGATGTAACAGCTGCTGTGATTATCGTGAACAAGACGTACTACATACTACAAACTACTGCCCATCTCAGCCTCAACTTGCCGAAAGCCGGCATATGACAAGTCTCCATCTCCTCCTTCCTACTGGACGCCAACAAGGCAGAATCTCAGCCGCAGCCACGGTTCCTTCTGCACAACGAACGCTAGCGGAGCCAAGCAGCTCTTCCACCTGTTCAAAAATAGCAACTGAAGAAGAGGGAGGGGATGCTTGTGCCTCCATCGTCATCATGTGAAAGAACCAGCCTCAATCATGCTCAAGAGGGAGTGACATGAAGAGGTATTAAAGTCCCATCTTGAAGGATGTCTAAGGCAAGGCCTGTTGAAAGTACCTTCCTGTAGGTAGCTACTAGAACTGCATGTAAGACGCAGCAGATTCCACAGCTTCGTGCTGCTGGAAGCTGGGAAGGTACGGAATGCCGCATTCCGGACACCGACACGTTAGGTCAGGGCAAGAGCAGTCGCAACACCACATTCAACTGTTCCTTCATTCCTTCATTTCATTTTCTCTCGTTTCTTCATCACCAACACCAACAAGCTCGAATCACTACGCACTGACTCACTCACCGTCGACGGCATGGAAATGGCAGAAAGGGAAAACTGTTCCTGGCTTGGCTTGCTTGGCCCGGGGCCGTGGCGCAGCGAAGCATGCCCCTAAGCCAAGAACCGCCAGGCGCCATCGCGTCCATTGGCTCTTTTGCAAATTGCCCCTACAAAAGTCGGCCGCCTCTAGATCGACGGGTGGCGCTTCAGCTCCAGGAGGATTCGAAAGCGCCCCCCAGGATTGGGAGCCATGCGACGCTGCTCCATCGGTCGAGCCATGAGCCAAGCCGCGGCCAACATGCTCCATCACCCCGACAGCAGCAGTCCAGCAGCCGAATTCCATCGAACGCTCTGTCAGGCTGCCCAACGTGCATCCTACAGATCTACGGCAGACATTAGTTGCGCCTGGCGGCCCGCCAACCCTCAAGGGCGAAGCATGGACGCAAAGCTACCGCGCTTCTGATGCCTCTGATGCCTGGCCCGATCCCACAACAAGGGGCCTGTGTCCATGTCTCGCCCATTGACGCTCTATTGTTCCTCTCGCAGCATATTGGATCAAATAGACTCTTGGGGCCGCCTTTCGTGTGTCACCCCGAGTGGACGGACACGCAGGACAGGGTTGCTGGCTGCTGGGTCGCCAAGCATGGCTTCCCAACCCCGAGTCGTCTTAGCCGCATGCAGTGGCAGGGATGAGGCGACGAACAGCGAGATGATGGTCGTTCAGCTCTTTCAGGCAGTCGCCGCAGCGTTCTAAATCTATGCTTAAATGCTTGAGCAGCCCCGATCCATTTCCGTGTCGGCTCGTGTCTGACCGCGACTTGAGCCTCCTTCACCAAGGCAGCTGATGACGGCGTGTTAGTCTGCTCTTTGCCTGCTCAGAGATACCCCCCTCGGTCATCACCACAACGTTGGGGCTCGTCTTTTCCTGTCTTACTTCAGTTGCATGCACAATGCGCTCCGTTCAGTACATCTCCCTGGCGGGCGCCTTTGCCGCCGCCACGGTTTCTGCAGGCGTTGTCACTGTCCCCTTTGAGAAGCGAAATCTCAGCCCTGATGTTACTCCATCACTGCTGCGTCGCGATGGCAGCGTGAGCCTTGACGCCATCAACAACCTCACTGGAGGCGGCTACTATGCCCAGTTCAGCGTTGGCACGCCGCCCCAGAAGCTGAGTTTCCTTCTCGACACCGGCAGCAGTGATACCTGGGTCAACTCAGTCACTGCGGACCTCTGCACAGACGAAATCACCCAGCAGGAGGTTGGAGAATACTGTTTCAAACAGTGTAGGTCGCATCTCCTCATCGTTTGCGTTGCTTGCAGTCCCACAGCTAACCCATTGTGCCATTGTAGTCAACCCAAGGAGGAGTAGTACTTATAAGTCGAGCACTGAAGTCTTCGACATCACCTACCTTGATGGCCGCAGGATACGGGGCAACTACTTCAAAGATACTGTTACTATCAACAACGCGAACATCACGGGCCAGCAGCTTGGCCTAGCCTTGCAGTCGGTCCGCGGCACAGGCATCCTCGGCTTGGGATTCCGGGACAACGAAGCCTCCGACACCAAGTATCCCACCGTCGTTGAGAACTTGGTATCCCAGAAGGTCATTCCATTCCCGGCATTCAGCCTCTACCTCAACGACCTGCAGACCAGCCAGGGCGTCCTTCTCTTTGGTGGTGTCGATACCGACAAGTTCCACGGCGGCATCGCTACTCTGCCCCTTCAGTCGCTGCCGCCATCCATTGCCACGACCCAGGATATTGTCATGTACGCCATCAATCTGGATGGCTTCTCGGCGTCCGATGTCGATACCCCCGACGTCAGCGCCAAAGCCGTTCTCGACTCGGGCTCAACAATCACTCTTCTCCCAGATGCTGTCGTACAGGAAATCTTTGACAAGTACGACGTCCTCAGCATCCAGGGACTTGCCGTTCCCTTTGTTGATTGCGCCAAAGCAAACACCAAAGATGCTTCCTTTAACTTTGAGTTCCGGGGCAAGACGATCAAGGTGCCCATTGACGAAATGGTTCTGAACAACCTCGCCGCGGCTTCAGACCAACTCATGTCGGATCCCACTTTGAGCAAGTACTTCGGCGATTGGAGCGGAGTGTGCACTTTCGGCATCAGCTCGACCAAGACCTTCGGCATCAATTCCGACGAGTTCGTCTTGCTGGGAGACACCTTCTTGCGGTCCGCTTATGTCGTCTACGACCTGCAGAACAAGCAGATTGGCATCGCCCAGGCGACCCTCAACTCGACCAGCAGCTCCATTGTCGAGTTCAAGGCGGGCGCCAAGACAATTCCCGGCCCTGCTTCCACGGGCGACGACTCCGACGACTCTGATGATTCGGATGATTCAAGTGATTCAGGTAATTCAGCCCACCCCGGCGACTCTGGAGATTCTGGCAATTCTGACACTCATCTAGATTCCGCCGGTGTTGCTATCCATCCCACTGTTTCTATTGCTCTGGCAGGCACCTTGTTTATGGCTGTTTCCATGATGATGAGTGCGCTATAGAGGGACATTTCTTCATGATGATGTTGGTTCAATTTATGAGGTGGCTAGCTGTATTTGACGAACTGGCGAGGCAATGTTTGCGTTGACAATTGACGGCGACTAATGAATATGAGACATAATGTTGAGTGACAAATTTACCTTAAGAAAACATGCTGCAGCGACGATGCGGCTTCTTTGTACTTTTGGGTTTACATGCATGGGAACACACACGAGGTCTATAAGTTTTCACATAGACGAACAAATCTTACTGGCACAAGCAAAAAGGAATAAACGAAGCATAACAAACTGCACTTTCATCCATTGACGTTGATTCTCGAGGTATCCTCAGATGTTAGACAGAGCCTTGATGTAAATGTGTTCTTTGTGTGTTGTATTAAGATCCCTCTCAAACGCCGCGATGCATACCGCAGAAAAAGACAATCCATCCAAACTCCAGAATCCCCCCCGTAACCGCAATGATATTCACACCTCCTTCGGCTCCTCGCCCCCATCCCCGTCATTGTCCTTGTCCTCCCCGTTCTGCTGACCGTCCTTCTTCTCGCCGCCAAATTCGCTAAAGAAGCGCTCCCTCGCCCGCTCGTTGACGGCATCGACATAGTCCTTGCGGTTGTTGACCGTCCTGCTCTCGCCTATCGCCTGCGCGTTGCCCATGTTGGCGCCCTCAGCGCCCAGCCCCACGCCCTGCCGATACACGTGCGTGACGATGCTCTCGGTGCGCCCCTCGGCATTCGCGCCCAGGCCGCTGCCAGACGTCCAGCCCATCTTGGCGAGCATGCCCGCGCCCTTTGACCGCGCCGGGGCTTTCTCTGGCGCTGATGAGGCTTTGCCCTGATCCTTCGGAGGTCCTGGGGCGGATTTATCTGCGACAACGGGGAGTGGCTTCTTTGGCTGGTTCCACTGCTCGCGGCGTTCCTTGGCCCTGTCGCGATATTGGGGTGCCGTGGCATGGGAGGCATCGTCGCCTGCTTCGGTTTGTGTCGGTAGGGGGATGCCTCTTTTGCTTAGCCTCTCGAGCGCGCTCTTGACCGACTGCTCATCTTGCAGCTTCTCCGCATGAAGCTGCGAGCTTCCATGACGACTTAGCTCATCAAGAGACTTGAACTTGCGCATGCAGAGAAGACATTGGAGCTTTTCTCGGTCCGCGTATGGAGTGATTGGCTTTTCGTCTTTGGCCTGCACGTCAGGCTTGGCTGCAGGCATCTTGTCGCCGTTTTGCTTCTCTGGAGGAGGAAGAGGCGGCGGTGCGGAAGAAGGTGCGGGAGGTGCTGGCTGTGCTGGTTGAGCTGGGGGTGATGCTGAGTTTGCTTGAGCGCCTGGGGCATACGCGGATGCCCCTTTAAAGGCAAATTTGATCGGGGCTTCTTTCGGGTCCTTGACTGGCAGCTGCTTAGCAGCCGTCGTGCCAGACTCATTCGTATGAATCTCTTCGTGCTTCTTCTGCCACAATGCCATGTGGCCAGCCATTGCAGGGACCGCCTTTTTGGCAGTAGCACCCAAGGGATCATCTGCCTTTCTCTTCTTGGGTTTCTTGTTGTTACCGCCCTGGTCGCCTCCCTTTTGCTCTCCGGCTGCGCTGGCACTTCCTGGAGGCTCAGATGCCAAAATCTTCTGGCTTGGATAGGCTCGCAAATCGCGGTATCGGACGCGGAGAGTCGGATTAAATAGTGGGCTGAAGGAGAACCTCTCCATCTCGGGCGTGATCTCGCGCTCCTCCGGTACAAAGACCCCCAGGTGGATGTGAGACACGATAACGGGAGCGGCGGCAACGCTGAAAGATGGCAGCAGCTTGATTTTGGCCATGGCATCCACGGCATCCTGCAGAGTCCAAAACTCAGCAAAGCCGTATTTGACCGACTCATCCGTGACGGAATCGCGCATCAGAAATACGCGATGGAGAGACCCCGGACGTGCGCCAGTCCGGGCAGCTCGATCGGCTGGGGCGGTCGACTGAAGCTTCGAGCCTGGCGCCAGCTTCTGGCTGGCTGGATCCGGCTTCGCAAGCTCCAAGCGCTTCATATCCGCAGCAAACATTTCCTCGGTGACGTAGGCCATGAGAGGATACACTACCAAGATCTGGGTAGGCGCATCGGCGGCGTCAGCAGCGGGATTCAAGCTGACTCGCATCGCAGAGGCTACAAGTAAGAGTTAGTTTATCAGCCGTGGAGAGGTAGGGTAAAGGAATGCCTTGAGCGTACATAAAGGCGACGAGCCACAGCGTTTGCACTTTGTGCGAGAAGAGTAATTTTCAAAGCCGCACTGCGCGTTCGTCAGTTGTCATCCCTCCTCCCTCAGGTGGTATCAAGGAGGACTTACAGGCAGGCATACCCATTGGCCGCCGGCGCGCGTATCTCCATCCGCTCTGCGATGGGCAAAGTGAATGTAGGCACTGCACTTGCCATCTGGGACCTCGTCAGTCGTGTGAGGCAGTGTGAAGAGGACCTTTGGGAAATGTTCGTTGACGAAAGCAGTTGCATGATCAACGTCCTCGAACTGAATGAACGCTCGGCGTTTGCCTTTGCCAAGTGTCAGTAGGAAGCTGATGCGTACAGGGCAATGCCATCTCAGAGAACACAGACCTTTGGCGTACGTCAACCGGACATCGACGACAGAGTAGTCGTCGGATATGCAATCGCGGATAATGCTCTCCCGCAGCTGAATGTATAGCTCACGTCAGAAACACAGTCCTCCCCTATACGTTCTTTTCTCTCAATCCACCACTTCCGGCAATACGGACCTCGACTCCGTCTACCCTGACGGGCAGTCCTTCGAATATCACAGTATCACTAGGCAGCCCAGCGTCTCCTAATCGGCCGCCGCCCTCTCGCGGGGGGCTTCGGGAACGACTCCTGCTGTAATAATCCGGGGGCGGTGATCGCGACGGGTATCTCCTATCGCGATACGAGGAGGAGGACGCATAGTCGTTGTCTCTGGCCTGGTGTTCATGGCGTCCACGGTGATAGTCATCGTTATACATTCTGCCTTGGTTGTCACGACTCCAGTCCCGAGGGCTCAGATTCGGCCGCGGGCGCGCGTCATGAGCATCTCGGTAGTCCGGCGCTCGATCGGCGCCAAAGGGGGGAGACGGGCGAGGCGGCCGGGGGCGATGGTGACTGTCGCGCCGGTCCCACGCGTTGGCGTACATGCCGTCGTCCCTGGAAGGAGACTGTGAATAGCCTCGTTGTCCCGTGGGCAAGTTAGCCGTCAAGCTCACTTCAGCAGCTCAAAAAGGTCCTGGAGCTGGAGCGGAGAGAACTGGGCCTCTCTCAGTCTCCCATGCATGCGCGGGCCGTGTCTTTACCCTGCCGCGATTGTTGGTAGTCGTCGTGGTGGAAGTCTCTCGGTCGGTGGCGGATGGAGTCACGACCTCGGCCCCGGTCTGGGGATCGTGCGTGATGGTCGTCGCGCATAACGACAGACGCCAGTCAGGCGCGATCTGTAGAGTCTATTGAGAGAGAGGAAAGACGAGGAAAAGAGGGTTGGCGATGGCTTCGTCAACATGCAAGGCGAGGACAAAGAAATTGGTGGGATGCTGCAACATTTAAAGAGAAGCTCCACCACCAATGAATGAATTCCTGGCAGAGAATAAAGTTAGCAGCTGGAAGAAGCTGGTGGCTGACTCAGCCAGCTGTGATGAGGGGGCTTATACGGATACGGATGTACACAGAACCCGGCGCAAAAGGCTGCCGCGGAACAAGTACCTCTTTGACGCCGCTCCAGATCATTGTAGACAACGAGATGATTGATCCTCCTCCTCTTCTTCATGTCATATACTTTCGATAAAGCCCAGTATTGTTCAGTTTTCCTTCTTCTTGACTGATAGTTTCTTCATATATTCAGTCAATATTTATTATCATCCATCTGATCTTGTAACAGCCAATCTTCGTCTGAATAATTGCATCATCTCTTCATTGGGCATCTCACTCCCCATCTACAGCTCTCCAAAGCAAACAGCCATGACAGACACACAAGATGACGATACAAACGCCATCTGGCACCTCTCCGAACAAGGCTGCTACGCCGCCCTCACACACGACCATCTCGACATCCAACAAGCCATAGACCGAGTCCGCAGCCCCGCAGCCGGCGCCATTGTCTTGTTTGCAGGTCTGAGTTCCCCCCTCCCCCAACTTGCAACTCCTCAGATGATATCCCATCATCATCTTCTCTAAATCGAAACTGAGCTAACAAAATGGCACAGGAACAACAAGAGACAACTTCGCCGGAAAGCCCGTCAAGGAACTCCAATATACGTCCTACAACAAGCTCGCCCTCCGCACCATGCTCTCCATCTGCAAGGACGTCCAAGCCAAGCACGGCCTCAAGGGCATCTCCATGATCCACCGCCTCGGCACGGTGCCCATCGGCGAGGAGAGCATCCTCATCGCCGTCTCGGCGCCGCACAGGCAGGCCGCGTGGAGGGCCGGCGAGGAGGCCCTCGAGGCGTGCAAGTCGCGCGTCGAGGTGTGGAAGAGGGAGGAGTTTGAGGGCGAGGAGGGCGTCTGGAGGGCGAATCGGGATGGGGCCGTCGGGCAAAAGGTGCATTCATGAGAGTTTTGATGATGATTTTGCTGTCAATGCTGCTGCTGTCATCTAAATCAAAAACAGGCCAAGTTATGATTCCATTCCGCCATCTTTGTTAAAACAACCCCCAGAAACACCCCCCCTTTCCCGCAAACCAAGTAAAACCGCGCACGAAAAGTTGGTATCTCGATTCTGTCTCTCTCACTGCTCGTATAACGGCAAGGGTTCTGTGAGAAACTCAAACGGACACCGAGGCGGACAGTCGGAATCGCGCTCCCACAGCATGACTATAGTTCTCCAAATCAGTATGCCGAATATGGTACAAGGTGAAGATGAAGAGAAAAGACTGACCAATATGTGAGCTGTAAATCTCCGCAAACGTCTGACTCGTCCCCAGCCCCGACGGCGCCATGCACTCCGTCAGCGCCGAAGGATAAACAACGATGCCATACTCAAAGTGCAAGATCTTCCAGAACTCGACCGGCAATCTAAGTACTCCCAAGTCAGCAAATCTCTCTCTTTCTCATCATCTCCAAAAGCGGTTGACACATACTTGAACTGCCCCGACTTGATGCATCCATGCACAAACACGCACACCGTCTCCAGCAGCACCAGGCCCCTCCGGACCGCATCCCCGAGCTGCTCCTCGTCCCAGCCGTGGACCCTGCGCAGCCGCTCCTCCGAGCACCGCGTCGCAATCGCCCATCCCTTTTCCATCTTCTTGATCGTCATGTCGTCTGCGTCGCACATGATAATGATGATGGTGGTGCTTTCTAGTTTTTTCCTTTTTTTTTTCTCTCTCGCTTTTCCGTTTCGCAGAGAGCGAATGTGTGTACAGAACTGGTGTGCCGATGTTAGGTAGGTAGGATATATGAAGATGAGGGATCTGTGTTCTGCTGCTGCAACGGCCTTTCTAGATTATGTTTCTAAAGGGAGAAAAGATGTTGAGGCGCACAAAGAGTCAACTCAAGGAATTGAAGAAGGACAAAAGGGTTCTGTAAAGGAAAATTTGATGTTTGTCTGTAGGTTACCTGGTAGGTTCTGTTCTGCGTTTTATACAGGATCGTCAGTTTAGAGGTGCACCAGCGAACCATCAAGGTGCGTGGAAGGGTACAGTCAAGTCCGTTTGGCACCGCGCCGAAACTCTTTCCGCATGCCATCAAGGTTCTGGAGGCAGCTTAGAAATAGAGCACATCATCTTTTCAGAAGGGATAGTTTTGCCTTGGTTTGTTCAGGAACTGGGGGGGAATTCTGTGGCTTTGTTTTGGCTTCATGGGTTTCTTTGATGCCCGTATAAGTGAACGTGTACATTGGGGAGCATTGTCCATTCTCTGTCAAGACAGGTACCAAACTTATCTTGCCTTGCACACAATCAAGCCATAGGTAGGTACGCAAACACATCAGCCGTCAAACTACCCAAATCAACATCACCTTATCGAATGAAAATAGCCTCATCATCTACATAGCCACTCGAACCGCAGATCCCCAGATTACTAGTCATCAACCAAATCTGTTTGCCCGCCAACAGCCTAGAGCGGCTTCGTGCACCTACGTACTTAGTACCTGCTTACCTCTGTCTCCGCCCCAGATATGATCTGACTGGTCCATGCTCTGATTCACTTGTTTATCGTGGAGGACCAGGTGATATGCATGAAAATTGTTGCTTGACGCTGCTAAAGTCAGGATATAACGAAAATATGTGCATGCTGCTATATACGTGGTATCTCGGGGCCCTTACAGCCATTTCGTAAACTTGAACAAATATACATCAAATCGTGATCCTCCTCCACCCTCACCGTCATCATCATTACAGTCTCTACAAGTACACGCACTCACTCACTCACACGCATAACATGCCCCTCTCTAGAGGGCATAGTTTTCTGCGTGCAAAAAGATCTCCTCCAGCTCGTCGTCGCCCCAAATCTCCGCCTGCAGCTTCGCCACCGTGTTGGCCACGCCCACTCTCATGCTCGGGGGGCCGCAGACGAACACGGCTGTCCTTCGGCCCAGGATGCCTCTGCCCTCGGGCCCGCCCGTGGCCCATTCCTTGAGCATGTGTCCAAGATGGGGCCGGCCGTACGTGACCGTCCAACCGTCTTCGATCTGGTGCGGCACGGGGAACGCAGATCGCATCAGGTTCTTCTGGAACTCGGTGGGAGTCTGGGGGAATCCAAAGTCGAATCCTGCCTGCTGCTGCTGGCCAAAGCCGCTAGTTGCCGTTGCTCCAGCAGGAACGCCAGAGTTGTACAGATGGGCAAGTTCGGGAACCATGATGGGGACAGGCTCTTGCTCCTGTGGTGACACATCTGCCTCCTTCTTATCCTCGGGATAGCCATTCTCGTTGAGATTGCCCAAGCCATCGTCCGACGTGGTTGCCGTCATCGTCGACTCGCGAGATGGGAAACGAGGCGGAGGTGGTGGGTATTGGTGAGGTTGCAAGTACTTTTGTTGTGGAAGGGCTGTGATGCGGTCCTCGTTCTCGGCGCGAAGCTCGCGCTCTCGGTCCGGGTCACCCTGCGCCTCGGCATGGATGAGGGCCGAGTTGCGCTTCGAGGCAATGCCTGCCACGAAGCCATCCAGTTTATCGTGAAACTTGTGACTCAGGGCTCGCGCGCTGTTCCCGTTGATGGGGGCCGTCATCTGCTGCCCTGGCCGGTTCCGCACCGCTGAAGTCACAAAGAACCTGCAGCGGACGCTCTCTGGAGGTGCTGATTCGCGACAGATGCGCAGCTCTTCTTTGAACCAATCCATGTCCTCAATCTTCTTCATTGCCCAAACGACGACGACCTTTCTGGTGATGGCCTTTCCATCACGCATTCGCTTGACCAGGTTGAGGAGCTGAGATATCAGTGACGTGATGCCACTTCCGCCGGCAATGAGGATGCACGTGTCGAAGGCGGCCAGATCGCGCCTCATGCCGCCGTATGGCCCATCCAGAAAGGCGCGGTATGTGTGGAACGGGCCCTTCTCAATGGCAGTGTCCAGGACCTTGCGCGTAAAGCCGCCGTAGGCCTTGAAAAGGAGAATGCAATCCCGATAGTTCTCTCCGTATTCGGATGGAAAGTCTTCGCTGCATAGAGATGAAATGGTGAACGGGTGGTTATCGAATAATGAGATGCCAGGAATTCGGAGATAGACGTATTGGCCAGGCTTCCATCGCATCTGCGTGGGAATGGTGACTTTGATGGCATTCTCAGCCATTAAGGTGATGGCCGCCTCGTCGCCAACCATAAAAGATAGTCGCCCAGGCCATGCCCAGTTCAGCTTAAAAACTCGCAGAATATTGCAGACTACCCAGATGGCCACGGTGACGTAGAGGTAGTCCCAGGTAAGGAGTTTGTTGTTCGTGTGCCAGAACAGCATGCCAACGTAGATGATACCGACCGGGACGTGGAAGATGACGAACAGCTCGTAGGCAACCCTTCGGATCCACGGCAGCGAGGCCACACAAAGCCAGATCAACGGAACAATGCAAGCGATTCCCGTGCCGTAGATTATGCCCCTTGAGGAGGGAAAAGTCGAGGCCCATACCGACATGCCATTATCATCCCAGACGGGTTGTACGTAAAAGGGGATCATGTGAACCAGCGATAGGAATAGACAAAGGTAGCTGAGCCATCGGTGGAAGACATTCAGTCGCTCCGGCCCAATGCCGAGCAGCATGGTCAGGATATTCGTCTTCATGCTCGTCGCGACAATCCAGGGCGTCAACGCCACAGAGAGCATGCCGGCCCGGATCGCGACGGGAGGCGCTCCAAAGCGAATGCTCTCCCAGTAGAGCGGTTGTTGGAGGAAGGTATATATGGTGACAAAGGCAAGGGCCACAAAAGTCGTGGCCAGAACCGCAAGTGAGGAGAAGGTAAATCGATGCTTGCCAATGACAATATCGGGAACAGATCGATAGAAGAGCCATCGAAACAGGGCTAATGTGTCGTTGACGAAGCCGATGGACGAGAAGTGTGCTTTCGGACGGAACTTTTCGCCCATGGGATCGCCGTCGGGGAAGAACTCCTGGGCCGTCCCGGTGCGAATGGCCGCCTGGACGAAGTTGGCGTCGACATTGTACGTGTCCCGATAGTGCGTCTCGACTTGTTGTTTGTAGATGGCTTGCCGAATCTTGTCCTGCCAGAAATGCCAGATGCGAACCAAGATGACACAGCCCGAGAGTGCTGCTGCGAAATAGGTCCAACCGAGAGCGTATTTGCCGGCCTTGGACCACGGGTCAACTGTATTCGCCTGGACAAGGCCCGGCGGGCTTGTAGGAGTCAAGGGAATCAGCAACCGCTTGACGACGTCGGAAACGCTTCGCGTGGCTTGGGTGGTGAGCTCCTCCTGCATACTGGGCGCCATGATGACCAGTCGAAATCGAGTGCAGCTGCTTCAGCCGCGCCTGAGCAAACGGTGTGGACGAGGCACGAAGCACAACGAGCGAGAGTACGGGGTACGGGCGTGGTACTGCGTAGCACCCCCAAAACTTGCGTACTGTAGGACGTAGGTAATGGAATAAGCCTGCGGTTTCAACCTGGGCCAAGGATAGCGAATGGATGCTTCTATCGCATTGCAGCCAAAGCGCTTACAGCCCGCCGATCAGGAGGACCTGCTGCTATGAAGTGAGTGCCAATGAAGCAGCAGCGCGCTCCGGGATCATAACGAGCAGTACCAGACTTCTCGATAGAATCACGGCCACTGATAATAAACGAAGGAGCCGGGCAGTGGGATGGCGAAGCTTGATCAACGACTGATGAGCGGTGGGGGGGCGAAATGCGGCGGCCCGTGAGGATATAAAGCACAGACAGACATGACCCTGTGCAAGCATGTACAGCTTCGTTTGACTCCCTGCAGTCGGTACGGAGCGAGTGACACAGGGATGTTTAAGCCGGTGGATCACACCCACGATGGACCAGGGACGGCTGCGAGAGCCTGGGTGACAAGCGCGGGATACCCGTACACTGTCGATACGAACGACCATCGGGCGTTGGCGACATGCCAAAGTGCCATGCGGGCGGGGCGTTGGAATCGTGGTCGCGACGATTCTTTGACCTGATCCAGAACAGCCGTCCGGCCAACGTCGACAAAGACGGGATCGGGTTCGTGTGAATCCAACGGTTGATGGGGAGCACCAGGAACCCCAGCGGCTGGCCAGGTCGCGAGATTGGCCGCTTGAGAGCCGGGGGTTGCACATCCGGGGAATTGCGCACGCCGAGGGACGAATTGGCGCGGCGCTGTGTGACAGGCGACGTGATGAACCGGCGGCATGCAGGTCAACTTGCCGCAATCCAGCCTTGGCGTGCCTCCAACCAGGGAATGGCGATAGTATCTCGAGATTGCTAGCGGGCGGGGCGGGCTGCTTTCTCGCTCGGCAGACGGTTGATGGACGAGAGAGCAAGGGTTTTTTCCCTCTTTTGCCTGCATGAGCTTGAGCAGCGGCGGAAGCTAGCGAGAGACTCGATTCATGTCCCTCGTCCATCGGCATGCAGAACAATTCAAGGCAAGCAGCCGGTGATCCGGTCAGTGGCCGGTACTCGTAGCCAGAAGCCGGTTGGTGGTCTCCAGCGGTCTCCAGCTTTTGCTGACATGGGCTCCATAGGTGGCAGCAACGGCGTCGTCCAGGTGAAGTAGTAATAGATCCCGAGAAACCAGAAGCGACATCTCCGCTGCTGGTCAGAACGCCAGAGCGATCCCCGCCGCATGGACGACGTTCCACGGCTGCAAACACCTTGAGGGTCGGTCGTGAGCTCTAGTGCAGACTCTGCAGATGGTGGCAAGCTCTGGTTTCTGCATTGGGCCACTCAAGAGCTGCAGCAGCTCCCGATCGAGGGCCGTCCGGGCAAGTGAGAATCGGCGGTTGGGGGCTGTTGGTGACGAATCTAGTCCATCTAGTGCACCTTATGCGCTCTGCACTGTGATTCGACGGGCGGCACTGGGGGCTTTGAGTGCCTTGGACGTGGGCGGCAAAAGAAGGCGTGTGATTCGCGGGTTGGCTCGACGGTTGGAGCAAATGAGGGACGGGGGAAGAGCTCGCCAAGGTGCTGATACTAATCTCACGACGAGGAGCACTGAATAAGGCAATCATTGAGGGATCAGCTCTGATGGTTGTCGATGGTGGCGTCTGGTCGCTTCTGCTGCTGCTTCCCCTTGCTTGCGGCTTGTGGCCCGGAATTCGGGCCAGCTTTTGGCGAATGCTTCCCCTGGCAGCCTTGTCCACACGGCTATGCTCCGTACATGGCAAAATCATCAGAATCATCAGATCCGGTCTCCTTGCATCTGCAATCCGTAGAGACTCCGCCAACTAGCCATGGCGGCGTTGCAGGCATGACGCTTGTGGTGATAATCGGTCGCCAGACTATGAGTCCGAATGGCCTTTACCAGGACTGCTCTGCCGATTGAAGATGATTCGTATCTGGAGAGACGCGTCAATCTGATAATCATCAGACCACTAACTCCATACAGCATGAAGTAATCGGCAACGACGGCATCGATTCCTGTCCCTGTCTTTTTCATCTCTCACGTTTTCGAGGCCTCCCCTTGGTAACAGATGGAATCTCGTCACTCAGCCTTGCGACCCGCCCACGCTCCATTGGCCGTACATTAGTACAACTTCTCCACCCGCAAGGCTGAGGAGTCAAGTTTTCTTTCCCAACTCTTGTTTGAGCACGGCGGCACAAAGAAGCACCCCCGATAACGTTCGATGAATCTGATGCACTTGGCTCAACCTGCACCCCATTGTTCTACTTTTGCAGTCTCTCTTTAATAATACTCACCATTCGACGCCGAATACTCCCGACAAATCGCCATAATGGCAGCTGAAGCGGGCCTGTCTCGCTCTACCTTTGCCAAGCTCTCTCCTCATCCGTATCTCCTCGCAAACCTCGAACCCTCCAGCGACTCTGCCGCACCGACGCGAAGCAATGGCCGAGCCCCATTCGAAGTTCGGAAGCCGACGGTGAACCTGTCGAGTCTATCACATGCCCACGGAAGCGCTCTGGTGCGAACAGGAGACACCACCGTCATCTGCGGCATCCGGGGCGAAACAATCCTGACAGAGCACATCCCCAACTACCGCGCATCCAACACACAGACAGAGCTATCCGACTATGACCTCTTGGTTCCGAACATTGAACTGGCCACCGGATCTGCGCCACAATTCTTGCCCGGCGGTCCGCCCACAACGCTCGCCCAAACACTGAGCACCAGGATCTACTCTCTTCTACACAGCTCCAAGCTGCTGCGCGCCGAGGACCTGCGGATATGGCATAAACGACCGGCCGAAGCTCCGATCCCAGGTGACGAAGAGGAGGGTAATACGGAGGGGACCGAAGGGGAGGAGTACGTGGCAGCCTACTGGGTGCTCTACATCGACATCTTCTTCATCTCCTTTGACGGCAACCCGTTTGATGCGGCTTGGGCTGCTACCGTGGCCGCTCTGCGCGACACCAAGCTGCCTCGGGCTCGCTACGACCCCGACCGAGAGATGATCTTGTGCTCTAGGAAAGACCCCAGGCCTCTCACGGTGGGAAGCATACCGATCGCCTGCACGGCGGTCATCTTCACAGGCAAGGAGACGAAGGACCAGGCTCCGGATGGCAAGTTCTGGCTGCTGGCTGACCCAGATACCCTCGAGGAGTCATTATGCAACGAGACGGTCACGATTGTGGTGGACTGCGCAAGCGGTTCAAGGAGAATACTGTCCATCTCGAAGCACGGAGGCACGGCCATGACGGCGAAGCTACTCGGGTCCAAGGACTTTCTCGACTGGGCGAGTAAGCGGTGGGAGGATTTTGCATCAGCAATTACTGGCAATCGGCTTTGAATCTAGTTGTATCATAATACCACGATTGTTTCAAGTTTAGGAGACATGATCATGGCATCAAGTCCAAAAAACCTCATGGATCAAAGCAGGCATGTGTCAACCATTCGAACCACCCTTTCAGACTTTATTCTAGGGCAGTAGATACCGGCAGACGACTCTCTCTACCGCTCAAGTCGAAGAAACCCGCGATGCCACATACATAAAGTACACAAGACATAACGTGAGAAATTCGACAAGCGGTTACTATGTTAAAGAGAGAAGGGGAAAAAAGAGAGGAGAAAAAAAAGCTCGGAAAATTGAGAAGCTCACACAATTTAGAGCACGCACAGGCCACCCGACTTAGCTAATCCACCTCCCCACCTCGCTTGAGCCTTGCCAACAGCCTTCAAGCCCTCTAAAAAAACAAACCTGCTATTTTTTCTTCATCTCGTCTCGTCTCTCTCTCTCTCTCCTCTTCTCTTCTCCCTCCCATCATCTCCCCTCAAGCAGAACCAATGGAATCCCTCTCAGACACAAAGTGGGATGTAGTGATCAGCGGCACGGGGCTCCAGCAATCCCTTCTCGCCCTGTAAGCTTCGGATTCCATTCGGCCTGGCCTGGCCCGCCCTTCTGCCTGTGCCTTCTTGTTTCTTCAATCTGCCTGCAAAAAAAAAAAAGACTGACTGACCAGCCCTCGGTGTGTCGTGAAAAAAGTGCCCTGTCGCGATCTGGCAAGAACATCCTCCACGTCGATTCCAACGAGTACTATGGCGAGGCTGAGGCTGTCCTGAGCCTGCAAGAGGTTGACGAGTGGGCGGCGAGGCGGCAATCCGGCGACGGGGATGGCGTTTTTGCAGCCGCAAAGGTGACTCGCTCCGACGACGCCGAAAGCTTGTCGTCGTCGAGAGGATACAGCCTCGCCCTGGCTCCTCAGCTGATCCACACGCGCTCGGAGCTGCTCTCCAAGCTGGTGTCGTCCAAAGCCTTCCGGCAGCTCGAGTTCCTCGCCGTCGGCTCGTTCTACATCTTCCAGCCCTCCTCATCCACAGACCCGGGTTCAGCCCCCAGCCTCCACCGCATACCGTCCACCCGGGAAGACGTCTTTGCCAACACGACGATTTCCGTCAAGGCGAAGCGGGGGCTCATGAAGTTCCTCAAGTTCGTGCTGGACTACACTTCGGAGCCGCAGACGGACGTGTGGAAGCCGCACGCAGGCGACTCGCTGGCGAGTTTCCTTGCGGCCGAGTTCAAGCTCGACGCCGACTTGCAGGCATACATCATCACCCTGACCCTCAGTCTCGACGGCAAGATCACAACGGAAGCTGGCCTGGCCGCCATCCACCGCCATGTCACGTCCATGGGCGTCTTTGGCCCCGGGTTCGCGGCGGTGTACCCCAAATGGGGCGGCCTCTCTGAGATTGCCCAAGTGGGCTGCCGCGCCGGTGCCGTCGGCGGCGCTGTCTACATGCTCGGCGTTGGCGTCAAGGACGTCCAGAAAGCCTCCTCCGCGGCCGAAATGCCCGAGGCCCTGGACATTGTCCTGTCCAACGACATGCCCATCAAGTCAAAGACCCTGGTCAAAGGGCTGGGCCAGCCGGCGCGCGAAAGCCGCCGTCTGAGCAGGCTCACGGCCATTGTCAACTCAGACCTGCCCTCGCTCTTTGAGGCCGTGTCCGAGGGTCCGACACCAGCCGTTGCCGTGGTCGCGATTCCCGCTGGGACGCGCTTTGGCGAGGATGGCGCATTGACAGAGTATCCCATCTACGCCATGGCTCATTCGAGTGACACAGGCGAATGCCCCCGTGGACAATGTAAGTTTCATCTGATTTCTATTTTTTCCCCCACTCCTTCCTGTCATTATTCTGTGTTATGATGATAAAACGAAAAACGAATACTTATCTACATTGGCTGAATCCCATTGACGATAACTTCCTCTGACAACCTGATAACACACACACATTTTCATTGGCACTTGTTATTCTCTTGCACACTTTTTACAGGCGATAGTTTGCTAACGCTTGTTTCCTGGTCACAGGCGTACTATACCTAAGCACTCTCGCAAGCCCAAATGCTCAAGCCCATCTTGAACAGGCGCTCTCGTCTCTGCTGGCATCGCTGGCAGTGCAAGGCCAGGCTTCTTCTCCCAAGCCGCTCTACCAACTGTATTATGAACAATCCGGCTATGATACCCCATCTGTAGACATTGATGAGCAGTCTGCCGTGTTTTCTCTGCTACCTCTGGACCTTGCCTTCAACGACTCTGTACTAGATCCCGTGCGGAAAGCTTGGGAACTGGTCATGCCCGATGTGACGGATGAGGAGGCTGCAGAGTACATGGTATTCACAGACCGGGAAGGCGCCGATGCAGAAGATGAGTTTGATAATTGAATAGATAAAGAACGCATCAACTGAACGATTATATGTCCCTGAACGGCCCTATGCTCTGTGATGGCTATCTGAGTGACTGGCTGCTTCTAGATCCTCCTTGAAACCCTGCTTGAGACCATACCAATCCACCGTGAAAATGTTCGCGTCTCGAACCGTGAAAGTAAATTGCAGTAGACGTCCGCATCTTTATCCGTATCCCCTTTTCGTCCACAAATCTTTGGTGAAAATCCTTCCGACCACCAAAGCCGCATCATTAGAAAGATGAAAACAAAGAAATAACTGAGATATCAGGAAAATCAAGTCCAGCCTCGGCTGTTTGGAATAAGCTGCCGGTTTTTCAATGATCCATTCCCATGCCAAGATAGATGCCAGTTGTCCCAAACGCCGTGTGCCAAATGAAAGGCATCCCCTGAAAAATCAAAACGTATCAAATCCCCTATTCGCGTGGTCGCGTGCCCTCTAAGGCGTTCAAACCCCAAACTCCTGAACCGTTGCTGCCTCAAAGGCCCCCAAATCAAGCAAGCTCATCATCAGACTCCGCGTACACGCCCTCACTGACGGGCTTGATTCCAATTCGAAGTGTTCCAAATGGTTGCATGGCTGCCGCTCCATCTTGGCGAACCGAAATGATATTCTTTGTCGCCAAGGACAGGACATGAAGAAACGCCTGAGCGGCAATGGCCTTGGTATGGGTGCTGGGATCGGCCAGCTCCTCAAAGTCGATCCAGCGGCGGTTTCGCGGATCTCGACTGTGAGTGACTCCAGTCTTTTCAGCCTGCTCTGTCACGTAACCCAGAAAGTTCTGACTGGTTACGTCGAGGCCCTGCGCTGACACCTGAGTGTTGTTGACTTGATCAAAATCAAGAGGACCAACGGGTCCACCCATCTGGAAAGACGAGTCTTGAGAACCAAAGTCGTCCATTCCAAGAAGCGGCTCGGCAGGGTCGCTATGGCGGTCAATTCCACCCAGCGCGCTTCCACGATTGAAGAGAGGGCTTGGAGCAACCTTTGACTTCTGTGCGCTTCCTCGGACAGATGAACCAGGGACAGCAGAGCCAGGTCGACTCCATGGCATCACCGAAGAAGAGTGACGATCTTCCATTGGCGGTGCCGCCTCCATTCCAATCTCAGGAACTGAGTTATCATCAAACATGATGTGTGCATCATCGTCAGTATTGTGATTTTCGCCTCGTCCAAGCTCCACATCCTCAGTCGTTCGTGGCCTTGTGTTTCGATCGCCGCCTTCTTGTTCGCCCTCGAATGCTTCGTCTGATTTGCGGCGTCGACCTCGCTTTGTGGGCTCAGTCTGCTCAAACTCGTCTGGTTCCTGTCCTTGAAGACGAGCCTTCAACGAGATGCCAGCAAACTCGGTGGCCAGAGGGTGAGCCAAGCCGGCTTTCTGGTGGTATGCTCCGACATGAGCAACGCCATACTCATAGAGGAGTGCCATTGCATTCTTTTTTGCCTGGGCGGGAGTAGTCGTTGTTCTCTGTTGCTTGAGATTCAAGGCGGAATGATTTCCACTGTTCCTGCTCCAATTCCTCATCTCCGAATTTGAAATGGCGATTTGCGTGTCCAGCATAGTATGAAGGCCAGGCCGACGGGATCGTGCCATCCTGGCGGATGCTTGGGCAGCTTCTCCTTCTGCTGTCTCGGCTACCTGCTGCTGGGCCTCGATAGGTTGATTTCCTTCAACGGACTGGATCGCTTCCACCATTTGCTGTGCGTCGTCACCAAAGTCCAACAGGTTCTCTTCTTCCCCCACGATGATTCCTCGGTTCTCTTTCGGTACTCGTTGAAGTCCAAGGCCAACCACAGGGCTTGCTGCGACGGGAAGAGGAGGTAGCTCCTGCTCCGCGTCCAAAAGGCCAATGAGATTGCCTTCTCCGTCGAAGTCGAGACCGAATCCTGCGATGCACGGGAATTCATCCTCGCCAAAGGGCTGGAATTCACCCATGTCGTCAGGGAGGTGAATTGACTTGCCAAACAGAGGGCTGAGGTTGCCAAAGTCTGAGGGAATGCGGCCACTTGCAGCAGACTGCGATGAAGGCGGCAACTGGAGGTTGATCAGTGCAGGAGGGTAGCGCGGCGAGGAGCTGCCTTGGCTCGCAGTGCCGAGCGGTGTCATCTGGGAAAATTTGCTCGCCGAGCCCTGGCTTGGATACAGCACCAGGTCCTTGTCCCATCGCAGCAAGTCAAAGTTTGGCAGTGCAGCCAAGGGGTCGAAGCCAGGATCGTCCTCCAGCATGATGTTCTGGCGCCTTGATCAAATACGTTAGCCTTGGACTCTTGTCATGAGCATGCCTTTTCCGTCTTACTTTGTCTTTCCAGCTCGTGGATCGGTCTCGCTGGTCTGGATGATGCGAAAGAAAGTCACCATATCAGACTGAGTCTTTTCCGCGTCGGTGAGGACATAGGCGCACTGGTGAGCGAACACGCGGGAGACTCCGTAGAGCAGGTTCCCCTGGAGGCGGAGGGCGAGGGGGGCTCCCGGGTCCAAGATCTTTTCGCACGCCTTGGGAACATTGACCTCTTGGATCGCCTTCTTGGTCAGCCTCTTTTGGTTCCCTTTACCAACAGTGGCAACCAGCCTGGATAGTGATGGTGGTCAGTGGAACGCCAGTTCTGCAGTTGAGCGGTTGAGTGCTTACCATATGGTAGCGACTCCATATTGGGTGTTGTTGAGGACTATATGGATTGTTAGAGACGTTCCATGACCGTATTAAATTTTGAAGCTATCAAAGCTTACTCTCATGACTGTAGAACATGGTGAAATAGGGGGGGCCGAGCCGCCACGAAACTCAAAGAGAAGCAACTCGGAAGAGGAGCCGGAAGGAGGCACTCCCTGAGAGTAACTGTAACCACACGCAATGAAACGATGACGGTGATGAAGATGATGATAGTAATGATGAAGACAACGATGCATGTGCTTGAAGCCTCTCTGGGCTCGATCGCCGACCTCCTGGTGGAACGAATGTGTGGTAATGAGGGGACCCTTGAAGCTGTAGAAAACAAATTGAAACGAGGGAATGTAGAAAGAAGTAGAAAGAACGACGCGAGACACTTGAAACGCGTCAAGCGCATGACGTGACGAGATTCAGCTCGCGGAAGAAGGAACAACTGCGTCCGCTTTCCTGTCAACTGCCAGCTGCCCGGCAGTTGTCATCACCGCCTTTGGGAGAAAAGCGTCTGATGCCAGAGGGCAGTTCATGTTTGAAATAATGCATGAAGAGAACTCCAATGAACCTGATTCTAGTTTGTCTATGAGTGGAAAACGTAACTCATCCCCTTTCAGTATAGAGAAGAGGCCAGTGATTACCATGTATATACATTCTTCATTAGTAGGTATAGACGACCAGGATTATTCCTTGACCCAGGCAACAGGAGAAAAGAGCACGGAAGAAATCAAATAGCATAACAAAAGGGAATCATGCAAGAATCAAAAGAAGAAGAAGAAAGACCGATATAAAAACGGGGGAGGAAGAAGAGAAAAAGGAAAAAAACTCCAAGAATGTGACAAGTCAGCACCAAAACGCCCGCGAAATCACCCCTGATTCAACCTCAACACCCCCCTGATCCACCGCAAAAACACCCTCAGCCTCGCCTCGCTCTTCACGCCAGGCAGCATCCCCGGCTCCAGCGCGCTCCGCCACCCAACCATATACGAGTCCCAGTGGCACATAATCTTCCCCCACGGGTCCGGGAACATGTTGTCCCTCATCGACCGCCGGATCTCGTACCACCGCGCCGGATCCCACAGCGAGGCGGACCAAATGTCCAGCATGCCCTGCGTGATGCCCATGATGTCGTACGCAACGGGCATCGTCGGGTCGATGCTCGCGTGCAGCCACCGCGGGCTCTCGAACTGGCGCCATATTCGATAGCCCCCTCTGTCTCTGGATCCCCAAAAGGGCCTGTACCTCTCAAACTCTCGCGGCTTCCGCGCCCAGCTGCTCCTCTCCCCCCGCGAGAGGATCATGCCAAAGCCGTGGGCTTTGTGCTTGCTGGCCTCCTTCTTCATCGCGAGCACAGAAGTACGCAGCACCTTGTCGTCTCCCGCGCTCCCACATATGCACCGGTGCAGGCGATCCAGCCCCTGAACAAGGACATACGGCATCACCCGCTCGCTTACATAGCAGTCATCTTCTGTGGGAAAAGGGAAGATATGAGTCGACATATGGACTGGGACAGGTATAGAGTGCAACAACTCACCTAAATCATGCAGCGCCCTTCGAACCCACGCCTGCAGGGAAATAAGCTGATACAGCTCCCACGGCGCCATGAACCGGAGCACGAGCATCAGCTGCAGGACCTTGAGCTTCTCCAAGCTATCAGTAAGCCTGACGGTGTCAATCTCGCCCTGCGGCGTCCGCTCCACGTCCAGATACAGCTTCTTGCAGAAGATGCTCAGGATGTGGAAGAGGTACAGCGCGTGTCCTACCCTCCTCCTCTCGGCCACCGTCGCCGGCCGGCGCCGAAGCGAGTCCTGCATGGGGTAGAAGTGGAGGCTCTCTCCCACGAGGCAGTCCTCCAGAAAGACGTCGGTCAGCTCCGAGATCTTGCTCCACAGATGAGACATCCTGTCCGCATCCCGCAGCGTGATCCGGGTGGCCGTGTCTCTGGGGTGAAAGGACGACGGCTCGGGAAGCGTCTCCTGCAGCGCCGCGGCGTCGTCCCGGACCTGGCGCAGCCGGTTCACATGGCCGCGGATGCTGTCCACGGTGAGCTCGGGAAAGGCTGGCAGCATGACGGGCACCTTCTCGACGTGGCATGTGACGAGGGCGTGGACGAAGAGGTCCTCGCCCAGTTCGTTTTCCAGGACGGTGTGAAGCACGACTCCTCTTCTGTGAGTGGTGAAGATGCTGTGTATCCTCTTGTTCACACGGACGAGGGACTTTAACGATTCTACATCGGGCAGCTTTTCCATGATGCTCAGGACAATCTCTGGAAAGAGATCGTTGAAAGTCGTCGTTGCCATGGTTTGGGCCGCTCGAGTAAACGCAGGGATGTTGATTGGGCACGCGTGTAAGCGAATCTCTATTTTGGCGGGATGCAACGCAGAATGGGATTCTTGATGGTATCCTTTGATAATAAATGAAGAAGTAAACGCTGTCTATACTGACATGTAACGTAGTAAAGAAAAATACAGTGAATGAAAGGACAAGAATAAGAAACCGAGGGAGCAGTTAGACGTGAGTACATATATGTATGCATGTTGGGAGCACATCCCGTCCAAGAGATAAAAAGATGCCACCCCCGACCAACAACGCCCGCGAAGTTCCGCCAAAGGGGGCTGCCCAGCTGAGTTTGTTTGGCGCAAGGGACGAGAGGAGGAGGAGGAGGAGGGGTGCAGACGTCATCCCTTGGGTTGTGACAGGCCCCCCGCATTCAACAAACAGATAGGCTATCGCGATGATGATGCATGATATAAAACAGCTACTACTGAATGGAGGAAGCTGTACGGACATTGGATGGATAAGTATCTCCAGGGCGTGATGGCTTCATCGGCTCGTCGCGGGCGTTTTTTACATGCTTACACGCATGTACCAGGTAGGGATGAACGAAAAACCAACAAGGGAGGTAGCTGACAGATAACAAACCTGGGGAGCAACTAAATTAAAGTCATCCGGAGAGCATACAGATACAGATGGACAGGCATGGGGCAAATGATGGAGACGGAGACGGAAGTGCGCAAGACGTCTGGTTCCAATCAAACATGGATGATGCCCTGCATACACCGCACAGCAACCCCGAGCTGTGTCACTTGACACCAGACCATATTATGTACATACAAAACCAAAACGACGGAAACTGATAAGAAACCCTCGAATGATAAAACCTCTCGCCTGAAAGGCCCGAGAGTGCAAACCAGTATCCCGGAAGGGAACTGCAGTGCCTTCTTTGTACCTAAGTGGTCAGATAAGGTATCTGCTCTTCCAGTTGGGAATAGCTCCCCCTCCAAGCCATGTCCGACCACGGCAACGCCAGGCCCTGGATTCCTCCGAAAAGTCAATCCGCTGCTGACCAACAAACGCCTCCTAACAATCTCCCAAGAATGAAACATGCATTCGGGATATCCTAGAGTTGTCTTGTCGAACCAACAACTTCCTGGCTTGTAATGCAACGATATGGTAGAAAGCAGTTACTACCTTATACCAAGTTATATATACAGGGTAGCATTAGGCATTTCAAGGCGGCACCTACAAGGCAGGTCGCGTTGTTCGGGCATATAGATTAACCCCTCACTCACATCCTCTCTCTCTCTCGCTCTCAGCTTGTTTGCAGGGCTCGACCGGCTGTACATACATACAATACTCTTCCTGTCGGCGTATTTCTTTATCTGCTGCGAATCACAGACCTCGAAAGACGAACGGCTTCATAAAAGTCACAGTTTCATGTAAACAAGCACTAACCGAGTTCCTGCGGAGCCTTGTAGGCATGCCAGCATAGGTAGCTGGGTCGTGTGTCCCGCTGGTAACCGACTTCAAGGTGTCGTAGATGGCAACGACACACAACTCGCTCAACAGTCCAGCCGAGAAGCCACACAAGCAATGAGACCAATCAACCTCCATGACCTGTTATAAAGGGGGGATCAACCAACTTCCATTTGCACTTTGTGACGCTACTATCTAACGATGGCCTGAACGCTCAGCACCACCGTACATGGAACCCAGATCACTTGATCTTCTAGTTCTAAACTTCCGTCATGCCCCGGCTTTGAGAGACCTTCTTCTTCTCTTTCTCTTCTTCCCCCATCCCTGCTCTTCCCGCCAAAACCAAGGCGAGTCAAGCTGCTAAAAAGCAAATAGTCCTCCACAAGGCTCCAAAGAGGTTCCTTGTTATTCCTCCCGCCAACTACCGAGCCGGTCATTGCCCCTTGCAAGAACCAAATCACAAAAGAGCCATTCCTAAATGCAAAGCCCATTCACTCGAAGGGGCATCCAAACAAAGAACGCACGAGGACTTGTTAACACCAACACAGAAACTGAACCGACTAGGGCTTAACCTTCTGCTATTGCTGCTTGGGGGATGAACAAAACCTAGAAAGAAAAAGACATAACGGGAAAACAAAAACCGATGAATAGCCGGCCTCCTTAGTACTCCCTATTCCTTTCTACATGACTTTTTGGTTAGCCGCCGCCGTTCATTCCGATACGTGCGGGGCATACATGACTTCTCTATTCCATCGTGATGACTTGCGGGGGGGCAAACAAAAACAAAAGACGATTAAAATGGGATGGAAGGGGCACGAGGGGGATTTCAAGTATGAAAACTGTAACCACTCGAAGAAAGAAAAGGGGGATATTGTGTAGTGTGAGAAAATGTCTTCGTGGAATGGGGTATTGGATTACTGCAGTGTCATAGGGTCTATATACACATGAAGTGGTCATGGAGATCGTGTTGTTCTGCTGTGTCGTGATGAACTTGGGGGGGAGGGGTAAGGGGTTATGCGCGTGCCTTAACATGCGGTGGGGGATAACGGTGACCTCGACTCGATGGACGGCTGCTGCGATGCCGTAACTCTCTTATTCTCGGGCGAGGCTGATGGTCTGAGACGGACCTTCACAGTCAAAAACAAGTCTGCCTCTTCATGACTGAGAAATGACGCCCTGTGAGCCGCCCAGCTGGCGCTTGACCTGCTCGCGAGCCCAGCGAGCCGTCTCGATGGTGCGTGGTTGGAAGTCCCGGTTGGTCTTTGTCTCCTTGATCATGGCCGTCAACCAGCTCTGTCGGAAGGCATCGACAAGCTCGCCGTTGGGGTAAGCATCGGCCAGGTCACTAGGAAAGAAAAAATTAGCATGCTTGTTCACGTATATCAAGCGTGAAGGTAATCCTTACCCGATGACTCCCATAGCTGCCCGCATGAGCGACTCGCTGCGGTTGGCATCGCTGGCAATGAGGTTGAGCAGCTGGAAAATAGCGGGAACATATTGCTGGAGGACTTGGGCTGTAGAGAATCGGTCAGCGCTACAAGCAAGGCAAGGCGAGGCGGAAGTCAAAAGTCAAATAACATACTCTTTCCGCTGGACTTCATGGCACCGATAATGCCACCCCACGCGTCCATAATCCCTTCTCGCAGAGAGATGACATAATAAAACATCTCGTCGGGGCCGTCAGGGGTTGCAGTGACAGTGGATGCTTGCTCCAGAACCTGGGCAACGACGGACAGGTAGGTCTCAAAGTGACCCCCAATGGCGCCGGCAATGTCTCCAAAGCACTGCAGGATAGCAGGCTTGAACTGGTTGGCAAGGGTCGTACTCTGTGCGCGATTCAAAGTCAGCCACGTTAGTATCAAGATGCGTTGTAAGCAAGGAAGGGACTCACCCTGAGGTTGTTGAGGAGATAGTTCATAAAGTTGTCGCAGTAGGGCTGGCTGCGCTCGCCCATGGATCGCGTGATGTCGCTGACGAGGCCAATGGCCATCGAGCAGAGACTGGGCTCTTCCTGGTTGCCAAGCGCGTTATACAGGAATGGAACGAAAGCCTCCATGTACTTGATGAAGTCTTCTTCCATGGTAGTTGAAAGAGCGCTGATGGTGGCGAAGACGGCCTCGGGGACGCTCGACTTTCCTCCGATGGTGCTGAGGATCTGGAGGAGGACCTGCATGATGCGGTCGCCCTGAGGGGCAATCTCCTTGTCGAGGCGCGAGATGATGGCCTGGAGAACGGCGCAGAGGCTATTTTGCATTTCTTCCAGCGTCAGCTTGTCCTCGACGCTGACGACCTGGGTCTGCAGAGGGATGGTCTCCTCCAGACGCTTGATGATGACATCAGACAGCGATGCGACCGCCGGGAGGCTCTCGGAAGCAGAGTTCTGAACAAATACGTTGAGAACCTCGTAGGCAGCGGTGCGCACAGACGTTTCTGTATCCTGGCGTCCGGTGGCGGTCACATCCAGCAGGGAGCTGACGGCCTGGTTGAAGTGGGGGGTGATGGGGTTGGTCGGGGCACCGAAGTCGCCGGCGAAGCGCTCGGCGAGGTTCATCAGGGCCCAGCAGCAGGAAGGCGCCATCTTGGCGTTGCTGATGAGGCCCTTGAAGAGCGACGCAATCAGCGTGGGAAGATGCTGCTGGGGATCAATGGCCTCTGAGCACGCCTCGGTGACGCGGCCCAGCGCATAGGCGGTGGAATCCCGGACCTGGAGGGACGAGTCGTCCATCATGGTGATGAGGACGGGGAGGGCCTGCTTGACGATGGGCTCCAGAACCTTCTCGTCCGGGCCCTCCATAATGGCGCCGAAGGCGGAGACGGCGGCGTCTCGGTTGTGCCAGTCATCCGACCTCAGGTTGGCCTCGACAAAGGACAGAACGGGCGCAATGATGGTGGAGTTGACGGCCTGGGAGTAGAGCTGCAGGCACTGGTAGGCGGCCCGGGACAGGTTGTACTCGTCGTCGGTGGCATCCTCGTCCTGCTTGGTCAGGAGCGTCAGCAGGACGGGGACGACCTCGTTGGCGGCAACGCGGGCAAAGTTGTAGAAGGAGCGCATCTGGTCTGAGCTCTCGACCTGCGAGTTGTCGTCCTCGATGGAAATCTCCTCTTCGCAGACGGTGCTCCAGAACTCGACGGCCAGCTTGGCCACGTCCTCGTCCTCGGATTTCATCCCGAGAATGGTCAGGCCGAAGAGGGCCTTCTCCATGTAGAAGCGCATGTTCTCGTAGTAGAGGGCCATGATGCGGTTCAGGCAGCCAAAGGCGCCCTGCTGGATGCGCGAGTCGTCGGCCTGGGTGGCCTCGCAGACGACCTGCATGATGTAGTTGCGCTCGCCCTCATGCTTGAAGTTGTTGGCAACAAACTCGAGGGAGTCGCCCAGCGCGGTGATGGCGGCGAGCCGGACCTCGGCGTTGGTCTCCTCCTTTCGGGCGCCCTGCACGACGGCCGTCAGGATGGCGTTGGAGTGGGACACGAGAGCCAGCCGCAGCTCCGAGTCCTGGCTTTCGCAGATGTAGCCAATGGTGGTGAGCGAGGCCTGCTTCTGGTGATCGGCGCCCTCGCTGACGTTCTTGACGAGGAAGGACAGCAGATCCGGCCACTGGTTGCGGGGCAGCTCGATGGCGGCGATGGAGGAGATGACTTGGGCGGCAGCAGTGCCGGCCTGGGTGTTGCTCGATGACAAGGTCTGCAGCGTCAGCTGCTTGACCCGGTTCTTTGTCTCGTCGTCCGTCCCCTGGAGCCATTTTGTCTGGAGCTCCTGTTGCCGAGCGAAGTCCCTGGCTGTGAAGGCGTTCTTGAGGGCAATACCGGCGGCAGCTCGGATGGAGCCATCCGCTTGCTCATTTGCGAGCTCTTGAACGAGTGTAGCGAGATACAGCGGCTATGCGAGAAGAAGATGGAAACTATTGTTAGTGTCTGCGATGGGAATCTTTCCTTCGGCGGTGACTTCAAGGGAGGTTGTGGCTGAGGACGTACGAAGTTACTCTCCGCTGCCTGAGTGAGTTGCTGTTCGGCGGCGTTTCGCAGGTTCGCATCTGTGTGTTTTCGCCCTTTGGTTAGCTAACGATGCTCCAGAGGTGAAGCTCTCTCTCGGTCGCCCTCCTCATGCCGCCTCATGGGTTGTCTTTGTTGTGGGCTGGGAGGTGAATTCCCGAGCAAACAACGTGCCCCTCTGAGGGGCGTCGGAAGAGGGCTTCTGCGGCATCGACTTTTTTTCCTTCCTTTCCGTCTCCCGTACTAACCTGGCGAAAGCGAGTTGGCGAGCACCGTATTAATCTCTGAGCTCGACATGATGGCGGTCTTTAAAGCGTCCTGTCATGCGTCGTCCGCAGGTCGTCGCTGATGCTGGTGGGAGAAACGCCCTGTTGTGCTGAGCGGCCACACGTGTTGGACCAAAGGGGGGAAAGAAGGGCGTTGACGCGGGGGAGGTTCCCAAGGCGGAGTCGGAGAGAGAGAAGAAAAAAAGAGAAAAAATAATAGAAAGAAAAAAGAAAAGCGGTAGCCTCGTGGGATACACGTAGCTGAGTTTTGCGCGACAAGGCAGAAACAAGGGAAAAAAAGGGCGGTCTATTGTTTTGGGCTTTTTCTGGTGATGTAGTTTTTTTTCCACAATCTTGGCCGAACCGTGAGGATCCCAACAGCTGCCTGGCTGTATTGTATTACGGTCAGAAGCAGACGCAGAAATGGGAAGAAGAGAGCGAATAGGGTCGAGGGATCGCACAGAGGGTCTGCCTCCAAATAGAAAAAGTGTCGGCAAGGGGGGGTCGGTTTCTGTGGGATGACGGGGGGCCCGAGTTGCTACCGCCACTTGCTTGCAGCTGCAGCGCCTGCGTGCCTTGTTTGGGCGCTACTCTAGAGGGGTTAGGTGCTAAAGAGCGTGCCGGGCTGTGGGAATGGCGGCGAGTGACGCAAGCTCAGGGCAGAGAAAGATGGAGAGCGAAACAAGATGGGAAATGGTTGAGATGCCAGTCACGATGGTCGAGAGGCTGTGGGCGTGCCGACGAGTATTGTTTGTTTGGTCTGAAACAGAGGCAAATACAGAAGAGAGTTTAGTAGGTTGACAGAGAGAAGACGGAGAGAGAGAGAGAGAGAGGTATGCTGTGATGGTGAAAATGTCAAGAATGCAACAAAGAATAGAGTTTCGTGCTGTCAATCGCCAGTTTCGTCCCTCCGCAGCCGAGCTGGGCGGCGTGCAGCGCACGTCAGTGAGCAGCACCGCTAGCGAGGGACACTACAGTGAGCAGGTGGCGGCGCTTGGGCGGTGCTTCCGGGGGGCCGCTCAGGGCAGTCCCAGGCGAGCTTCCAGGGAGCGATCAACGATGACCCGGGCGCTGATCGACTGGGCTCGAGAGCGCTGTAACCAACAGCAGCACTGGACGTCTGGCCAGCAGCAGCAAGCGCCAAAAGCTGAGGCGAAGGGCAGGGCGCGAGCCGGGAGGGATGCTTTCCCCCGGCAGACGACCCCCGACGGACGAATCAGCGCCAGCCGTGGCGGGCTTGCAGCGGGGGCCAAGGAGGGGATTCGCTGGAGCCTCATTGGGCCAGCCGGCAAAACCTCGTTTAACGCAGAGCTGAGTTGCGGCAGAAAAAAAGAGCGACCAGTGGAGCACGTTGAAGGGACAGAATTTGGTAGAAGCAAAAAATACCAAGGTGAAGCGGGGCAATGTCTGCCAAGGAAAAAAAGGCCGTGAGCACATGCATTTGATCTGATGTTTATCTGACTTGATCTTGCGCTGTTGATTGACGCGGATCTTCTGGTATCAGGTACGAGATCTAGTAATGGTATTTTTAGAGAGACAGGATGGGTGAAGATAAGGAAGTAGTAGTTTTCCACGTCATTTGCATGTTGCAGTGGGCTTGCCGTGGACATTTGCCCGGGCTGTGGTAATACAGCGTCTGGCGGTCCTGTACTCCCGCTGTCATGTGATGACGATGACGCCTCATCAGTGCTGCGTCTTGAGCCTCACTGACAGCAGGGCAGCACTATAGAAGACTCGTCTAGTGAATCATTTCATATTATCTACAGGTATGCCACTCGAGTAGATTCAGGTCTGCATCGATACCGTGCCTCCTCTTCGCCTTGATTATATCAAACGAACCCGTGCCTCGTCTCAAAGACAGCAGCGCTACTCCGTAAAACCACCATAGAAAGAACGTACATTCTTCACACGCCACATCCACCAACTCACACAGTGTCCGCAGGGCTGCCTATTCACCCAAACCGCGACATTCTTTCCAACAGCTTCTATTATTCCCCGCCCAAACAGTCTCTGTCGCAGTGCTCCGTAAATCGAAAACAAACTCCACAGCTTCCGTAGCAACACCGAAGCTGCGAGACATGCATCACATTACATGTAAGCATGCGTGTGCGACTTTCTGCACGGTGGAACGAAAATGATAAGAGAGGAAGTGCTTAGAACGCAGTGATGCGCAAAGAGAAATGAACCCATCAGGGCTGTAATGACGGGCTAACATTTATCGAGGTTTTCTTCGACTAATATGCTCACGAGAGAGGCACAAGACAAGCTTTGATTGCGGCACGATGAAAAATAAAGATGGCAGATATGAAAGCGCTCAAAATGTGGTGATGTGAGAATATAAACCTATCAGGGCTTCAATAATTCGTTGGAAACCTTTTGAATTTGCATCATTTGACATGATAATATAGAGCCGATGAGATTGAGGATGTATTTCTTTCTTCCTCGCAGTCAAAAGCTCGTCCTTGTCTCTCTCGCGTGCGCCCTACGTACCTTTTGTATCGAGACCGTGAAGCCAGCAGGTCTATGGGCGAGATCTATCAAAAGTGCACACCTGCAAATACTTGCTTCTGCTTATAAGAGAATAAGAATAAGCAATTTCAAGTGAATTCCTTCTAATCTTCCATAGTACGAGTTGTTGGAAGCGGGTATAGTCAAATGCAAAAGGTACCTTAAATGAGCAACTTCAAGGCACCCTGCCAAAGTTCCCTCAATCAAGCACAAGGCGAGGTTATGAAATAAGCTCATCGCCTTCAACCCACAACACAGCCGATAAAGAGTATGTAAGATTGTTTATTTGCCTTTTTCGTTATTCATTACATATATGAAAAATAAAAAAAACAGAAAAAAACAAAAGTTAAGGGTAGAGAAGAAGTGAAGAAAAAATCGATCAAAACTCCCAATCATCATCAAGCAGTCATGGATCATAAGACATGAGAAAAGCAGATACAGATCATAAGCCATCCAACTTCTCACTCACGCTCAATCTCCCCCCGAGAAAAGAACAAGGAAAACAAAAAAGTATCCAACCAAATCAGTTTATATCATATCCATGCACATCTTCTCCCGCCTCCTTTTGAGCCAGTTACTCATCCAACGGGCACTGGACGTCAGGCTTCAACGATAGCGAGTGGGAGGGGCGCGGTCGCGCTCACGGTCGTAGATAATCTCCGTCTCTCGGATACGCTCGCCGCGGTCGTCCCGCCGAGGAGCCGCGCGCCTGTCGTAGCTCCGTCGGTCATCTTCGTAGTAGTCACGCTCGCGGTCGAATTCGAAGCGGATGCTCTCGCGCGCTCGCTGTCGCTTAGATCGTCGAATGTCATCAGAGAGCTCAGTCAACTGAAGAACATCATCCTGTAACTCTTGTGTCAGCAGGCTGCATTCAGGAGAGAGAGACGCAGCTAAAAGGGAAACTTACATATTTCAAATAGTCCATAATGTAGAAGAACATGTCCGTCTCCTCGTACTCATAGCCAAGCTCCTCAATGGCCTCGCGGATAACCAGGTCCTTGGTAATCTCGGTCCACATCTCCTTGGGCTGGGCGGGACCGGGAGAACGGCCGATCCTGCGGTCGATTTCAATCTCGCGGTCACGGTCGAGGACGGAGACGCTGACACGCTCGCCCCTGACGGGAGGCGGCGAGGGCGCGCGGTTGGACATGTCGTCTCGGTCCCTCTCCCTCTCCGGAATGAACTTGGTCCTCCGCACGCCGCTGTACTTGGAGAAGCTGGTTTCGGTGGTTGCGCCGCCAATGCCGTCCATGCGTATCCGCTCAGTGCCCGGAGGCACGTCGACAATGGTCCAGGCCTTGGTGGCGCCGCCCCAGGCCTCGCCCATGCGGCCGCGGGAGTCGACCTTGGACGTGATGTACTCAGCCTCGTCGTCCTCGACGGGGCGGGGAGCGGCAGAGTGAGCCCTCCGGCGGTTCTTGGTCTCAATCTTGAGGTCACGGCGGATGACAATGTCATCGTCGTAGAATCGGCTGGAGCGCCTCTCGCGGCTCTTGGAGCGAGTGCGGCTGGCGGATCGGTGGAAGTCGACCTCGACCTCGGTGCGGCCCTTGGACAGCTGAATGTCAATGTCCGTCTCCCGGATATCGCGCTCCCGCTCCCGCTGGCGGGGCCGTGGCGCGGGAGGCGGGGATGGCGGCCTGGCCTGGATCATTCCTAAGAGGCGTTTTGTTAGTATCAAATTCTATTGGACGACAACAACAACATTATCTTTATCTTCAACCAAGCACTCACCATGGTCAATGTCTGTGTAGTGAGTAATGACCTCGCGCTCAATCACGGGCCCGCGGATGACGGGCGGCGCAGGAGGGGGTGAGGGCGACGGCGACGGCACCCGCTCACGCTCACGCTCGCGCTCGACGATGCGGATGTGCTCCGAGGTGTCCGAGGGCTCGACATAGCGCACGGCGCGGGGCGAGGGCGACCTGCGGCGGGCGACGGACGGGCTGCGGATCTTCTCGACGATGCGGGTGCGCTCGCGCTCGTGCTCGGGCTCTGAGGGCGAGACGCTCTGGGCCCGGCGGACGATGCGCTCCTCGCGGAAGCGGATCGGGCTGGGCTCGCGCGGAGGGCGGTCGTAGGGGTCGGCATCACGCTGACGCAGCACCATGGGCCCGGCCTCGGGCCTCCGCGACGACCTCAGGAAGTCGGGCAGATCGCCATCTCGCTCGCGGATGCGCACGTCAAACTCCTCGAAGTCGCCGCGGCGGGAGCGCGGGGTGGGAGGCGCGGGGCTGCGGGTGACGGTGCGTGTGCGGATGGTGTCGTCAAACTCGACGGCGGACCGGCGATAGTCTTGGTCCCGGTAGGCCATGCTGCGTTGCGTCTGGTGTCTGTGACGATTCCGGGCTCGCAGCTGCACACAAACAAAAGTCGCTCAGGCTGAGGCTATTCCCGTGTACGAGTACCTCTACTACTTGTGTGTACAAAGTGTGGTGTCTGGGCAGCAAACAAAAGAGGCGGCTTGCTCTGCTCGGAGTCAGTACTTGTATCAGCGGGAGGAGTCGACGAGCGGGGTCCAAGCAAAGGTGGGAACGTCATGCGGCTGAGACAAAATGGCCTGCCTTGTGACGTTTTCCCTCGTCTCTCTCGTGTGCTTTTTCTGCTTTGGCGAGAGATCCCGGCAAGGTCGACAGGGAAGGGCAGGCAGAGAGCCAAACTCACAGTTTCAACAAAGGAAGCGCCGTACAGGGCAGAAAAGCAACCGGTCAGAGGGCGCACAAAGGGGCTACTACAGATGCAAGCAGAAAAAGCTCTGGGGAGGACAAAGCGAGATGTTGGAGGTTGAAAGAAGAGAAGTCGATCGAAGTGCCTGGTTTTGAGCAGTTCCGAGCCCAGCAAAAAGGCGGGCGCCAACGGCTGCGAGGGGGGCAGTGATGACTTTTTTAGAGGCAGCAAGGCAGTATCAGCTGGCGACAGGGGGCTGGCCAACGTCATCCCCGGGCAGCAGACAGGACGGGCCAAGGGCCAGAAACTGGCTCAGGCGATCAAAAAGTTGCTGCTGCTGGAACCTGACCTGGCCGGATGTCTTGTGTGTCATGTATTGGAGGCCCGAAAACGAGCCAGGGGGGGCGCTCCGAGAGGCGCCACTAGAAGGGATCAATCATGCATCGCATCTGCCGACTCGAGGGGAAAGAGAAGGCTCTCGTGCTGCGTCTCTCGTTTTCTCTTGATTTCCGTCTCTTCTTGTTGAACATGTCGAAACACTGCTAGATACTTCTTCCCGTCTATATTCATCCTTCTTCCTCCTCCCCCCTCCTTCTGTCTCCCGGCGTTGACGCTTCTTGGTGTTTCGGAGCCTGAGCGGGGGTCCTGCATGGGAGTTGCTTGCCTGCCTGCCTGCTTGCTTGCTTGCTTGCTGGGAAGTTGGCGACCTGTCTGATGTGCTTTGTTACAAAGCCCGGCCTGGGGGAGCAGCTGCATGCATTTGCGATGCATCCGGATGGAGCACACGGGAGGCAGTCATTGTGAGGTTTGACGCGAGGGCAGTCAAAGAAGGGAGGTGGTGGTGCTGGAGGCTTGCTGCAGTACTGGACATTACATTACAGCGCTGATAGCGATGATGACGCTGTTTGGGCCTGTGCGCTCTGCTACATGTATTGCCCACGAACACCGGGCTGGTTGGAAATGTCTGACTCTACCTTGCCTGACCTTGCCTTGACAGTTGGGCACCTACAATGTGAAACAACCGAAAATACCATGAAAAAGAAAGTCCCATCAACTCAAGTAAACGGTCGAGTCCCAAGTCCACGGCATCACGACAATCAGGAACACCAAGCCAGTGGCTGCTACGCCTCCATCTTAGCAGCGGCTCGGTCCATGGGCCCCTCCCTGTGCTAGCAAAGAACCACCCAACCAACCACCCCGCCAGCCCAAAAGGCGCAGCAGCATCAACCATCCATGACTCTTCTTCTCTCTCTCTCTCCGTCTCTTTTCTGCTTATGCTTGAGCAAGCTTCCCCTCCATCAAACCCACATCAACCCATCACTCACTCAAAACAAACAAAAGCCCCCGGCTGCTTCTCCCTGCCCTACTACTAGTTCTAGTCCCTGCTTCCCCATCTATAGAGGGGCTGTGAAAGGACCACCACCAACCTCTCCAATTCCAGCCCAATCTCAACCTGCTGCTGCTACTACCTACTACTACCACTTACGATACGATACCTTGGTAAATACCTAGTACTACTACTAGTCGGAAAAGTCGTATTTCGCGCCTGACGCAATGATGCATGCGAGCTTAGGGCCAAGCCAGCCATTCAACTGCACCGCTCCATCATGCGCGGTTTTCCCCTGCCCGCTTGGTTCGCTTTCCTTCTCTCTCCCTCTCTCCCTCTATCCTGTCTCTGTCTCTGTCTCTGTCTCTCTCTCTCTCTATCTGTCTGACTCTTTAACGATAAAACAATGATGGCATACCAACTTTTTTTCCCCCATCAACTGGAAGGGTCCCCTGCAGTGGTTAGGCATACTTCCGCCCCCCCACAGGTTCAGTTGGTACAGTAACCTTTAGGCTCGGCTCTTCCATGGCCTTCTCGAAGAACATCCTTCAAAGGGAAATCAAAGCAAGCAATTTAACTCAAAAGAAAAGCCAAGATTTGTAACAAGAGAGACACACATACATAGACCGAAACTCTATACTCGATGCGGTAAACCACAAAAAATGTATGTAATTTCTCGTACTTCCGTACATACATACATACCTAAAGACTAGCATGTGGTCCCCTCAAAAAGCGTTCGCAGACAAGTGTGACCCATCCGGTGACTTGCGCCGCAAACGACATCTCGGGAGTGCACCTTGATGAGAGCCTGACTGATCCATTCTGTAATTACTACTCAAATCATTCAAACCATGGCGAAACAGAGCAATAATACATCAACACAAAAGCAGTACGCAATACCGAAAGAGAAGAAAGTGGAAGCCCAAAAAGCATGGCGTCACTGATACACCGGCCCCCCAAGTAGTGCTGTGAACTACTGCATGTACTTTGCACTCCGACTGAATACACTTACCGTCACATGCCGTCACCAAGCCCTGGCCATCGTGACCCCCCTCCTACTAACCGAACAAGCTGTGTACTACTACATACTACTTGTACTCGTAGTACTACTACTATCATGGGTCTGATGGAAGTGGTGTGTCCCGTATTGTCTGTGTGTGTGTGTGAGTCTGCATGTGTGGTGTGGTGTTGTCGTCAAACAACCATGAGATCCTGTGGTGTGTGTCTCGAGACTCGATTCACGGTTTCCTTGCACACACGCGAGATATATTAAGGAATAACCATAAAATTCCTTGGAATCGTATCTATTATATAGAACCCCAGGGGATCTATAAGAACAACCTCCTACTAGAAGCATCCATCATCATTCCATCCCCCTAGGCAGATGACATCTCTCTCTCTCTCTCTCTCTCTATGCAGCTCGTTTAGTTGGCTCCCTCGATCATATGTAAAAGAGACATCGACACTAAAAACTGCAGCTTACATGCACAACAGCTTCGCCTCCTTTGCTAGCATCACCCATGGGATGAAAAAGATGCAAGGAACCAGACCTTCTCATGCCTCGACTGCAGGCCACAGCGGCAGTTGCCAGGCCCCGGTATCTCCCATTTGCTCACATATCTCCTAGTCGTCTTCACAGAGTCCACATCGCCGGCAGCACCAAGGTAGTTGGGCATCCAGACGGGGAGGCAGTTCCCCTTCTGTTCTGCCCCCATAGGGCCGAAGCTTCTTGTAACCATGCTTTATTCTTTGGGTTCTCCCAATTATTGCTTGTTTTCTGTAACACTACTGTACCCTGTTGAACAGCTCTCCCATGTGATTTTTGATACTCTTTTGTGTTCATCCAGCCCAAATAAGAAAATACAGGTTATTCATAAAGCAGCCACCTAGTCCGCCCCCCAGTAGAGCCCGCGCTTGGTATCCTTGGCAATGAGTCCCGTCAGGCTCTTCTCCGGCTTGGGATACGCTGGTCTCCCGCCCAGAATGTTCACCACCTCTTGCATGTCCAGCCAGTGCGCCACCTTGGGTCTTCGGTTGGGCCAGTCTGTGTGCTTCTCCTCCAGCTCCTCGACCGGCGAGAAGACGACCTCGGAGCCCTGGATTCCGATGACGCTCGTGCTGTAGGGGTCCTTCTTCACCCGGTTGTGCGCGTTGCGGCCAAAGCCCTCCAGGTGCTGCATACACTTAATGGCCAGCCGAACAGCACGGCAGCGGTCCATGGGTGAGGGGACGCCTCCTTGCTGCACGTGTCCGGGAATGCTCTCGCGGCTCTCGAACCGGTCGTGCGCCTCCTCGCGGATGATGCTGGCAATGAGCTTCGCGTCGTAGACCTTGCTGGCCTTTTCGTTGACGAGAATCAGGCGGCCCGCGCGGGACTGGCCCTTGTCGTGGTGGAAGACTTCCTTGAGGTGCTTGACGTCGGCATTGAGCATCTCGAGGCTGATGCCCTCCTCGGGGATGTAGACGGCAGAGGCTCCGACGCTGAGGCCGGCGAGCGTCGCCACGTAGCCCGAGCGTCCACCCTGCGTCTCGATGACAAAGACGCGGCGTCGGGTGGCCGAGGCGGACTGCTTGATCTTGTCGCAGTAGTTGACCAGCTCGTTGAGGCAAGTGTCCGATCCCAGAGAGTACTCGGTGCCCGGCACGTTGTTGGAAATCGTGGCCGGCAAGAGGCAGAGGGGGATGCAGAGTGACGGATACTCATCCCTGGCCTTGCGCAGCTGACAGACGGCGTGGAAGGCCTCGAAGCCGCCAACGATGAAGAGGGCGTCAAACTCGTACTGCTCCACGAGGTTGGCAATAAGCTCCATGCCGGACTCTGAGGGGAGCTCGCGGTTGGTGCCGATTTCCGAGCCGCCTTTGCTGGCCCAGCCGTCGACCTCGAGCCAGTCAAACGGCCGCACGGCTCCGAGGGGCGAGTCGCCATGGTGGCGGGCGAATCCGGCGAAGCCGTTGTGGATGGCAATGGGCTCGTGCCCACGGGAGAGGCAGTATGCAACAGCTGCGCGCACAGCGGCGTTCATACCTCCAGCAGGGGCGCCGACGTTGATGAAGCCAATCTTCATTCGCTACGCAAGAGTCAGTCAATGACGGTCGCCGCACAAGGACGTAAATGCAATACTCACGCTCTTCTCCGGCAACTTGTTATCATCTACGAGCACATTCGTGGTTGTCAGATAGGACTTGTACTGGTCCGAGAATTCGGTGTCTCGCAGGCTCATGGCCCTGTCAAAATCTTTGGCCTCGACAGCGACGGCCACCTCCTTGGTCTCCTTGACGGCCTGCATCAGCGGCTTTCGCACAATCTTGTTCTCGTTGATGGCGATGACGCAGGTCTCGGTCTCGGGGGTGGCTTCCAGCACGGCCTTGACGGCTTCGACGCCCTGCAGCGTGCCGAGCATGCGGTCGTAGGCCACTGCTGTGCCTCCTCGCTGAACGTGGCCCAAAGTGGTGATTCGGGTGTCGAGGTTGAGCCCGCCTTCGCTCTTGTCGGCCAGGAGGTCTTTGATCTCCTCGGGTGTGATCTTGGTGCCGTCTTTATCGCGGGCACCCTCTGCGACGATGACAATGGTCTTTCTCTTTCCCATTTTGCGGTGCTATACAAAGCGAACACGGTCAGCTCTGCGGGCCCCCATCCTATGGTATATATGTGTAGATAGTGTAATTGAGTTGAGGATATGCCGTCACTCACCCGTTGAACCACAAGCTTCATATCCTCTCTCCAGTCTTGATCTCTGGGCCGTTCAGGAATAAAGACAAAGTCGGCTCCGGTGGCAACGCCCGCCAGAAGCGCCAGCCAGCCACAGTGTCGTCCCATGACCTCGATGACAAAGGCACGGGAGTGTGAAGAGGCCGTGGCCTCAATGTAGTCGACCATTTCGCAGATACGCGAGAGGGCAGAATAGCAGCCGATGGTGGCATCGGTACCGGACAAGTCGTTGTCAATGGACCCGACCAGGCCGACAATGTTCAGATGCCTGTACGGCGCGACTTGCTCCGGCGTCAGCTCCTTGTTGTCCACAAGCTCCTCGATCAAGGACGGCCATTCGGCCCGGAACTTGTCGGCGCCCGTCAGAGAACCGTCTCCTCCGCAGATGATGAGGGCGTCGATGCCGTTGAGCACCATGTTCTTGGCCGCCGTCAGCCGGCCCGGTCGTTCGTAAAAGGCCATGCATCGCGCCGTTCCGATGAGCGTGCCGCCCTCGGACAGGAAGCTTCGGACGTCGTCCCAGGCCATCTGCCGGATGAAGTCGCCGCCCTGCACAAGCCCCTCGTATCCCTCGTAGATGCAGTAGGCATCGCAGCCCATGTGGATGGACATGCGCACGACAGCGCGCACGACGGCGTTCATGCCGGGGGAGTCGCCTCCCGACGTCATGACGGCAATCTTCTTCTTGGTCGCTGCCATCGTGGGCGACAAGTCCGAGGCGAAGGCTGTGGTGGTGTATCCGAGTCCGCGGAAGAGCGCGCGCCAGATGCGTCGAAAGAAGCGGCGGAAGGTGAGGAGGATGTCAATGGGCCCTGGAAAGAATTCTAGGTAATGCTGAAGAGGCATCTAAAGGGGCCCGTCGCCCGTGAGCTCTGGGATGAGCAGGATGAGGAAATGGCAAGCAAATTGATGATGGTTGTAGTTCGAGTTCGAGCAAGGTTTAGTTAGAGTGGCATGAGGGGAATTGACGAGACGAAGAAGCTCTTATCGGCCCTTAGTTGCAACGTTATCAGATGGCGGGGCTTGCGGTTTTCTTTTTTTTTCTTCAGCGCTCTACTCTGCTACTCGCTTTCTCCTCTCAGCCACCGTCTCGTCTCTACTGTATGTAGTAGCAGCAGGGCTTGTTGGTGGTTCAAGAGACTGAAAGAGGGCAAAAGTCCTGGTGATCGGGAGAGCAGGGGGGATTGGTGCTGCAGGATCCGAAGCTGAGCGTCGCTTGTTCTTGGGATTTATTAACCAGCACCCCAAATCCGTTATCCAGCACCCCAGAAAATTGGTGAGAGGTACCTTTAAGTACAACCGCCCAAATCAAGTTCTAACACTTCCTCAGAGGAAAACCAGAGCTATAAGTTATTGTTTTTTATTCTTAGCTCTCTCAGTCTTAAACAAATCCATATGCCTCCCTTTTTCAATCTGGTTTAGTCTGCTTTCCGAGGTTTTGGAGTTTTTCTCTTTAAACTTGAAGTACCGGTACTTGTTGTGAAAGCGCTGAGTCAGCACACTTCTCGGTACTTTGCAGTTGTGTAGCTTCGCCACCATGTGCGAAGTACCTTGGTGTGCTGGATAACGGATTTGGGGTGCTGGTTAATAAATCCCTTGTTCTTCGATTGGGTACGAGTTACACGCATCTCAATCGTCATTCGTCATTGCACATATGACCCCTCCTACGTAATGCCCTACTACCTACTACCTACTATAACTGCTGTGTCACAGCGATTCAGCACAGCTCTGATCACCTCACGCCACGCCTGCAGGGGCGCAATATAGACGACACCCCGGCGGTCTATCATTGACTACAAACACGACGTAATGGCAATGAGGGAATTTGCAAATCCATGGCCATCGAGATGCGCTTCAATTCCAATGACAGGCCGCTTATTACATCGTTCCCACGGCACGGAGCTCCGGCGCTCGGCGGCTACTGCGCTACTGTAGGGGCCCCCCTGTAAGGCGTCGGGGCAGAGGCGAAGAGGGTCTCAGCTTTTCGGAGGTTTGCGAGCACGACCTTGACGACGGAGTTACCGTGCAGCCAACGCCCACGCTGATCATTGTTTATATCAGCGTGATTGGTGCTACCACTGGTACTCGCAACGGTGCTGTGGGCTTTGACAGGCTCCAGTATGCATCCAGTGGCAAGCATTACTGTCTGACCGCCAACGTCACGGTGTAAGCCGCAAGGCTACGATCGGTTGTACCTGCCCACCCACAGACCAGGCCAAGGTACATGGCTGGGCTCTCACAGTTGATAAAGTGCATGGCCAATCAGCAATAGCCTGCAGCATTCAACAACGGCTTGAACGCCCCCACCTGCATCTTTCTCCCAACCACACTCTCAGCCTCGTCAAGCTACAGCTCCAGACCTTCACAAAAGACGTCACAGCTTTCGAGAGCTGCCGTCGTTGGTTTCGCAGGGTATCTGATGAGGCCGCTGTCGAGATTGTGACTTAATCATCGGAAAGGCCCCGTCATGTCTTCAGCAGACGGCCCCCCACCGCTCTCGCTGCGGCCGTTCCCCGTCGCCGACCAGAAGCCCAAGAACCTCGCCGAGTTCATCGCCCGAGTCAACGCCCAGCCCGGCGGCTTCCGCGCCGTGACAGAAGCCAAGCTACGCGAGGACCTGAAGGGCAGCGAGTCTTCCGATGGCGCGGCCGATCAAGATGAGGACATGTCCGACGCCGGGCCGGAGAACGAGGTCGCGGAGAAGGACCCCAACGTTGCGCGCATGGAAGTCTTGAAGAACATTGAGTAAGAAAGGGCGATGCCTCAGAGATGGTCCCAAGAGATGGGGTGCTGACGCGTGATTCTTGCAGCATAGCCGGTAACACCGCCTTGTTGACGCTCGACTCCATGTCCCTTCTCCTCTCGAAGCAGAATCCGACGCAGGCGGGCATGACCTTGTCCCAGCAGCTACGCGACATGGTCGGTATCGGCACTCTCGGCGCCGACCGGCTGCACGACTCCAACGTCACGCCAGCCAAGACGAAAGATCAAGAGGCCGTGGCCATGGGATGGACCATTATGGAGATCAACAAGACGAGGGACTCCGCGGAAGAGGCCGCTGCATTCTTGGACAAGGAAATCGCGGCAGAGAGCAAATACTGGGAAGACATCGTCTCGGTCAAGAAAGCCGGCTGGTCCGTATGCAAGGTCCCGCAGGAGAGGCACACTTTGGGTGTGAGGTTTGGCTTCTCAGAGGGTATGTTCCGGGTTTCTACTTTTTCACTGGCACGAATTTTGCTGCAGCAAGCTAATCATGTCGATAGCCGCTCCCGAATTCAAGAACAATGGCTTGGCGCCGATGAGACGCGGCGACAATGGCTCGACAGATCTCGACTTTGGTCGATTGGGCGGCGTGTCAGAAGCCCTGGTCGTCACATACGAAAGAGACGGCAAAGTGATTGGGCGATCTACCACGCGATCGGCCTCTGAAGACAGCTCACTAGAGTCTCGCATTCTCGAAGCGCGCAACACCATCTTCTCACAAGAGCTCTGGCACGAGCTCACCAAAGAATCGCGGTCACTGGCCGCCTACGACGTCAAGCCCGAAGGCAGAAAGCTGACATGCCAAGCCGACGACAAGACGAAAATCACACTCGAGCTCCTCCCCTTGGAATCATGTCCCTCCCACGACCAAGATCTGCCCGAGAATGGCCTCGCGGAAAAGACATCCATGGTCTTGCACATCCTCCTCAGTTACGCCCATCGATACAACGAGCTCATGAGGATACGGCCCGTGCCCCCGCACATCTCCCGCGCCGCTCGCCAGCAGTCCTACGCTCTCCTGCGCCCCGTCCTGGCACGCACAATGTACCTAAAGAACGTGGAGGAGTCCACGCTGTACGTCGGCCTGCTGGTCAAGACGCTTCAAAAAGCCGGCATCCCTTCTTCCGTCGTCCTCCGCACCGCGCAAGCAACAGCGTCCGACCCCGGATCGCGCGGACCGAACCAGCTCTCCGCATCGCAGACTCTCGTCCGCAATCTCTTGCAAACGCAAGACTTCACCCTCGAGGTCACAATCGTGCCCGACGTATCGTTCGTCATCCGCGCGCGCGCGTATAGCTTCCCCATCACGGCAACGTACTACTACATCCTCCTCCCTCCCTCGTCGCCTCTCCTCGCCTTGTGCCCCCCCTGGACAGAAGGCTACCCCAGCGTCCGGGCACTGGGCGACTACCTGCGGACCGCCATTGTCCGTGTCCTCACAAGCCACTTCTACTCTACCCTCGCTTCAGCCGCCGCCTCCTCCTCCAACAACAAAGCCCCAGCAGCCGTTCAGGACAACAGCAGAAACACAGACAGCACAGCCACGCAAGACTTTGACAAGAGCAACAACGTCAAGTTCACACTCTCCCTCGACCACGAGGGAGACGACGACACCGAGAACAACAACAACAGCAACAACAACAACAACCTAGTCCTCTCCTTGGTCATGACCGAAGAACAAACCGGCGACCCCATCACCTGGACGTGGTCCCTCGCCGAAGGAGGAAAGAACAGCGAAACGCGTTCGGCGGCGGACGTCGTGCGGTCTCTTCCCGGGATGCAAGCGGCGCTCAATTAGGACAACGAGCACCTTTTTCCCGCCATGCAAGAGCTAGAAAATGACCTCGCGCGATGGGAGAGGGGGAATGGTGGGTTTGTCGATGGCGGCCGCGGGCTGAGGAGGTGGCTCGATGACCTGAGGGAGATGGTGGAGGAGGCAGAGGAGAGAAGGGATGAGGATGACGCGGAGAGGCGGAGGGGGAGTCAGAGTCAGACGCTGTCTCCGGGGTTGTGAGGGCTATTCGGGCGGAAAATCACGGAGGCTGAAACTGAGAGTTCTTTTGAGTTTGTGCTGCAATTTTTTGGGAGTACGGTGTATAAGGCCACTCGGAGTTTTCCCTTGAACGATTTGGGACGGTAACAGATCACTCAAAAATACTATATCAAGATGATGATTTCGTCAAGTCATTGCTCTTTACGAGAAATCTTCTCCCACGAGTCGAGGGTTACTATTCGCCTTCCCAAGTCCAAAATCATAAAGCTCGATTTGACTCGCTTCTCTACCTATGAGGTACGCTGTATTTCATCAATAAGATGAGAAGATTTATATCCCGATCCGCTTCCATAATATGTCCCCTGTGTCTATCAGTGAAAGCAAGGTATGAAAATCACTCGAATGATCTCGCTGTACATACAGCATGTCCATCCCGGTAGAGCGGAAAGCTCCCAAAAACTCCAAAAATCAAGACAGGCAGACATAGAGGAGGACACGAGGAAAGGGAAAGCAGAGATAATCCTACGAAAAAAACAGAACGTAACGGAAGAGACAAAGGAAAGGCATAGAAATAAGCAAACAAGCCTCGACAGACATCCTCTTTCTCGGTACTCAGCGACCAGTAAAGAGGAACTTGAGGTCGTTTACACCCAACCTGCCAATCTTCATGCTCTCGGTCTCGTCCAGCGCCGACTCCACCATAGCCTTCTTCCGATCCTGAAGCTCGACAATTCGGTCCTCAACCGTCTCCTTGGTCAGGATCCGATACACCATAACCTCCTTCATCTGGCCAATGCGGTACGCACGATCAACGGCCTGCATCTCAATGTATGGGTTCCAGAACGGATCCATGATGACGACGCGAGATGCCGCAGTGAGGTTGAGTCCCGCATTGCCCGCTCGCAAAGACACCAGCATGACCTTGACATCCTTCTTATCGCGAAAGTCCGCGGCTGCTTGGAACCTGTGCTCAGCAGACATGCTTCCGTCGTACCGCCTCATCTTTCCCGGATACTGGTCATGCCACATGGCCACTTCGAGCAGATCCAGCAGGAGAGTCCACTGAGAGAACACTATCGTCTTTTCTCCAGTCTTGTATATCTCCTGGAGGAGCTTCATGCACTCCGAAACCTTGGCAGCAGGTAGCCACGTCTTTCGCAAGTAGCCCATGTATTTTTTATATGCGGCTTGACTCTTGGATGCATCGTGTCGAAGGGCCCTGAGCATGGAGGGCTTGATTTCAGTCATCTTCTTCTTGCCCTTCTTCTTCTTCCTTCTCTCTCTCTTTTCCATCCTCTCGCTTTTCACTCCTTCTTGCTGTGGGTCAGATTCGACATCGTCCCGAACGATAAAGTCTCTTAAATCGCCATAGCTGTCTACTTCGTCATCGTCAACATCCTCGGAGGAGTCATCATCGTCGTCGTCACCAGAGCTCTCGCTTTCGTCTTCTTCGTCCTTCACAGGTCCCTTGACACGCTCCGGCATGTGCACCTGCTGAAACGTCTCATAACTGAAGCATTTCTTGGGATCGAACGAGCCACGGCACACGGGGCACTTAGCCGTTGCGGCGCCCTCGACACCTTGCTGAAGATTTGCCGCCGCTGCACTGTCCACCAGTCGCGTCAAGCATTGCTGGCAGGTGTCGTGGCCACAGGGAATGAAGAACGTGGGTGATTGGACGGCATCATAGCATATAGGGCATTCGAAAGCGTCGGCCGCCCTGATTCTGACAACTATGGCCGCATCCAGCTTCTTGACCAGGTCGAGCAGCTCTTCGCTGGTAACGTTGGGCGGGGTATCTTCGACGTCGAGATTGAGATGAGGGTGGCAGCATGCCTGACGGAGGCGTAGCAAAAGAACCAGAATGCTGGAGTAGTTTTTGCCGACACTGCCCTCGCGTAGATACTTGTTGAACGTGACCCTGGAGGCTTTCTCAAGTTGATCGTAGTAGTCACGTTCGTCTTGGGAGAGGTCGGCGTAGATGACGTGTTCTGTCTTGGCAGGCAGCACCAGAATAGGCTTCCCATCCAGTTGAGAGTCCTTTTTCCGACGAAGCATGATTGCTTTGAGGAGAGCGCGGAACCTGTGCATGGCGACACCGTCCGTCGCACTATTTTTGTTAAAGAGTGGACTAAAATCCCTCCTAAAGTTATCCCAGATGCAGTACGGCTTTATGCGAAGGAAATGAACCAAGGAAAAGATTTCCAGGACACCATTCATCATGGGGGTTCCGGAGAGGCACCACCTATGCACGGCGTTCAGTCGATGACACGCTTTGGCAGTCTTGGTGTTGCGGTTTTTGATGCACTGCGCCTCGTCGAGAATGACGCGGTAGAACTTGGACTTTCTCGGGTTCAGGAGCGGAAACTTTGTTGCGATGCCTTTGTCGTTGAAGTCGATGTTACGACCTGCATTGCTCTCCAAGAAAGCGTCCAGGCGTTTCATCTCTTGGGCGAGGGTGCCATAAGTGGTCAGCACAACGTCGTGCTGGAGCATGTGATCGATCGTGGCTTTCGTGTTGTGGTATACAAAGACGGACAATTTGTGAGAGAGTTTGGTCTTCTTATGAATTTCCTCTTCCCACTGTCGAATCAAGGCCACCGGGCCGACAATCAGGTTTGTCTACGGCAGGATAATTAGCACAAGAAGCAGCAAGGGCAGCGATACGTGCGAGGTACGCTGGTCACAACTCACCTTGGGGCGCGATTTGGCCGGTCTTGACAGTATCAGAGCCAATGTTGATATAGTCTTGCCAAGACCCATATCATCGGCCAATATGCCACCCTTGTTGGTCCCCTCTTCCATCTGTTTCATCCACGACAGCGCGAGGGCCTGATGGGGATAGAGGGCATTCTTGAGGCCTTCAGGGGTACCGTCTCGTTTGTCCTCTGGAATATCCATGTCTGGGCGGATATTCTTCAGCAGGTCATCCAGCTCCTGTTCCGTCACTCTGGGGTCGTGGAAGGAGTTGTTGATGAAGTCCATGAGGTGGCTAGGAAGCGAATTGCCGTCCCCGTCAACACCGTTGACGTAATCAAAGGAGCTGGTCCTGTTGATGATGTCGGACAATGGCGTCAAGGTCTCCCAGCGTGGATCGCTCGCCGCTATGGGCATACCCAACCTCCAGGGCTCTCCAGGGAAAGCTCCAGGCATTGGCAGATTTCCACTCGGCAGCTGATAAAAATTTGAGTTGGGGTATGATTGGTCCACCCCGCGCTGTGAAGGCCCGGCAGATGCGCCATACGCCGGCCCTCGAGCCACCAGGTTAGGCAGAGGCGCCTCAAGCTCGTCATCCGAGATGTCGACAACGTCTTGAGGTGGGTTGAGCCGTTGCGTGGCCATCATCCTAGAAAAGGCCGACGGTTGCTCTAGACCCGAGCCCCTGGAGGGACCGGAAGCGTTCTGGGTCGAAGGCTGCGAGACTGCGGCAGTAGCCTTTTCTCGCTCTGCCTTTTTCTTCCTCTCCCGTTCTAACCTCAGCTGTTCCACAATCTTGGACGAGTCGTAATCAACATCCGCTCTGTCTCCCATGTTAGCTTCCATACCCAGATCACAGGGGCAATCCGGCATCAATGCAGTTGCACCTCTCATGGCGAGCATCTAACATACCCAGTGAGGTCAATGATTTCAACCTGCTCGTCTGACGAAGGAGACCAAGCAGGATCTTGGGAGCCACTGAAGGGCTGTGGAGCCGTCCGTCGATATTGAGTCGAGCCCGCGCCAGCATGCAAATCAGTGGCCTCAAAGTCTCGCTTTCGACTTCTGACCGTCAGCGAGGGGCTCTCTCCAGTTTCGGAGGCCAGGGGCCTTCTCGGCGTCTCCATGACGGCTGACGGAAGACGCGATCTCGAGGGTCCTGCAGAAACCGGCGTTTTCGCTCGGCTTTGGTCTGGTTGTTCTGACAAAAGGGATCGTTAGCCAGAGAATGGTCCGATCATGCTTGAAAGGAAACTGATGCCGAGTATGAAGGAGGAGGATTTGGCAACTCGAGAAGCGTCCGAGGCAAGGTGAATAAGTAGCAGAAGAAAGGGGTGCCTTATACGTTGCACAAGAGAGCTGGCAACAGAGCCAAGGGGCGTTCCTGATGGACCAACCAAGTCCGAGTGACGGCGGCTTTGCTGGCACAGGGATACAGGAGGCTCTGCGGCAAGAGGAGGGGGGGAATCGAGTATTACTCGTCAATAGAATCAGGCTATTCACGGGGCGTGAATGCAGCGTGAGACGAGAAACGAACGCAGTGCAAGGGAGGGGAGTGTGAAATAGGAGAAGAGGTGCATCAGGCCCAAAGGTCGGATGAAAAGGGAGACGCTGGCACCGTGAATCTGGCGGTTCTCCGGGCCTGTTTTCTTCGTGAACCGTGCTGTGAGCTGTAATGCAAGGAGAACAAAGGAAAATTGGGCGAGGCCGAAGTGAAGTAGTAGAGAGGAAAGAACCAAGGTGAAACGGATACCTGAGGGTTCAGGTTGAAAGAAGGCTCAGATAACGATAACCGCCTTCCGGCGATATACTGCCAAGTACTGTGTAGTAACTGGTGAGGAACCGCACGCACTCACTTTGGGGTGACGCTGAAGCCTGCGAGGCCGCGCGTTGGGCTTGCGCTCTGCTATTACTTGGGCCGCCTAATGAGAATCGCATCGAATCAGAATCAGCACGGCCTTTCCAATCAGAAAAAAAAAAGGACTCAGTTATACGAAAGGCGGCTGAGTCGAGGCATCGTGACATCAAAGTGAGGCTGACACATGCGTGGAAGTGTGCCTCTACTCCATACAATGTACTGACTGACTGGGCATAGATAGGTACTTAAGGGGGGGGATTAGAGGCTGGTTCGTACCCTCATCGCCGGATGAACTCCTAGGCAAGGCTTTCAAGGCCCTCTTAAGCCTCGAAATCTCCTTCCTTGCATCCTCACGCTGCTCCTCCGCATCGTCAAAGGTTTCGCCCTGCAGCGACGCGAGGATGACCTCCTGGATCATCAGCTCCTCTCGCAGCGCCTCGCGATTCATGGCCATGGTAAGATGTGCGCTGTGTCTTTGTCCAATTTGCCGCTTTTCTCCTTTTCGGTGAGAAATGAACTGAGGAATTTAGGCAGACAGCGGCCTCGTCGACTCCATAAGTTTTGGAAGGGTTTGGCCAATGATGATATACACGCCCTTCACACGTTGTTTATGTGTTTGTGTTACCGAAGATGGAGGACCGTTGCTTTCCGTGATATAAGCGTGGGGAGGGAAGGTGAGAAGGAAAGGATATGGTCAGTCGTCCGCGGTAGAAGTAAGAATGAAGTGGCCTTGGAGAAAATTACATCAGACGACAGTTGAGATAATAGACCGCAATGCGATTTGATAGAAGGAAATTCTGAAGTTGAATGGAAGAGGCGAACATTCACTGCAAACTTCGCGTCGCGTTACTAATGCCTGGTTTCGCCCGGTATAGTGGGGCCAGTGAAGTGTAAGGTACGGTTGACTATAGCGACTTCTGTCTCAATTCGCTTATTTTCAACCTTTACCGATACAGATACACTGCCGTGCTCCCAGTTGAATATCGACAACCTCTATTCCTTGACTTAGTCTTTGTACGACCAGATACTTATCACTCTACTCGAGGATTGAATAAACTCAAGGGTACAATCGGAGCCTCGTATTCAGAAAGCAAAGTGGCTAACAATTATTTGAGGGATATGATGTAACCCAAGGCTGATAAAACACACATCCATACGCCGATCTCGGTGTGAGCTCGGTCGTCATTTAATATCACAAGCCGTACAAGCGAGCAGATAAACAGAAGCAGCCACAAGCCGCAATGAAAAGTCTATTTGTCCAAGGCAAGAAAGGCCATTGCTGTGATATTAATCAAGCCGAATTAAAAAAAAGAATGATGCCCAGAGATTTGCCCCCAAACGCCTCTGCCAATGTGTGTGTATGTGTGTGTATCAACAGCGAAAGTGATAACAGCAAAGGGGAAGGGGAAAAAAAAAAAGAAAATGCTACGATGACGCTCAAGACGAACCATTCGTAATTTTATGCCAGACTTTGTCGAGCTCGTTCGTCGCCCAGTCCCATATACCAGTCACCGTGTCCTTCAACGAGCCAGAGGAGTCGTCGCCCTCGGCGCTGTCATGTGTCGGTGTCGCTGCTACCGCACTTGAAGTAGTGTGCGGCTTTGATGGAGATGACGATGTAGTCGATGTAGTAGATGGCGTTTTTGATAAGGAAGTGGAAGTGGAAGTGGAAGTGGTGGTTGGCTTTGGGGGAACCGACGGACGGGGAATGGTCTGCGTCTTCACAGACTGCGAAGGAGTCAGAGTGACTGAATAAGACGTCACCGGATCTTCAGGTATTTTAGGCTCTTCTTCATCGTCATGCGTCCCAACGGTCTTCAACGGCAGCCGCAGCGTTCCGTTGTTCGGCTTGGGCCTCACACCCAGAGAGTCACACAACAAGTTGTAGACCTCGATGTTTTCTGCCAACAATATTAGCCATGCTCGAAAGTACTTATTCAAGGAGAGATCACTTACGGAAGACATCGACCTGGCTATTCGCAGGATGCGGAAACGCAGGTCCCCTCGCGATGAAGATGGCCCTCATCAGCGGATGCTCATGGTCATACCCATGCAGCCCGCGGGGATGATACACAAGGCCATTCGCCTTTCCATCCTCAGCATCGAACTGGTCCTTGGTGACAATCGCCCACCCCGTCTTGGGCACGATCCACAGCGGCGCAATGCGGTCGTTGTTTGTAAAGTGATAGCGCTCCGGCATGTTGACGTCGCGGAGGTAGACGTCAAAGTTGGGGTTGGACTTGGCCTTTTCCACCAGCCCTTCGTACATGCCCTGTAGGTCGTCGGGGGTCTTTGGTCGAAGCCCGTATAGCGGCCAGCCGTCAATGTGCTCAATCTTGGACGTGTCGACGAGGTCTTCTAGCTGCAGCAGGCGAGTCGTGTCCGTGGTGGCCATGCCATGGTCCGACACGACAATGACGTTGACAATGTGCGTCAGGTTCCGCGCGTCGAGCCCCTTGAAGATCTTGTCCATCATAGCATCCACCTCTTGGATAGTAGATCGGATCTCCGTGCTGTTGGGCCCGTACTTGTGGCCGTCGCTGTCCACGTTGGGCACGTAGGCAGCAATGAGCTGGGGTCGCATGCCCTTGGTTCCTGCTGCAGACCCGCTCTCCCGGCCGGGCAGGTCCAGCCATCCAAGGATCCTCGAGACCTTGTTGTCGAGCGCCTCATTGCCATTGAACTTGTCCACGTATTCGGGCTCCAGGTGCAGGATATGTGCTTCGCTGCCCGGCCACATGTGAATCGCACTCGGCACGCCCTGCTTCTCGGCCGTCACCCAGAACGGCTCCCCACCCCACCACTTGGGGTCCAAGCTCCGCGCGGGATCCGTGTAGTGGAACTCGGCCTCGAGCTCCGGATCCCAAAACGTGTTGCCCACGATGCCGTGAGCCTCGGGGTACAGGCCGGTGGCCAGCGTGTAGTGGTTCGGAAAGGTGACCGAGGGAAACGACGGATGCATCCACTTGGGCGAGACGCCCTCCCTGACAAAGGCATTGAGGCGTGGGGTAAGTCCGCGCTGCAGGAAATCGGCCCGGAAGCCGTCGAGGCTGATGATGATGGTCGTCGGCGCAAACAGGGCGGTGCCGTTGCTCGTCAGATGCACCTTGGAGCCCGACGACGACGACGACGACCTGCGGGCCTTGGACAGCTTCCAGGCGGCCAGCACGAGGATGGCGAAGCCAATGAAGATGAGCGAGTGGATGAACAGCCACCGCCGCCAGCTCCGCCCGCGCTGGCTCTTTGCGTGCGCAAGCGCGTTGAGCGCCCGGCGGTCGTACTCGTCGCTCTCGCTACTCTCGCCCGTCGAGCTGCCCTCCTTCATGCCGCCCTCCTCCATCTCGTACATCAGCCCGCCGTCCTCGCCGTGCTGCGCCTCCTCCAGCAGCCTCTCGCGCTTCGTGTCTCGCCTCGCCCGCCTCTTCTGCCGCTGCTGCTGCCGCCGCCCGTCCGCCGACGCCGACGACCCCTTCTCGGACCCCCCCGCCACGTTCTCGTTGGAGCTGCCGGCCGTCGACATGCTGCCCAGGCTCGGCTTGCGCGCCAGACCCCGGAAGGGATTCGGCAGCGGCAGGGCCAGCGCAGAGCCGCGCCGCACCAGCTCCTGCTTGCGGCGCGAGTTCGTCACCAGCTGGTCCAGCTCCTCTTCCTCCATCAGCACGATGCGGTCGTGCGCCCGCAGCTCGCGGCTGTTCCTCGCCCGCTGCTGCAGCGCATCGTCCTCGCTGTCGGTGTCCTGGTCTCGGCTGTTGATCGAGGAGGCGTCGTCGTCGTATGCGGTCGGGAGCAGCAGCGACGAGTTGTCGCGGTCTGCCTTTGCAGCGCTGCCGTCCGGCGGATTGGGCGCCATGTTGCTGCGGCCTCGGAGAAGCCCCTGAGGGTGCGATGGAGTGACGCTCTGCGGGAGGTTGCACTTTCGGGTTGTAATTCGATGTTGGAGAATGGAGACCTTACGAGGGTCTGGAATATCCACTGACCCACTAGCCAATTTATGTAGGGTCGACGGGGTCAGTGCAGTGCCAGTGAGGCTAATGCGTTTAAGGCCGATCGACCTCGAAGTCTGTCATCCAGTAAGGATTACGACTGCGAATGTCTCCTTTAAACTCCCTATAAAGCACGCAGTCTCTTGATGTGTCTGTAGGTATGCTTTATTCTGACCCTTTGCAGCCTAAGGTACTGTAACATAATTTCAAGATACAGTGTATGAGAGGCACAGCTTACGCAGAATCTCATTCCATTAATGCGTCATCACGCACAAACTCTTTCTCGACAGCGTCACGCATTAGTACCGTAGCGGGATGATATTGATATACTACTCTTCATGTTCATAGCACTAATTTCTTACGAGGCTCCTCTCATCATGAAACTGTTCGTATATTCTAAACCCTCTTTTCCTCCCCGTCCTATATGTACGTCACATCGTAGAGTTCAGATACCGTATGTCTGCCGTTGCACACGGATTCGTAATACATCCATCTGACATGTTGAAACCAAGCCCATTTGTGCCTTTTTTGCAAAATGATATCCCTCGTAAACCCAACTCCCAAGTTCGCCGCCCAAACAGAAAATTAGAAGGAGGGGCAGAAAGCAGAGTCACCAAACGGTGCCCAGAAAGAAGAAGAGGAAGAAAACGCCGTCCTGCTGCTGCCAACGTGTGTAAAGCTCGATCTCGGAGTCTCCTATCGCTGCTGCTGGTCTTCAGCAGACGCCCCCGCAGATGACGACTCTGCCACGACAAGACTGTTCCTCACAGACGGGTTATGTGGCCAACCGATGGGCATGTTGGACTGCCGTCGTTGACTCGCTGTACTATGCCGAAGCGAGTCGGCGGCCACCGGTGCCCCTTCATTGGCTGCGTGATTCAAGGTGCTGTCTCGGGGACTGTCATTGCTTCCCGAGTCTCCGCTGTTGGCGACAGCTTTTTCATTGATGCTGACCCCCTTCTCCTTGTCGGCCCTTCTTCGACCAGCCGCGGCGGCCGCCGCTATGCCTCCCCCAGCAACAAGCGTTCCAAGGGCCGCTGAAGCAGTAGAGTGGAATCCCTTGAACTGAGCTACTGGCCCCTTGGGCGAGGTCTCGTCCATGAAGATGAAAAACATGGCGCCAACCACGCTGGCAATAACGAGCATCGTGAGGACGGCGGCCCCAAACCTGTCGCCTCCGTTAATGGGTCCGTAGCTGGGTCCTTTCGGCTGGTTCCGGCCAATGTCATCACCGCCGCCGCCAGGATCTCCTACGCTGGTGCCTCCGTTGTCTGCAGTCACGGGCGCGCTGCTATTCTGGATAAGGTTGGACATTGTGATTTCCAGGGCTGCCATCTGCTGGCCGACTCCTGTCGATCCATCATATTTGCCATCGTACCAGATGAGGCCACACATGCGTTTGTTATCGCCGCCCTGACACTGCTTCGCTGCGGCAATCGACGAGGCCCGGAGGTATGGACTTATGGTGTCATAAGTGTGAGGGGCCCATTTGATCATCATGGTAAGCCAGCGGGTCAGGTAAGCCTTGAACGAGTGCTCATCAACGTTGCACGTGTTGACCGATTCGCAGGCAACTTCCGACATGATGTTGTTCTTTGGCCCAGTGAAGAAGACTTTGCTGCCTTCGAGGAGGTTGTCCAAGCGGTCCTTCCAGGTCTGCGACTCGGTCAAGTTGTACATGGCGGCGGCTCCGAGAATCATGCCTCCGGCGTTGTAAGTGAATTGGTAGGGGGTGAGAACGGTACAGTTGGTCTCGATTCCGGCGCCGTCGTAGACATACCAGTTCGTCGTGTTGATGAGTTTCGTGGCAACCATCCAGTCCCACGTCTTCTCGGCCCAGTCAGAGTAACTCGTGTTGCCGGTATACAGGGCCAACCTTGCGCCCAGAGCAAAGAAGCACGCTTGAGAAATTGAGTTCTATCAACAGTTAGCCAGACGGCATGGTTCGGTCATCACCTTGCACCTTGAAGCGCAACCCGACCTACCTTGTAGTCATAGCCATTGTTCCACGTAAAGATCTGCCAGCGAAGGCCGCCTCCGCAGTGCTCCGTGTCCCAGCGAGCGGCTTGGGTGTTGAAGACAGCTTGGGCGAGGCCCAGCCACTGTGGCTGATCAGGGGGCGGATCGGGGAACTTGTATTCGGCGGCTGACATGACGGAGAGGCCCCAGAAGCCTTGGTCGTCGTTTCCCTCGGTTCGGGTTTGGTTCCTTGGCATGTAGTCGTTGGTCTCGCCGACCTGGAAGAGGAGGGCCTGCTTGGTCAGGTTGTTGTAGGTGTCATCCCCGGTGTAATACCAGTAGTCGATAAGCGTCCCCATCATGGCACCAGCCTCCCACCCTGGAGATGCACATGTCAGTGATGAGAAGAGGAGCAGCGATTGCTGCAGCATATGAGAAAGATATACCCACAGTAGTATGGATCGGGAAGAAGGCCAGGCGTCTGGCCCGGTTCGTTGCCGTGATAAAACGACACCAGGTCCTCCGCCATTTGTTTTGATATCGACTTGACAGAATCTATAGGTCCCCAATTAGCGGCCGCACCAATGCTGGATGGGAACATGAAGCAGCAGTCTATTCGTACCAGGCGAGTCTGGATCCAAGTTATAAGCCGCCGTGAGCTGGCTGGTCGCTAGCAACAGCCCAATGGCCAGACGACCAAGCGGCGATTGGCGTAATAACCGTTCCATGTTGGCAAACGAAGTCTCCAGCGACAACGGCCCCAGAGAGTCAATTCAATCAGCGAGGGGGGATCCCATGAGACGGCGGTTGCGCGCAAGTTGTTTCGGCAATCGAGGCTCTATCGTGACCAGGATGGAATGCAGCCCGCTACAGCTTCAGAGCCATCTATACCGTCGGTTGTCGACTTGGCAGGTTGGACAACCGGCAACGGCGACAGAAATGGGCGGCAGCACCACGAGGGACGGCAAGCGAGTGAATGAATGGGAGCGAGAGACAGAGGGAGGGGATATTGAAAGGGAAGAAAGAGAGGAAAACAAGAGACAGGCGGCCCAGCTGTGGAGAAGGGAAGGACGAGGTGAGCGGTGGATATACTTGCACACCTTTCGTATGTACATACTGCCTGCCCGCCCGGATATCCCTCCTTGTCCTACCTTACCTTAACCTTACCCAGCAGTAGAAAATACGGGCCAGCAGATCGCTTCTGGGGAGCTGGAATCGGCTCCGGAAGCGCTTGCATCTGTACATGCTCACTCGTCACAGCCGGCCTGCGACCGAGAAGGCGGAATTGACGCTCGCCTGACGTACGTGTGCTCGTCTGTTGTGCGAGCATCGGGCAAACAACAAGCTCTACTACTGAACGTGGGCAAGGAGCACGCACTCGCAGTAGCTCCGGAGTACCCGGCCATGGAGGACTGCTTGCGTCGATACCTGGGAGCTACCTTCAGCTGGGAGGAGGCCATGAGCGACTCTGCCAAAAACCTGGAGCTGGAAGTCTGGAGAGCTGGAACTGGAGCTGGACTGGAGCCGGGAATGGAGCTGCTGGAGCGCCACGCAAAACCTTGCCTTGGTAGCACCACTTTTGCTGCATCGAACTATCACAGAGCGTCCTGGTCTGGTCCTAGCTCGCAGTAGCCGCTCGGGTGCTGGGCCAGAACGGGAACCTGGCAGGGTCCAAATACGAGGAGCGAGGCTGCAAGCGGGCCACCGAATCTTTGAAAGCAGCAATGACATCGCGCCCCGCCAGCGATCAGGATCGACTTTTTGTTGTCTATTTGTCTACCTTGCTCCAATCGCCGGGAAAAGGGAGCAAGCAGACGTGAAGGGGTGAGGTTGCGTTCGCAGGGAAACGACAGGCGGCTGAAGCAGCAGACTCTCGTATCGTCCCTCGCTAACGGCATGCTGAAGCAGAGTCGCTGCGGAAGATGCCGCTCGCTACCTTACGGGAGCATCCCAAAGGGCCGCTGCGGCCGCTGGAAGCTTTTGCCGCATCGTCAAGGTGCTGACGTCTGACTGGAGTAGAGCGACTATCGAGAGCTAGCCGACTGACTCGGGCAGAACCAAAACCTTCTATTCCTTCCTCCCTTCTGTCTAATACTGACGGAATCGTGGCTGGCCCCTGGGCGGTGGTTGGGCCGTTGTGGTGCTCCCCTTCAGCCCGACAGGGCAGCCACACCACTGAGCACACAAACATACGAGAGCAAGTAAGCCTGTGTTGGTGAGGGGGACAAGACCACGCAAAGATCCTAGTCAGGCGGGAAAGAGGCGGGGAGAGCTGGGGATACCGCGGATGAGTGGACAAAGCAACAAAGCCATCAGCGCTCGTTCCATGTCTCTCTTGTTGCATCACGAGACATCAAAGACAGAGTCAGTCTGGACAGAGCTGAAGGATTGGCGCATACGATGGATGCATCATCAGGGTTAGGTAAGGCAGTTGAGCGAGTGCTCGTCATACATTCAAATGATGGGCAGCGCAGTAGGCGATCGCTTATCGGCATCTGATGTTCGATAGGGCGGGTCAGACGTCATTCTGTCAATCAGTGTCCAGCTCGACATGAGTCTTGTGCATGATCTGCATGCGAGCGCGACGACCGTCTTGACGCACGAATTTGCATCGTCACAGTGAAGCTCGACAAGACAGATCGTGAATATCCGTTGACTTTCCCTCCTTTCGCGGTCACGCTGGCGGCGGGCCGCTTCCAACCATTTTCGACCAAGAAAAGAGGTCAGCAGTTGCGCTGTTGTCTTGGCATGCAAAAGAGCAATACCGGTAGTTAGTTGGACCAGGGCCGAGGAGGCTGAGCACGTCTGCTAAATGGAATACGATGTCGTCTTCGTACAGGACTGCTGCTTGCCGATGGACCTACAATAATAGTAGGTGTTCAACTCTTTCGAGTCAGCACAAGTGTGGCTTGCCCTGGGCCTATGTATGAGTACAGGTAGTAAAATGCAATGCACCAAGGTGAACCCATTCAGAGTCCACTAACAGCAGAGTCTCCAGCAATTATGCTTAAAAAATGCTTTGGACGGAGAATGACTGGCTGCTGCTGCTCCGTACACCATGACAATCCAAGCCCTCGGTCAACATTCAAGGCACTTGAACAATGAATGACCACCATGGATACTCACCGAGCATAATGGCTTCTCGCATCGCCTATGAAAGCTGCAGTCTCGCATCCCAACATCAATTCGAGGCGGCTTCGTAATGCACTGTACGGAGCTGAGCGCACACCGTCCGTCTTGATTGGGCGCGGCCGGCTGCTACAATCAGCCCGTTGTTCCCGAACAGGTATTGAAGAGAGAGCTGGCAAGAATCCAGGCACAGAAGCTATTGCGAGACCAGCCGCTTGCCCTGCCGCCGGAATGAGTCAATCCACGCTTTCGTCAAGTTGGGATGAAACCAGCCTGCGACAGTGGTCGCGGGGCCAAACTGTGCAACCGAGCATGTCCAAGGCTGGGCAAGTCAGGGACGAAGCACGTCCTGAGGCCTTGACAGACTCTGGTTTGTACCACCGGAATCGACAACAACTGGAAGTCACCATATCTGCGGGTGATTTTTCTCGATATTTCTTCTGTGTTCTGTGCATCTTCCGCCTCTCTTTGGCCCAGCACCATCACTCGACTTATGCCGCTAGCCGCCGAGCCAGTTTCTGACCGTGATAGCAATCACGTGTGCCAGTGAGCAGAGCGCCAGAGCCACATTCTCGGACGAGGCAGTGTGGCGGGGCAAAGTAGCGAGACTGAGGGCGAAAAGTACTTTTGCGTACCTCGTTCCCTGTCTGCCAGGTCTGCATGAATAGAACCTGATTAGAAGAGACCTGTGAAGAACTTCATGCATACCCGCCATGTACACCCGCCGGCACCTGTTTACGCGAGGCTGGGGGTCCCTCCAAGGTTCCGTCGACTCCGCGCTGTCGTCAGCCGGGGGGCCAACGCCTGCAACAGGCTCTGCCGCTGCTCCCTTTAGCTGCCAGTGGTTGGCACTTGTACAGTGCTTTTGTAGGCGAAGGGGCTTATTCTGTCTGCGGACCAAACGTAAACTTGTCTTCCTCACATTTCCCTGCCGCCATTACGCATCACCGTCCTCTTCACTCCAACGCCCCTCCAGAACCAGCAACACCAGCGCTGCCGCTGTCGCTCGCCTACGCTCTACCCTTCCGATCGCTTTATCGCCCACATTTTCCACTGCCCGACGGCCATCTACTCTCTCGACTGAACGTTGTATTCTTCTCAAAATGGCCGACGCTCCGTATGATCCCTACGTTCCCAAGGCCGGCGCCGACCAGTCCGGCGGCGTGTCGCGCACCCAGGCGCTTCAAGGCGTAAGTTTTCCGCCAAGATTCCAGGACTTGTTTCGATTTGGATGGGATTCCTCTCGAGTTTGCGAGCGGTGATGATGCGGAATGGGACATGCTTCCGCAGGGAGCAGCATTGCGCTCGTCGCTCAGCCTCACCGCTGAGTTGAGCGATAATCGATGCGTGGACTGCGTTTTGGGTTGATGGGGCTCTTCACCGAGAAAGAAAGGAGAGAACGAGAAAGAAACGAGTAGAACAAGATCCAAAGCTAACCTCGTCTTCTCCCATCAGGAAATCGACGCAACGGTTCAAGTGATGCGAAACAACATTCAAAACGTGGCTCAGCGTGGTGACCGCCTGGACGTCCTGCAAGATAAGACCGATAACCTGGCGGAATCCGCACAGGGTTTCCGCCGCGGTGCCAACAGAGTGCGAAAGCAGATGTGGTGGAAGGACATGAAGATGCGAGTCTGCATCGTCGTCGGAATCATCCTGCTCCTGGTTGTCATTATCGTTCCATCAGGTGAGTGAACCGCTGCGATTTGAGAATTTACCCGGCGGAAGCTGACGAAGAAATGACAGTCGTTGCCACCCGCTAATACTCACTTTCCTTGTTTGTTTGCCCATGATTTACGAGGTCCTTTGACGAGTACCAAACCGGCTGCTCTAGACGGCCAGCCGCGAGCCGGGTCTCGTTTCCAGCCGAAAGATTACGAATTGCTATTGGATGAGGGTTCTGTGCCATGAGGAGTTTGCTCAGACTTCGGACTATTTTAACGGGAGATGTAGCCTTGGGATGCTCACGGGCTGGTTTATGTATATGATTTGCAGGCTAGGCGTTTCCTCCGACCAATTGAGATAATGTGCGCTCTCTACCGGTCCTAAAAGAACGAATTATTTTTACAAGGCTACGGTTCCGGTTCCCTGCAGCTCAGGGTCAGGAACCTGCAGAACGCGTTGTGATGAGCTTTGCCTGAACGCAGTGACATGCACCGGCGCTGGAGATGCCTTTGATGTTGCTGAATGCCGACCAGCATCAACCAGACATGCATGATATCTGCAACAGGCTTGACAGATTCACAATCTTCTCTTATTATCAGATCTCTCAGCCGAACCAAGACATGCATCAGCTCCGAGTATTATTGCTCACGCTCTGCTATAATCCAGCCAACATGCTCATCTTATCTGATGGGGCGACATTCACCGCCTGCCCGCCAATTGGTGAGCGGTTTCGGGGCGACATTTTTTTCTGCCCCTCCCCCACAACGGCCCAGCGCAATACGAAAGCCGGTGACTCTTTTTTTCCTTATCTGATCTACCTAATATAAGGTCCCCTGCCCGTCCTCGTCTTCGCCGGTCTCCTCCCCTCGGCCATTGTTTCCTTCTTTTTCTTGCTCTCTCTCCCAAGCCTCGCCGGGCCAATTGGACCAGACAATCTCGCGAACCATGCTTTCTGCCACCTCTGCAGCCTTGCGGGCCGGAGCTCGACGAGGTGCGCCCAGGACCGCTGCGGCCGCGGCTGGCGCATCTGCTCCGAACGTCGTCCGAGGCCCGAGCCCGAGCCTGGGTCTGGGCCTGGGCCTGGGTGCGGCCGGCCGCCGGGGCCTGGCGTCCCTGCCGACGAGGGATCGGACGCGCGAGATTGTCGCCCAGACGGTCAGCAGCATCGGCAGCAAGCGCGAGGGCCAGCAGTACCTCAAGCTCTTCACCTCGGTCGAGTCCCAGAAGTTCGCCGTCATCAAGGTCGGCGGCGCCATCCTGACCGAGTACATTGACGAGCTGTGCCGCAGCCTGCTGTTCCTCTACGAGCTGGGGCTGTACCCCGTCATCGTCCACGGCGCCGGCCCGCAGCTGAACCGCCTGCTGGAGGAGGCCGGCGTCGAGCCCCAGTTCGAGGAGGGCATCCGCGTCACCGACGCCAAGACGCTCGGCGTGGCCCGCAAGCTCTTCCTCGAGGAGAACCTGAGGCTGGTGGACAGGCTGGACTCGCTGGGCGTTGCCACCAGGTCCATCAGCGGCGTCTTCATGGCCGACTACCTGGACAAGGAGAAGTGGCAGTACGTCGGCAAGATTACAAAGGTCAACAAGGAGGCGATTGAAAAGTCGATTGAGGCGGGCTACATTCCCGTCCTGACCTCCATGGCCGAGTCCGAGGATGGCCGACTGCTCAACGTCAACGCCGACGTTGCTGCCGCCGAGCTCGCCCGCGCGCTGGAGCCCCTCAAGGTTGTGTATCTGTCCGAAAAGGGCGGCTTGTTCGACGGCGAGGGAGAGAAGATTTCGCACATCAACCTGGACGAGGAGTTTGACCACCTCATGTCGCAGCCCTGGTGCCGATACGGCACGCGACTCAAGATCAAGGAGATCAAGGAGCTTCTCGACACCCTGCCGAGGACTTCCAGCGTGGCCATCATCCACCCCAGCGATCTGCAAAAGGAACTGTTCACAGACTCTGGCGCCGGCACATTGATCCGACGCGGTGACAAGATCCAAAAGGTCTCCTCCGTGGCCGACTTTGAGGACTTGGATAAGATCAAGGAAGCCCTGATTCGCGACCGCGAGGGACTGGATGCCGAAGCAACTGTTGACCGGTTCATCGACTTTTTGCGAGAGAACCCCTTCACTGCCTACTACGACGACGCGCTCCAGTGCGTCGCCATTGTGATCCCCGCTGGCAAGGACCGGCCGATGGCCACCCTTGCGACCCTGGCCATCACCAAGTCCGGCTGGCTGACCAACGTGGCGGAGAACGTCTTCGCGGCCATCAAGAAGGACCACCCGAGCCTTGTCTGGACCGTGAGCGAGAACGACGAGAACCTGACGTGGTTCTTTGAAAAGGCCGACGGCAGCTTCAACCGCAACGGAAGCGTGCTGTTCTACTACGGCTGTGATTTGCGATCTGACGCCCTGGCTCCGGTCTACGACGACTTTGTCTCTCACGGACGCGCCATGCTGGGCGATTCCAACCTCGAGGCCCGGCTTCGCCGCGCGGCCCAGGCTGCCAGCCAGGCGCTGAGGGACTCTCAGGGCCGAGTTTGAATGTAATGGGAAAAAAGAGAGTTGCAATGTTCCTTATTGGAGTTTAACGGAATCTTTGGGGTATGTGTTGTATTATATTAAAGTTCAGGGGGGTGGTTGGGCCGGAAAGATGGCGGGCAGGATTACTTCCAGTGTCTGAATATGGGCGACTTTTTCTTCTGATCCTTGGAAGGGGCCAAAGACCATCTTGGAGATACATACAAGTGATATGTCTGCTTTTGATGTCTTGTCGCTACCCAACCCCAGAGGAGGCATATCATTAAAGGGTGTGTGCTGCTTGGCTCAAGCATGACTTGTCATAATGAGGGGAAAACAGAGACAAGTCATCGTGTGAAGCTTATGCTGGTGGTTGTTCGTCTGTCAATACATGGCGAGTCGGAATACAGTCTGAGCAGAGTTCATCAGAGTGATTATGTCTTGGGCTTTCAGATATTGTGTGTGTCGGGAACCGTCTTCCGGAGCCGATCAATGCCCTCAGCATTCTCCAAAGAGAATGCATGTTAAATGGACGTCAAGCTTCTTTACGCAGATCCATGTATGTATATCCTGAAATGGCGGGAGATGCGCAAAGCAATATGATGCCCTTTTGCGATTTCAAACAACTCATGCGAGAGATTTCCACCTCGCTCGTTTGTTTCAATCCTCTCTTTTAAAAGATAGCTTCACACTTACTCCAAGACGAAATACGAAAGTTTTCCCATCCAGAAAGGAACGGGCATGCATGATGGAGGTTTCGAGACAAGTTTTCGGTCATAAAAGGCGGGGCAGCCGAGGCTTGTCGAGCTTCCCATGCTTTTTTTCAATGCCGAGATGTGATTTGCCTGTATTGTTGGGAGGCATCTAATCAAGTTTGTTGTTGTTGGTTGAGTTATCAAACATGTGAAAGCTTGGGAGTGGCAGCTGCATGCATGCATCAATGCCTTGGGGGCTGATGGCGTTCAGTATCTTATGTGTACTTTGCAGCTTCTTGAGGAGGAGGGTGATTATAGTGAGTTGAGCAACAGAGGATGCTGGCCATTATGGGCGTCGAAATTGATTGATTGATGCTTCACTTGTTGTTCCTTCGTGACGGCGTTGAAAGCGGGCCTTTGCCTCTTTGCTGCGAACAAACTTACAACTACAGAACAAAACCAAAGATCGTATCTCACTGCCTTACTGACTGTTCCGCCCAACTCCACAACTTCATGTTACATCCTCGTTCCCCATGCTACTGCAACGTAAGAGATGGCAAGTATTTAGTATGAGTGAACCATGGGAAAGAATCCCTTGAAACGGCCGAGTGAACCATTGCGCCAACTTTCAAATGTGCTCTGTCTGCCCCCCTTTCGAAGGGAGACAAAAACTCTGAAGTGGTTACAGGTTGGGACAGAAGAACCGTGGTGATGCGGCCGCGAACTTGGGCTGCTTGTAAGCTTTCAAACAAGAAACCTGACCTGCTCAGACAATGATACTCGATGGCTTTGTCCAATTGCGGCTTGGTTGGGGAGGGTTGCAGCCATGCGAACAAAGTGACGAAAGGAGAAGTTGGTTCACGCATTAGCGGAGAGACAATGTACTACATACCTACACACCAACTTATATGTAGATCCTGGCAACAAACCTCCTCTTCATCTCCCTTGCTATGCGCGTTCTACCCTCATTCATGTCATGACCACGGTCGTGCTAGTTGGTGATTCTAATCGCATATGAACCAGTAGATAGAAGCATCATCCGAACCATGTCCGTCCTCGTCGGCGAGCTCGCAGCGCTGCTCGGCTGCGCCCTCACGGCCACTTACACGCTCTGGTCCGCCCTCGAGCGCATCGCCCTCGTCGCCACGAACCAGCACCTCCTCCCGCCCGCGTATTCTCGCCACGCCTCCCTCGGCCTCGCCCTCCTACTGCTGCCCGTCCTCCTCGTCCTCCGCAAGAGGCACCACTACCTCCACGGCACGCGCGTCCACAGCGGCTGCCAGCCCGCCGCCGTCTATCCTCACCTCGACCCCGTCCTCGGCCTCGACTTCTTGCGCATCTCCGTCAAGGCCCTCAAGGAGTACCGCCTGCTCGCCCTCTGGGACGACGTCCTCACCGCCCGCAACGGCACCTTCTGGTACAACGCCCTCGGCAGTTGGATGCTCATCACCTCGGAGCCGGACAACGTCAAGGCCCTGCTGTCGACGCGCTTCGACGACTGGCCGATGAAGTCGCTGCGCCAGCGGGTCAGCGTCCTGGCGCTCGGCCCGCACAGCATCTTCGCCGTCAACGGCGCCGAGTGGCATCGCGCGCGGGCGCTGATCCGCCCCAGCTTCGTGCGCAACCAGATCGCCGACCTCGAGTGTACCGACAGGCACGTCGACAACTTCCTGGCGAGGCTGCCGCGGGACGGAGCCCGGTTTGACGTCGACAGGCTGCTGTATCACTTTACCATGGACGTGTCCACCGATTTCATGTGAGCTTGAACCCTACCATCCTGTATACATATAATATATATGTCTCTCTGTGTGTGTGTGTGTAAATATATATATATATATATATGTCAGTTTACTGATGATGAGCTCAAAAAAGGTTCGGATACTCAACCTCCCTCCTCACCTCCCCCACAAAGGAAGCCCTCGACTTCATGACGGCCTTCGACTACCTCCTCACGACGTCCACCAACCGCGCCCGCCTCGGCTGGCTCGCCCTCCTGCGCCCGGACCGGCGCTTCGACGAGTACGTCCAGACGACGCAGCGCTTCGTCGACCGCCACGTCGCCCAGGCGCTCGCCCAGGAAAAGGAAAAGGAGAGGCCGTACGTCTTTTTTAACGAAATCATCAAGTCGGGCGCCTCGCACCGCCAGGTCAGGGACCAGCTGTTCTCGCTCATCCTGGGCGGGCGCGACACCAGCGCCAGCACCATGGCGTCGCTGTTCTGGGTCCTGGCGAGGAGGCCCGACGTGTGGAGCAGGCTGAGGCGGGAGGTTGCCCTGCTGGAGGGCCGCAAGCCGACGTGGGAGGAGCTGAAGAATCTCAAGTATCTCAACATGGTCCTGAAAGAGAGTGAGCATTACCCCCTCCCCCCCCCCCCTTATTTCAACCTGAACAAAAACGGCTCACGAAACGTTTTCCAGCCCTCCGCCTGTACGCCCCCGTGGCGAGCAACATGCGCACCGCCGAACGAGACACCATCCTCCCCAAGGGCGGCGGCCCCGACGGCCAGAGCCCGCTCTTCGTCCCCAGGGGCACCGACTGCCGCTACTCGACCTACAGCCTGCACCGCCGCAAGGACGTCTGGGGCCCGGACGCCGACGAGTTTCGGCCCGAGCGGTGGGAGACGCATAGACCGGGGTGAGTTCCTCTACTTTCCATTAATCTGAAGTTGCAGTATTGTGATTTGTCTGTGGTAGAGAGAGTTTCATGTTGTTGACTGAGGTTGGTGTGATTTATAGGTGGGAGTACATCCCCTTCAGCGGCGGTCCACGGATCTGCATCGGCCAGCAGTTTGCCCTGACGCAGATGCTCTACCTCGTCGCGAGGGTGCTGCAGACGTTTCGCCATGTGCGGCCCGGCGACGACGAGCCGCTGAGGCATCAGGTTGGGTCGACCATCTCCATGGTGGGCGGGTGCTGGATCCATCTGACTCCCGTAGCAGCGGAGTAAGAAGTGAAAAGAAAAGAAAGGGCAAAACGCCATCGTCAGACTTTGGGAACTAACTCAAGGAATGTGAGTAACATGTCCGGTCCTGCGGGATGACATGATAACTATTACCCTATGCTCACATAAGGTAGACCTGATTCCATTCCATGCCGCTCATGATTCGCCATTTACATAATATGTGATATTCATGTTCCATATGATACCTACTAGTTCTATATCTCTATATAGATGGTACCCCTGCATTAAAGAAGCAAACTGGCATCACACGATAGAATGGAAAGAAAACATATGCCGTCAATCATCGCCGAATCAGTTCCAGACACCTCATATGTGCCTTGCACATTGCTTCAAACTCGTACAAACATAGTACATCCAATAACGGATGCAAACAATCACTCCTCCGCCAGCCCCCTGAAACGAAGCACAGCAGTCATCTCAGGGGTTCGTTCCATCACCAAATGGCGGCCTGGTCCGCATCAAATCGGGAAAGCTCCTTGCCCGCATCCTCCAGATCCTTCTTCGCCTTCATCCGCATGTAAAAGATGGGGCAGTCCTTGCTGCTGCAAATCACCTCGCAGTGCATGCTGCCCTGGCATCGCTGGCACTGCGTCCACAGCCGCCCGAACCGCACCTCCAGGTCCGACACCCGGTCCAGCGTCTTGTTGTACAGCTCGCCCACGCGAGGCGCGCAGTCGCTGCACACCGCGCCCGCGCTCTCGTGCGAGCCCGTCAGCGGCTTCTTGCATCCCATGCACGTCTGCGTCTTCTTGGCAAACTTCATCAGCCCTCCCACCGTCGGCGCCGCCACCGAGATTGTCCGCGTGTGGTCTCCCGTCAGCAGCGACTTTGCCTTTGTCTCGCCCAGGATCGGCTCAAAGATTCGCCCCAGCGGCTTCGCCAGCTGGTTGTCCAGGTAGTACTTGGTGTCGATCGGCACATTGTTCTCCAGCACGTAGATTGGGTCCTCTGACTTTTCAAAGTTCTTGGCTCCCGCCGCTCCTCTCACCATGACATATGCCACTCGGTCACCGAGGCCAGGTGCCGAGCCGGCGTCGCGCTTCTTCATCCTCTGCGCAAGCTCAACGTGGGCTTGCTTGGCGGCGTAGTCCTCCTTGGTGAGGGCCTTTGTGATGACCAGTTTTGACATGTCAATCTTGTTCTGTAACAGGTCTGCAATGGTACTCTTGACATAGCTGTTGTCGATGACGGGCATCTGTTAGCTACATGCCCTATTTGCAGGTCGAGTCTATCTCGAGAACCGTAAGGGGGTATCACTTACTCTTGCGCCCCTTGGACGTCCCTGTCGATGAGAATCATTCGCAGGACCTTTTCAATCACAGTCTGTGCCAGCAGGCAGTTGTCACGTCGCACTGTCTCTAGACCCTTGGTGTCCATCTTGTCGTACTTGTCCGTCTTGGTCCAGTATAGCCCAGCATACCGCTTCTTGTTGATGAGGAGATACGGAAAGTAGACCTTTTCGAACTCAAGCTTGATGGGTTTCAAGAACTTGGCCGACACAAACTTGGAGGCTTCCTCGCCCAGCTTCATCGCCTCGGCGAGATCCTTGGTTCCAAACTTGACCATGACGGAATCTGTATCGCCGTAGATGACCTGGGCATCGTGCGTGTAGCCGTTTGCAATGTTGTACCTCTCCTCCACCTCCCGCTTCGTCTTCTCAATCATCTGACGGCCGAAACTGGTCGTGCTACTGGCGATGGCGAGACACGGCAGTTTTCCAGTCGTTGCACCCGTCAGGCCGTAGACACTGTTGGCGCTGACTTTCAGCGCCAGCTGCCTACCGTTCAGCACGGCCTTCTTGAAGGGGTCCGTCTCTTGCGCCAGCTCTCGCTTCGCCTGTTTTCTGGCTGACAGCAGTTCTTCTAAAATCTGAGCGAGCAGCCCCTTGCGCTTCGTGGCCGTGACAAACATATCTCCATTGGGGGTGACAATGTAGTCCTCGTCCTTCTTGAGCTTGAATCTCTCCACATCTCCAGGTCTTAGCAACGTCGTGTAGCAAAGATTGTGTGCTTGAATGATACTCGGATACAGGGAGGCAAAATCGAGGGTTGCAATGGGCACGTCGTAGTATCCTCGCGTCGGCTCAATGACCGTGGCACCCTCATACTGGTCCTCTGTACCCTGGGGGGCAATGTTGGGGATGACCAGCTTCTGTTCCAGCGCTTTTCGGAAAAGCTGGCTCACAAACTTGATCTGTTGTCCACGGGAAAGCAAAAAGTTGAAGGGTACGCCCGTGACTCTGGCCATTTCCGTGTAGTTTTCCAGACACGACAGCTTGTCCATTAGTCGCTGGGGGAGGTAGGCATCCTTCAAGCAGTAGAGCGCCAGACGTCGCCGCGATTCGGGGGTTCCGTTGAACAGCTCTGTGATCATGGTATGGTGCACGTCTTCCTTCTGCTCCCCCAAGAACTGGGAGCATACAGAGTTGAGCGTGTAACTTCGCAGGTGATGATCGCGCTGGACCAGCTGCAGCATGTCGAGCTGCAATCTGCCGTTGGTATTCGTGGCTTTGGTGTCTCGGTTACCAATCTGTTTACTTGAAAAGTTGGTTTCCTTGACTCTGGAGGGCTTGCTGGGGATGCGAGACCAGTACTCGAAGCCTTGCACCTTGAGGTGCTTTGCGCGATCCAGGAGGTAGGGGAAATCGAAATTGGCAATGTTGTATCCGATGATGATGTCTGGATCGACTCGGATAAGGAACTGCTGCCACTCGTGGAGCATCTGCTCCTCCTTTTCAAAGTCCAGAATCTGCGTAGCGACAATGGGGCTGGTGGTGTCGAGGCAAAATACGTTTCGGATAAAGGGCTTCTTCTCTCCGTACTTGGTAACCACGTTTGCGATCTGGATGACAGGGTCCACGTTGGCCTCGGGAAAGATTCCCTTGCGTCCGGCGCACTCGATATCGAAAGAGAGGATACGCAGAGGCGCCATCTTGGCCCATTCCCCCTCTGGCTTGTGGGCGATGAGATCCATGTAATTGACTTCGGCTTCGATCTGGCAGTTGGACTGCTTGCTATGTTCGGGGATCATCTGGTAGGTACCGGCAGGGGCTTCGACCCACGACATGCCTTGGATCTAGAGCAGCACATCTTTTAGCATATAGCAACACCACTTCATATGCAAGCCTATCAAGCCCTTACCTTGCAATCCACCATAAACCGCAGCACGTACTGAATGTTGTCGTACGTCCTCAGCCCGCCATCCAAAGCTCCCCACATGCCCTTCCAGTTCGCAAGGCCCTTTTCTATCGTCGATCGCACCGTGTTGATAAATTTGGGGTCGGTAACGGTTATTTTGAGGTACGGGCTTTGTACATTGCCCTGGTAGTGGTAGATGTCCTCCCTCATGGTCAAGCTGACCGAGTGAATCGCGGGCTGGTACTGGGCGACCTGTGTCTCGAGATACGCCTTGTAGAGGTCGCAGTCCTTTGGCTGGAAGGCCAGAGGCGCAGCCACGTAGAGGTAGTGCTTGAAGTCGGTGACATGCAGCATGACCGAGTACCCCTCGTCCGTGACGCCAAACAGCTTGACGGCCACCTTGCCGCCATTGAGCGTGCCCTCCTCGGCCTCGATGGACTGGAAGCAGATGCTGTCCCGTCCCGGCACAAACTGCGTCACCGGCGGCCGATCCCAGGCCTGGTCCTTTTCTGTGTTGTTCTGCTTGCGCTCCGAGATGTCCTGGCTGAGCTTCTCGAGAATCTCGGACTCGAAGACGCTCTTGGTCTGGCTGGCGCCCAGCTTGGCGCCGGGACCCTTCTGCGAGCTGATGAAGCGCGGGATCGGCACGGGCTCGGCCATGTCCGTCTTGCGCTTCTTGCTGGACTGCGGCGACGAGGGGATGTTCTGGCGGGTGCGGGACTCGCCCAGCACCCGCTTCTGGGGGACGACGGTGGCTGCCATGCTTCTCCTTGCGCTGCGTTTCTTCTAAGACGAGCGAAACGAACAAGACCGGGGCCAGCTGCTGCTTGTCATGGGACAGATCCAGCGCAGGTTTTGGGTAAAATCGTGGGTCGCAGAGAGAAGAGAAAGACGAGGCGCGCGGGAGGTTGTTCGATCACAGCCGCTGGACACGATTATTTCCAGCAATACGATACGCGCCTCTCAAGCGTGACGTGACAGGGACCCGCCGGTGGTTTAATGGGCTCGCACGTGAGTTGGCGTTTAATGTTCAAATAAGTACGGAGGTACTTTGGGCGGGGAGTGGGGGGGGGCTTCAATGTTCCTCCTCCGGGATGAACCGTCACTACGGGCTCAGCAACAAGCGCTTCAGCAGCAAGACGCCACCACCAGAAGCTCCGACTTACAGTTCATTTACTGGGTAGTGAAGAATCTCAATACTATTACCGCCGGCTAGTCAGGGGCAAGTCAACAGACAGCAGCGAACTTTGGACTATTCAGATACAGAACCATGAGGGGCAGACAACGTATGTCACTACAACTGTCAACCATCATGCTCAAGTAAATCAATTGCTTCCCCAATAATGGCTATTTCTTCCAAATTGCCTCACGGTAGGATATCCTAAACCAATCATCAGTCAAATCTCTTCTCGTATCATGGACGATTGTCATAAGGTAAAGAGCCCAGGGGTCTTCTATCAGAGATGTATTCTTGTTGCTCAACACATGTCCTCATGGGATCATTCAGCTAAGCCATGCATTGAAGAACATTCATCATGGAAACGGGCTGACCTAGGGTTTCATGCCTCTTGTGGTCTTACCTTTTTTACTGTCGAGCTTGTCCATGTCCCGCCCCTGGATCCAGTGAAGCTGTCGTTAGATCATGCTTCGCTCTGCTCCTGGGCAGGCCCATAGTTCTGTCATCGACAGCCACTCAGAGAGGAAGAAGGGCAGAAAGGAAAGGGGAGATGGAAGAAAAACAAATGGCAAAAGACATTTAGCCGTGAACGAAGTACGAGTACTTATAGAACAGGCAACGCCAATGCAACACATCCTCGTTCTTCTTAGGTAACTGGTCGCGTGACTTGCCGTCTGGGCAAAACAACTTGAGCTTGTTCTCACGGCTATTACTCTACGCAAAGGGCAAGGAAAAGGAAAAGCACGCCAAGAGGAGACGAAATCAAGTCACCATGCAGTCACATTGAACTCTTCCAAAGAAACTTGCAAGTCAAACAAGAACCCAACAAAACCTCCTCCCTTGTTCCATGCCCATGCAGTAGGTCTCGCCGAGATGCAGACAATCGAATCCCAGAAGAAAGAGCAGCCTTCTATATACAAACTGTAAGATAGTCATGCTTTAAGCCGGTATGCCATCCTCTGCCGTCACCTCTGCCTTGTGTTTAACCGTAACCTCCCCTCAACCTTGAACGCCAGCGCTGTATAATGTAGAAAATCTCTCTCAGCCACTTGTGGCTTGTGTCTTGCGTCTTTTGCAGGCTTCGCGAGATTCAGACGCCTTTTTTGTTATTCTTTCGCTTCTTTTCTATGACTCTACTGCTCCTTGATGGTTCCAAGATCGCACCATCCATTGACAGGCTGATTCCTGTCAGTCTCTCCTCAGGAAAAGGCATGCGAGGAGATGGGGAAGGACAACTTACCAGACAACTGAGATACTTGCACCAGCTGCAAGTGTTGCCAACCTTGTAAAAGTTGTTGATCAAAACAACAAAGACGACGATGATGAGCACGAGAGCAGCTGCTCGAACAAGCCACCAGGCCCACCATAGAGGTTTCCGTCCCTTGAAGAAGCCAACCGGGCTTTTATAAAAGGGAACCCCAGCCTCCGGGGCACCAGGCACCGCCGAGTATAACGGATCCTCGCCGATTCTCCTTCGCAGCGAGTTGGGAGAGTGGAGCACGCAGATGCCCAGGATGAGGCCCATCAAGAACCCGCCAATGTGTGAGAAGTTGTCGAGTCCAGGCAGCAGCCCGAGAACAAAGGAAATGACCATGTCGATGACGATGAAGAGCAGATCCTTGACGGGGCTTCGTCGGTCTTTCCACGAGTATAGCAAATCAAGCAGGGTCAGAGCAATGATGCCAAACAGAGAGCCTGACGCTCCTGTGGACGCAATACCGGGGGCGGCATAGTTTCCTCCCATGACGAAGCCGAATATGCCAGCACTCATATAGACCAAGAAGAATCGAATCGACCCAATCGCAATTTCCATCTCTTTGCCAATGGTGAGCTGCATGAGCAGGTTGAAGCCAATGTGGATCAGCCCGGCGTGCATGAAAATGGGGATGATGAAGCGGAACCATTGATTCGGAATGGGCGACTGGTTGGCGTTGCCGTCAAACTTGGGATTGGGAACGTCGCCGCCGAAGCCACACAGCTCCGAAAGAGGGCAAAATTGCGTGTTCTTGGTCGCATTTGGGCACAGGAACAGCACGGGGATCGTGGAGCCTTGGATTTCCTTGATGTTGTGCATGCAAGGCACGTAGCGGGCGCCCATGTTGATGAGGACCTGTGTTGACGGACCAATCATGGGGTTGAACTGCGGCTTGATCATGATGGGAGAGCCCGTCAATACACCTGTTGAACGTCACGGTTAGAACCATCAGTCGAAGCTGCAAAAGCGAAGCGATTGGCCGTGCGCGCTCTTACCGTTCCGCACAATCTCGGCGATGAAGACGGCGACTTGCGCCACCGAAAAGATGTAGACCAGCCATGGAATGCGCTTCTTGTTGGCGCCGAGCATGCCCAGCTCGCCTATGCGCACCTTGCCTCTCTTGTCCCGCCTGCGGCTCGACTGCCCGGCCGGCGCGTCGTAGATGTGATCAGTGACCTCGGGAGACTTGCTCGTGTGGTCCTGCAGCGGGATATTCTCCGTCCTCGACCCGTAGTAGCCCGTATCTTGGTGGTAGAAGCCCTGCTGGGAGATGTCGCTGCTGCTCGCGCCGCCCGGCCCTGGATTCGCGTTCGTTGGGTATGCGGGATCGTCGAACACGGTATCAAACGGCGACGCACCTGTTGTGGGCTGCTGCTGCTGGTGGTGGTTCGCGGGAGCGCCATACGGGTTCCCGTACTGAGCTTCTGCATAGGCCGGGTTGTAGGCCTGCGCGAGTTCTGATTCTGACGAGGGCGCGTGCGTGGTGTCATAGTAGGGGGCCGTCTGGTGGCTCGGAGGTTGCTGGTTGCCGCCGTAGTAGTAGCCGTTGGCAGCCATGGCGAGAGGAGCTGTCCAGCGGGCTCTGGGGCCACGCGGAGAAGCAAAAGGGACGGGTTGGAGGGAAAGCGAAAGAAGAGGAGGACAGAATCAGGTGAGTGTATCGTATGTGTGTCCCAGAGTCCGATGTCGATCTGTAATCTGTTGTTTGTTGCAAGGTAATGTCGTCTTCAAGCTACCCGTGCTGAGGTGTAGCAGTTGGAAGAAGCGAGCGAGATTCAGTACATGTAGGTGGTATGTGTAGGAGTCTGAGGCTGTAGGAGCAGGAGAAAAGCGGCTGCGGATAGTGGCCTGCTTTGTTTGATGTTTGCCAGCCCCGGACGATTACGTAGTGGGTACGAAGCACCAAGTATCTGCACAGCTGAGGGCGATGGACTGGCATCCAGCCGGCAGCGTGATTCGTATCGAATTACTGGAGAGAGACCGAGTCTGCGGAGCTCAGACGCAGCACATCTGATCCCCTGTCGGGCCTGTGCGCCTCAACCGCGGGCAGTCGGTTGGCGGATCAGGCTCTAAAATTGCCACTGAACGGCGCACTGGTCCAGGCCTGCCGGTGTTTCAGGCTTCGAGGCGCTGCGGAGGGCGTTTCAACTGGATCGTGGGCTGGCTGGAGAAGAGCTGCCAAGTCAAAGAGTACGAAACGAATAGTCAATGAGGCACCAAGAACCGGACAACTGGACAAGGTATACACAAGCCAGCGGATGATGCACCTCTTCTTGCTGCAATAAATGAACCAACAGCTGTCAATGTTGGCATGCACAGCACCGCTGACGTTGGTGGGCCAGGGGTGCCGGGCTGTGCTGGGCCTGGCCGTCGATCAGCCAGGCAAAGAGACTGGTCGACTGGATTGCGGTGGCGCTTTGCTATTTTGGAGCCCGTCCGTTGGCCCTGACTTTTGGCTGACTAGATTCTGTCCGTCTACTACTGTAATAATGAACGGCCGAAGCGCATGTAAGTAAGCCTTGAGGTTGAGCCTCAGTTTCTCTCTCCGTGTCTTGAAGCGTACCTACCTACTGTACAGACGCTCTGGCGCCATGCTGCTCATTCCGTCATGTCTCACCAAGCGCGTACATACAAAACAAACCATCGGTGACACCAGCTCCGTCGTGCTAGAAATGCAGGTTGGCAAAAGCCTTGAATCGTGCGAGGCCGATCAGGACACTTTCCGTGCCTCCAGCGTGACGAATCGGTGGCTCAGACGACGTGAGATACGAGCTCTCGCAGCTAATGATTTGGCGGGGACGCCACAGTGCAAAGGCGCGGCGGCTGTTAAATTTAGCAATTTGATCAGCGAACGAACAGCGCATCCAGGATGTGTCGATTAAGCTTCAATGGCCTGCTTGTCTGTCGACACCATCTCCTGCCGCAGCTTTTATACCGAGTTGGAACGTCAATGTAGTTGTACTTCAAGGAGTTGAGGCAGCCTAGCAGCCTCTCGTACTCTGCGTAGATTGCACTTGTATGACGAAAAGAGCCGCCATTAGCATCAGATGTTCATACATTTCCCATCCATATATCGTACATACAGACATGCCACCACTATTGGTACAAAGAAGTCGTAGTTGACCAGATGGGGCCTCGATCAACATCATCAATCAGACATCATGAATGTACTCTCATCTCACTATTTCTTCTTCTCCCCCTGCGGCGAATCATCCAAAGATGAGTCGTCCTTCTTCCCCCTCCAGCTACCACTCATGACTTCGGCAACCTGCTCGAAAATGATATCGCTCATGCCCTTGCCCTCCTCAAACGCCTTCTTGTGCTCTTGAGCCCTCCTCTCCTTCCAGTCCTCCCCCTCGCCGCCCATCCAGACGTCCTTGAGCACGCCGCCTTTGCCCTGTTCCTTCTGGCTCTGGCTCTGGCTCTGTCTCTGCGCGGCCTCCCTCTCCCTCTGCTCCCTCAGCAGCTGCTGCGTCCTCTTTGCGCCCTCCGGCAGCCCCGTGTCGAATATTGAGCCCACGCGGCTGCCGAAGCGTGCGTAGATGGACTGCCCCGTGTACTCGTAGGCGAGCTGGTTGGTGCAGAGGGAAAAGGTCCCCATCAGCACGAGCAGCCGGATGTCGGCCTTTCTGGGAGGGAGCAGCATGGCTAGGGGGGAGATGATTGCTCCGGCGAGCGCTGACTTGTGTATGAACTCATTGCGAGGCGGCAGCGGCGGCTTCTCGGGCTGTTGCTGTTGCGACATGATGTTGCAGTTGTGCTGCGGTCTGTTTGTGACGGCGAGATGGCGATCGATGCCGAGTAGTATATCGATCGAGCGGTTGCGTCGTAAAGCACCACCAATGCGTCCTATAGCAAGATTTTGCCGGTTCCAAAGGCGCAGCACAGGCTCGTCGCTATTGTAGTCGTCGTTGGGTTCAGTTTGGTTGTCTTTCAGAGAGCAAACCCGAAGTCGCATGCTGAAATCATGGCAACTTTTTTGCGGGTCCAGTGGCTGGATGGAGCCAATCAGACAACTTCCCTTGGCCGCCATCTCGACCTTCTGAGATCATCCTTTCATACCTGTTGGAAAGGTAGAAACATTGACATGTGATGAATGGAGGAACTTGCAACTGAATGGATATATCCTTCTGATATTGAGGAATCAGTTTATAACTTGCATTGCGATCTAGGCAGTATCATCCAAGATGTGCTGCCTTTGGCCTCTGTAGACCAAGCCAGCCGCAGTCGCCCGCCATCCTCACATGTGCTACCCTACATCGCGGAAACGGCGGTTAACGAACTGCCAATCCTTCCATCCACGACACATCGTCCCTCCTGAGACTCCCATTCCTCGCTTCTATCCGTGACTACAGCACTGGCTACTCTTGGCGGTACCTCATCATGGCTGACTTGGTTGGAAAATGCTGGCAAAGGGAAACAGCCAAGTGGCATGCTTATATTCCTCTTATTCAGGTACATGTGCCTTTCCCGGCTTCACAGGTATCTTCAAGCAGCAGCACACACACGCAACTCGGAAGCATGCATTGCTGCGGTCATGCGACAGCGACACGTGGGTCCCATCAGTATCTTGTGGGATCATGGCTGTGTTGAGAAAGATCGGATTGACCAAACAAGAGGGTGCAAGGAAAGGCCGCCAAGCTTGACAAGTCCATCATGGAGGGCAGCGTGCGTCTGAATAGGGCGGACTTTTTGGAACTAGATTGCTTTTACGTGTGAGTCGACTTTGCAATGCGGTTAGACTGTCAACTAGGTGGTGGTCGAATTGGTTGGTAGCTATATGAACCATGTCCGTTTGAGCATCGTATGCCATCGTGTGATGGAACGGACATGTACGACTAGGACCTCAAAGGTCTCGTTCACGCATTCAAATACTCCCGAGTAAAGCTACAAGATGTACTCGTGCCCCATGAGCACCGCAACGTGTGATGCCCCAGAACGGATAACTACTATCGAGATGCCGGTTCGAACAGCATCCTATTACGTGTAGTTGAGTCTCTTTGTCTCATCCTCTGACAAACCGCCTCCAGCCCGCAGCGGCGGGACGCTGCCAAACGGCCATTTAGCCGCCTGTCGGGCAGGTATCCGGCTGGTTGCTGCGACATGAGAACGCAACAGGATGGAGCCGGGGTGAGCTGTCAAAGAAACCGGATCAAGACCTGGCTATGTGGATTGCCGTCCTCTGCCCACTTGCAGCTGCAGTCAACATGAATGAAGCGTCGTGCGTCGCCTCTCCACCGCCCCGGCGGGATCCTGGTTCTCCGACTTACGAGTATGTACTGACACTCTCGGGCCTAAAGACAGAGGAGCAACATGAAGACGGAGGCATATGTACGAGGAACCTGATGGCTGCACTACAAAAGCCCCGGCTGCTCAGGAGAGCTTAGTTGATCTTCAACAGCCTGAGCCACCTTGTTAGTAGTAGTAACCCTCCTGGAAGCAGTGGTTAGCTATCTACATGTAGTATCTCCTCAGGAACCTTTTGTCTGCAGCATCACGCCGCCGATTCGATGCCCACCCTGTATTACCTGGTACTACCACCTAGTAGACACTGCATGTCCAAGGAACCTGCATGCGGTGTGTTACCGGTATCCCTACCTTGCCTCAGTATTTCCACCAATATTCCCACACACCCAACCGCAGCAGCCCTGTCCGGCTTGCCTGGAGGGCTGTAGGGGGACCTGCATGACGGCGGCGGCATGTGCGTGCATTTACCAGGCAGTACACGATTCCATTCATCGCTGCCCATGCCGTCAGCGACTCGAGCCGTCTGTCTGCATCTCTTTCTGTCTGGATCAACTCGGTGAGGAGGGATTGAAGCTCAGGTACAAGTACAATTGACCTGCCACTGACATGTACTCCCGCCGACTTGCACGATGTCCAATCGAAACCAAGGGACCTCGTGATATTCAATGGCAGCCCTGCCTCTTTTTTGAACTCTTATATGTCGTCTTTCCCACTCTCGTCTCCTCTGATCCCCCCTCCGGTCTCCCGCAGCAATTGAGGGCCAACCATCCGTCTCACTCTGCGTCGTACCAGCCAGCCCCGGTACATGTAAGCACCAGACATACCAGACATCACCCTCACCTGCCGGCGTGCAAAGCAGCAACTCCCGCCTCCATCATCAACCTCGTGTGCCGAGCGGCAGCATCCAATCGATCAAGGTACCTGTACCCTGAATCGCCCTGAATCGCTGCTGCATGCCCTCGCATCTTGTGTCACAATAGCGGCAAGCCGTTGTCTCGCTTCGACTCCACTCGAGCTTCGCTCCAAGGGAATCCTGGAACTGCTCCCCAGTCAGTAGCTCGCCGTCAATTGACCTATCCAGGTACTAGTAGCAGGAGGTCGATAAGAGCAGATCGTACCCCCGCCATATCACTCAACTGACTCGGTCTCGGTCTCGGTCTGGATACTCGCGAGCTTCCGGTCGATACTTACCTTGGTTTCTGTTCTCTGCCGTGTACTCCTTGCTTCCCGTGTCTTCTGTGCCTCCGGTTTCACAGGGCTCAGCACCGGCTTCTACCGCCTTTATGACGCTTCCCCAGCCATAGATAGAAATCATCAAGCGGCTTCACTCCCTCCCCAAAGGTCCTCTCGATCCTTGCCCCATGGCTGCTCCCGGTCCCAGGCCGGCGATTATGGCCTCCGTCGAGGACTCGTATCAAACCCCAGCCGCAACTCCCACCGGATCGCCCGATCCTGACGGCATGGAGCCGCTGCCGCCTCCGACTTCGACGGCTCCGGCGATTGGCGGCGATGATGGCGGCCAGGCGGCCAGGCCGGCTAAGCGCGGGCGACGAAGCAACCCCAAGGTCAAGACGGGATGCTTGAACTGCAAGTGAGGACAAACTTGGAATGCCTTGAACAGCATCATCATGACGGCCCTTGTTCCTCATTCCCCTTTGCTCTTCTTCTCTCCCCTCCTGTTCTCCCTCCCATATTACGTATACTGTACACAAAACACACCCACCTCGGACAATCTGCTAACAGCTCCGTGTCATTAGACAACGGCGCATCAAGTGCGATGAAAAGCGTCCCTCTTGTTCGCAGTGCATCCGCAGCAAGAAAGAGTGCAGCGGCTATCCGGCGCCCAATCGCGGACTCAGGACTGCCGTCGATGTCCGCATTGCCCCAAAGCCCCTGGCTCCCTCATCGACTGGGCTCGCGCAACTGCAGCCTTCGCCAAGCAGCATTGCGAGCGCTTCCACGTCCACCACCGCCAGCCTCTTGCTCACGGGCCATACGATCCTGCTGCCGCCTCGGCGTGCCAACCGTCGCAAGCGGCAGCCCAAGCTTGCCGCCTCCAATGCCGCCGTGCCCCTGCCGTTTGTGTACGAGCCGTCTCACAACTTGGCCTTGATGCACACCGAGAGTCTGTACTTCGACCTGTTCCGGGTCCAGACGGCTTCCGAGCTGTCCGGGTACTTTGACTCGACCTTTTGGACGCAGCGGGTGTTGCAGGAGTGCCACTTCGAACCGGCCATTCGTCACGCCGTCGTCGCTCTCGGCGCTCTGTACAAGACTCTCGAGCAGTCTTGCGAACCCGACTTGCCGCCGCTCGCCGGTGCCATGAGCCGCCTGGACTCGGTCATGTGCCACTGGCAGGTGGCCATCAGAAAGTACTCGGAAGCCTGCAAGGCCATGATGGATCTCAGCGGCGACAAGCTGGCGACCAACAAGACCCGCCTGATGGCCAGCGTCCTGCTGGCCTGCTTTGACTCCTTCATCGGCGATCATCGCCAGGCCATTGTCCAGATCCAGACGGGATTGCGGCTCCTGGCTCGGATCCAATATGATCGGACGCAAGCCCCGTCTTCCAACGAACGAGTGGAGGAGGATCTGCTCGTCATATTCACGCGGTTAGCAATCCAGGCCAAATCCTACGACATGGCCTTCCATTTCCCCCATCCATACGTGATCCATCTGGGCCCCCAGAGCCTACATGACCCATCTTCTCCCCTCTCAGACTCCGGCTCGCCCCAGCCGTCCAGCCCCATCCCCTATCAGTTCTCATCCCTACGGGAAGCTCGCCTGGCGTCAGATCAGCTATGCGAAATGCTGCTGCGCTTCATCGAACACCTGCAGCGCGCCAAGAAAGAGCCTTCGTACACCTTACCCCCATCCTGGAGACAGCTCGGCGCCACGTTCCAGAGCCAAATCGACTCGTGGTCGCAGGCCTTTGAGCCCATCTTCCAGTCAAGGCTCACACAGCCCAACATGAGCCTCCTCGAAAAGTCGGGCATCGCCGCGCTCAAGATGTTCATGGTGAACACCAACGTCATCTTCCTGACCATCTTCTGCGACGCCGAGGTCCAGTTCGACGCCTTCCTCTCCCACTTCAAGGCCATTGTCAGCCTAGGCTGGGAAGTCGTCGGCGACGACGAGAAGCGAGCGGCCACCGAGCGATGCCCCGATCCGCAGAGGTGCAGACAGCAGCACGGGCTGCTCCCCGGGGCCGGGCCGAGGGCGGCGGCGGCGGCAGGCTCGTCGTCGTTGTTCCCAACCCACAACATCAAGCCCAGCTTCTCCGCAGACCTCGGCATCGTGCCGCCGCTCTTCGTCGTGGCCACCAAGTGTCGCGAGCCGACGGTCCGGCGAGAGGCCATCCAGCTGCTGAGGAGCAGCGCCCGGCGCGAGGGCATGTGGGACAGCGAGTTGGCGGCCAACATTGCCCAATGGGTCATGGAGATTGAAGAGTCGGACAGCCCCTTTCCGGAGATGCAGCAGCAACAGCAGCAGGCGCACGGTGGTGGTGCTGGCGCCTCAGCACAGGCCGTTGTTTTGCCCAGCCGGGCCATCCCGGAGGAGAAGAGAGTCATGGTGCAGTCGGTGGACTTTGACCTGCGAGCGAGATTCGCCAAGCTCACGGTGGGATCGCGAGATTTGCGCCAGGGGATGCTGGACCGACGACACAAGGCGACGCGAATCACTTGGTGAAAAGGGCAAACTTATACATCTTTTCTCTTCTTTTTTTTTTTTTTTTTTTTCTTGAGGGATGGTCATGGGTATCGTCAATTGAGAGCTGATATGCAGGACAGTACAATATGAATATATAATGACTCGTACTCCGTATAACAGAAATGGAACGAAACTAAAAGGAAGAAACAATTTTTTTTTGTTTCAACAAACTGTTTTACACCATGCCTTTTTTTTTTTATCTCAGCGAACTTTCTCGTTACGCTTTTTTTTCCATGGTTTCTTTCGTCTTGTCCTTGTGCTTTGGATCTTTGTTCGGTTTAGATCATGGGAGCATTTCTGGTTCGAGTTATCTACATGTATCTTTGGGATTTGCATGCATACGAAGCGTAGTGTGGTTCAGGGGAGTGGTGATTATCTACGAATTATGAGGACCACGAGACCACCCTTTTCACTGTCCGTCATGTTTACTCATTCTTCTCTAGACTTCTGCAGGGGATCCCCAGAAAACAATAAAGATGTGAGCCTCACGCGCGAAGTGGTCAAAAAGCATGCTTTACCACAGAACACAAAACTAAATCAAGCAATATGAATCCCCCCTTTTATGGAAGATTGCTAGGTTCATCCATCTATCGAAGATGACACCATGTATACTTCCCGTTCCCGTTTACTCCTTGATATACAATGCCGTTTCAATATCCCGCCTTTGAATAAATCTTCATTATTTCGCTTCCTTCGTCAAATGGGCCATATCCCAAGCCTCTTGCTGTATGGTGTATACATAGACAATAACTGGCAGGAATCCGTTAGATGGGAGGCAATTCCTCCCTGCATATCGGGCACTGCAGCCGAAACTTCATCCAGCTCTCCAAACAAGGCGTGTGGAAAATGTGCCTGCACGGCGTCACCATGTACGTCCTCCTGGCAAACACCCCCGTCACGCTCGTGTCTTCCTCCCCGGCCTTCACAAAGGGCACCTCGAGCACCTCGCGGCAGATGGCGCAGTCAATGGCCCGCGTGCTGCTGCCGCCTCCGGTAGGAGGCCGAACTTTGTCCTTGTCCTCGCTGCTGCTGCTGCGTCTGCGATCCCGAGCCGGACTGTCTTCGACCCCCAGCCCGATGGGCAGTCCTCCAGCCTCGATATTGTCTTCCCGCAGGACGGGATGATAGTCCCACGCGTCAGGCATCCAGCCTTTGGGAATCCCAAACCTCGGCCCGACGGCATCCTGCGCAGCAAGCACGAAGATCTGCAGCCAGACCCAGAGACCGAGCATGGCAAAGGCCCGCGGCTCGGTCCGCGTCAGGAGGAAGTTGTCCGGCTTGAGCCAAAAGTAGGCCAGCGGGAGCAGGCGGAGGGCGGATTGGCCGATGACAAACTGCCACTTGAGAGCCCGGCGGCAGTTGCGCATGATGTTGCGGTGTATCTGCGGGATCCACATGGACAGGTAGACAAAGGCGCAGATGTTGAGGAACCAGGAGCGCACCGTCATGTACCACGCTATGGACGAGCCGCCGATGAACATGACGAGGGCGCCGAGGAGCAGAAATCGGCCCATAAGCGATTGGAACGTCGGCGTCGACGGCGGAGCCAGTCTCGCAGCGGCTGGTGCTGTGATGGCTACACCAGGCACGGCTGAAGCGCCATCCATGATGTTGGCGGTGGCATCCAGATTGGCAACGGCCGGGTCGCCAAAGCCACGCCCTGCTGTGACCGGTCCGGGCAGTATCGGTCCCGTGGTTGTTACGGCTGCCGGTGCTGTGCCAGTGCCGTCAGGAGTGAGCGGTGCTGTAGAGGCCGTACTGGTGGCGGAGCCGCTGTTTGCACCGTCTGCGCCCTGGGCCCCGTCTCGGCGAGCGCGAGGAGCTGGTGTTTGGACTTCGTAAATCTTGGCCAGTAGACTGCCCCCTATGGTCATTGACATAAAGGACGCGAAAGTGAGGGTTAGGGTTGGCAAAAAGGTATAATGAGCCGTGGCAACCCAGGACGCGGCCGCGGTGAACGTCATGCCATCGGCAATAAGCATCATGCTGATGGTCCAGAAGCTGGCTCTGGCCAAGGTCGACGGGGTGTACGTCTCCCTGATCTGGCCCTTAAGCAAGACGACCTGGCCAAACACCAGCACCGCATATGCCAGCAGCCAATGGTTGATGCTGCTGATTTGGACCTCGGTCTTCACACCGACAAGGTGATCTGCTTCGCTCGCAGGAAAGTCTGGCGGCCCCTCTGTCTCCATGAAGATGTTGCAGTCTGGCGAGTAAAGCACCGCTGACATTTGGAGTTTGGGGATATGCTTGATGGGCGCTCCGAGGGGTGATTCCAGCTCCGACTCGATAGCTTGCAGCATATCTGCCACGTCCTCGCCCTCGGAAGCGGCGGGCCCGAGACCCAGGCTCTGTCTGCTGGGAGGATGGATCTGGACATACATGATGTACTCGCAAGACGGAGAGGGGCTCCGGGTGTGGAGAGGGTTGTCAAAGTTGGACTTCCAAGGTATGCTCTGGTCGGAGTAGATGCTCTTCTCCTTTGCAGCTACCGTCTGCTCGAGAGACTGGTTCAGAAGCCGCTGGCTGGACTGGAAATAGTCCGGCCCGGGGGTCAGGTGCGGGAGCCCAAATATGCCGTCAAACTTCTCGCTCGTCGTTGTCATGAGGACGACTCCCTGTCGTGGCCAGTGAGCCCCGAAAAGAACCATTTCCCAGCTCAGCCCCGTCCCCTCCGTGTCTTCCACCGTCACCACAGCCTTGACATTGCGGACCAAGCCCCCAGAAAGAGGGGCATCCGTCTTGGGGAGCTGATCATATGCAGCCACCGTCTCGTTCCCCGTCAGCCGCACTTGGATCCTGCCTGTGCCGCCGGTCACGTTACGACCCCATTCGGTCTTGTCCCCAAACCAGTGCATAGACGGCACGCTCTGGCTGAGATTGTAGCTGTCGTATGTCCTCGGCTGCGACTCCTGGCGGCGCACCCACTGCCCAAGCAGAACCCCGGAGGCGTTGGCCCAGACCGGCGCCCCTTCGCCCACATCCCAGAGCTGCTCGCCGCCAACCGCCGGCATGGCATGGTGACTGAGCCGCAGACCACGTTCGCGGAACCGGCCCAGATCCTGCCAGGAAAACTTGTCCTCCTCCCGAAATCCCGTCAAGTTGAGATATCTCGGGCTCGCATGGTCGCCGTTATCGGCGTCGTTGCCAACCGTTCCCGAAGGCGCAAAGTCCCCCCAGCGAGTCGTGTTCAGCACATCGAGACATGCGCGGTAGTGCGAGAGCCGCGAGACGACGAGGTCCGATAGCGCAACCGACTGTGTCTGGTAGTCGTTGCTCGGCAGCAGCCACCAGAGGACGAAGATGATGAATAGGACCTTGTAGGCGGGGAGCTCCGGCAGTGGCATGCTGGGGCCGCGGGATCGGGCTATGCCGCTATCATGATACTCGTCGCGGAGGCGCGGTCGGTTGACGGAGGACAAGGGAGGGTACTCGAGGCGGCAGTGATGCTGGGGAAAATCGAGGTTCCGCGAGGATATAGTCTGGAGGGGTTGAAAAGATCAAAATGCTGGATATATCGGCCACTCGGTACCAAGTAGATGCGATCGATGTCGTCAACGCTCAGGAGTGCAGGTGACGAAGGTCCATGTCTGGCCCAGTTGAGATGAAACACCCTACCCGTTAGAGCGCTAGCTTGGGGGCGGGGCAGCGAACATTCAATTGAGCTTACAGGGGACACCTGCACTGCCCTGCAGCGCCGCGATGCCGCTACGGGGTCGCTGAAAGCCGCCTGGCGCTGTCACAGCGCCCCCCGTTCTCCCGGTTCCAGAGCCAGCAGGACTGCTGGCCAGTAAAACCCAGCAATAGCGTCTGTCCCCCCCCCCCACCCCGCTCAATTCCCGCCATTTGGATGTCCCTGGACGGCTTTTCCTTGCAAGCAAACAGACGGGAGCTCGAGCCTCTCATTCCTTGCCGTGGCTTCGTCTCGGGGACAAAACCTTGAACTTGTCTCTCCCCCCCTTTTTACCTGTACTCTGAGCAAGACTCCAGCTGAAACAAGCCGACACAAGACGCATCACATATACGAGTATATAACCGGCATCAACTGTCCGCAGCATCCCAAGGGAGCGGAGTACGCAGCTCACACCTCGAGTGACTGACTGACTCACTTCACTGCGCAATCAAAGGACCAACACCAAATCCCTTTGCAATCGTCGTCTCGCCTCTCTTTCAGCATGGCATCAAACCGCGACTCCATCGCCTCAAACCCAGCTCCTGTACGTCTACCTTTTCTGTTGCCCATTTTCATTTTACACGGCACCATGGCTTGGACGACAGTTTCCCTCGCTGCATCAAACCTCCGGTACCGCCTGGGTGTCAGCGACTATACCAGAGCCACAACCATTCTCCATCACATCGACTGACCACCCGTGGACTGGTCATGTCAACTACCACGGATATCTTTCGTGATCCAAGAATCCCGTAATAACTTGGCTAATCGAGTCCTGTCAGGCCAACGAGGACAGCAGCGCCGATGTCACCGCGGCCGTCGAAGAGCTCTTGAACTCCCTCTCCAACAAATTTGCCGGCGTCTCATCTGAGATATTCGCCAAGAGTAAGTAGCCACGCGAGCCACCTCACAGCAAAGGATACCACATGCTGACAGAATGGGCGCAAGTGGACGAAATGTCTCGTAGGCTCGACAATCTCGAGGCCGCACTGGTAGAAAGTAAAAACAAGGAAGCAGGCTCCGCGCCCAAATCTTCATGATAGAGAGACAACATGTCTTAGATTGAGGCTCGAGCCGGTCGTCTAGGGAGTTGGAACTTGTTGAATCGTCACGGAGTTTTTGTTCTGTTTTTTCCTTTTCTGGAGGATATCTTTTGGGCTTTCTCGTCGTATAGTTGTTCTGATAACTCTAAACCCAGGGTTCATACAGTTCATGATGCTTTTTATCGCTTGATAGGAGACAAGTTCTTCCCTTTCCTCCTCTCTCACACTTTGTTTCTTTCTTTGTCCAGTCTCTTATACGTCTCTTTCATGCCAAACAGTTTCAAGCGGCTCGCATTTTCACAGCTCACGGCTCACATCTCACAGCTCGTCCTTCTCGTCCTTGTCCTCCTTGGGGGTAAACTTGCGCAGGACATTGACTTTAATCTGGATCTCATCCCGCTTAGCAGGGGCAAGGCCACCCTTGGCCAAGATGCCCTGCAGTCTCGCAAGCTCCTTGTTGACGAACTTCTCATTCTTGCTCAGCTTGTCGAAGACGCGGACGTAGTACTCGGCGAACTTGGTCTCCGCAGCATCCGTAAGCAGATCAACAGCCTCCTTGATCTCAGCAGCAGCCTCGGTCAAGCCGGTGCCAGTGAGGAACTTGGCCACAATAGTGTCCAGGGGTGCCACGGTGCCAGCGATGTCGTTCAGCTCGCCGCCCTCGGTGCGGAAGGTGCCGGCCTTCTCGTTGATGAACTTGACAAAGTCGCTCTCCTGGCGGCCGCCCTGGTAGTCAACCTGCTTCTTGGTGCCAGCGGGGAAGAAGTAGATGGTGGGATAGCTGGTGACTCCATACTCTTGGGCTACAGCTTTGCTGTCAGCGCCCTCGGCATCGACCTTGGCAATCACAACGTTCTCATCACCCGCGAAATCATTGGCAACCTTTTCCCATGTGGGAGCGAGGTTCTTGCAGTCTAGTAGAGGAGTAAATATGCAAGAGTCATCACTTGGTCGGGGGGTCAGGGCTTCACTTACGGCCACACCAAGGAGCAGTGAACGCTACCAGCACGTTCTTGTCGCCTCCAACAGTGTCGTGGAAGCTCTTGTTGTTCAGCATCACAACGCTGCTGGGCAGCTCGCCCTTCTTCTTGGGCTTGACACCGGTCTTCTCAGTGATGAACTTGGTCAGGCTGTCCAGATCACGGCCCGACTTGTACTCCTGCGGCTCCTTGCTCTTGCCATCGAAGAACTTGAGCGTGGGGAAGCCCTGGATGCCGAATCGCTTTCCGAGATCACGCTCCGAGTCGGCGTCGACCTTTGCGATCTGAACCTTGTCCTTGGCGTGCTCAAACACCTGGGCCAGCTCCTCGTAGACGGGAGCAAGGTTCTTGCAGTGGCCGCACCACGGAGCGAAGAACTCGACGAGCGTGGGCTTTCCATCGAAGACGAGCTTGTCAAAGTTGGACGGAATCAGGTCGATAACGGCCGACTTGGCAGCCACCGAGCTGGCCAGGACGGCGAGCACGAGGCTCTTGATCAAAACCATGACGTATTGGGATAAGGGCAAGATTTCAATATGGAGTTGGTGATGTCGCTCGATTGCGGTTAGGTATCAACTGGAAGTGGGAACAAAACCAGACAGAGCTCGACAGCTACTGATAACGAGCAGCTCAGTCAGATATACCAAGAAAAGTCACCACTTCTGAAAACAATGACGGCAAAAGTCCCCTGAAATGGTGCTTTGAAATCAAGGGCAGAAAGAGGACAGCTTGCGCCAAAGTTGATTTAAAGGAAGGGCGGTTGGCTCAGGCACAGGCGGGGGAGCTCGGCACGTTAGTGGCGTTCCTCACCGAGGGAAGTCGCCCCCCCCACCAGAGCTTTCCCTCACTGTTCTTTATCTACGCGCCATTCCTCTTCTAGGCAAGTGCTTCACGTGAAGATAAGCGCATCACAGCATCTTTCACGTGATGCGCCTAAGTCGCCCAGACCCCGATTTGGAGTCTTTTTTGGTGGCCCGCTTCGCCGGGGCTGACAACCCTCCAATCGGTTGTTCGATAGGCCATAGCAAAATTCACACAAAATTTCCGCCCACTTGTGCCCTCGCGAAATCAACCTTCCTGCAACACCACAACCGCAATCATGTCCCACGAAAGCGTCTGGAACTCGCGCCCGCGAAACTACGGCAAGGGCTCTCGCCAATGGTATGGACGCCTGATGCTGCCCTGATTTTTCCACTTTTCACCAGGATCTGGGGGAGGTCTCCAGGAGGAATGACCTTCAAGCGAATGTCGATCTGAAAGAGAGGGAGGAGGGAAAGGAGGAGGACATTGGGAACGAGCCGCGATACGTTGCATCGAGTACGAACGCTAACTGGATTTTTCTTCAATATAGCCGCGTCTGCAAGCACAAGGCTGGTCTGATCCGCAAGTACGACCTCGACCTGTGCCGTCAATGCTTCCGTGAGAAGGCCAAGGACATTGGTTTCCACAAGGTGAGCATCCCGAAACAAATCCCGATGCGATCTGAGAGAAGGCAAAAGAGGAGGGAAACCCCAAGATCAGAGTCAAGGGACACAGGAGGACGGAACGCAGGGGACGATGCCGAGAAACACCAGCTAACATGTCTCGTTCTTCTAGTACCGATAAAGGAGTCGTATCGGGGGGAGCTTCCGCGGAGGGACAAAGGGATTTTTGACGGATGCGAGCTGCGTTTTTCCGATGGCCACACACAAAAAAGCACTCGGAGGGCGGCCGCCTGGAACCGGAGTTTTAATGGATGGCTTGGTTTTGAGGAAAGATCGTGCGTCTGACGAACATCCTCCGAGGAATAGACGAATACCATTGCATTCGAAAAATAATATCTGCGTCCTGCTGTGTGTTCAGGTGTCGTCGGTGTGCTGGTGTCTCGTTTTTGCATTGTCTTTCAATGCTAGCAGATGATGAGATGATATCTATGAATTTCATGGACCAAAAAGTTTATTTTCCTGCCTTTATTGCTGTTGCACCTTTCGCAGTCTGTGGCTGAAAGTGACAGTACGTTTTGAGCTTTCATCAAGCATGACGGCATCAGGCGGTCTCTGGAGTGATTTGCCCACGGCATTGGATCCTTTGCAGCCCTTTTCAACCTCTCCCCAAAGCGTTGCCCGAAAGAGAGCATTGTCTTGCTGTAGCTGTCACAGGTCAAACCGAGCGGACTATAAGGAGATTTTTCTTGTTTTTTGCAGTTCTATTCCTGCTTCCTGCTCTCGTCTAACGTACAATATATATCAAGACATTAAGGAAGAAGCAAAGCGGAGATTTCATGCACCCACTCACTTCGTCCTACAACTTATACACGAGCTCAAATGTGGCTCAAACGCCAGAACCTGCAGCCCAGACTCTTTAAATGTACATTTCGTTGATGATTCTGGCCCAGTTAACCGTCCGATACTTTTTTAATCTTTTCCATTCCAACAACTCCGCGCTGTTCCAGGGTTGTTTTGGTCGTAAAATTTACTGAATGATGCGGGTGACCAGACCAGTGGCCACGGTCCTGCCGCCCTCACGGATGTTGAATCGCTGACCAGTCTCGATGGCGTTGGGGTTGGTCAGGGTGACGACCATCTCAACGTTGTCACCGGGCATGACCATCTTGCCAGAGGCGTCGGGAGTGCCCTCGGGGAAGGTCAGGTCGACAGACTCGTCAGAGGTTCGCAGGTAGAGCTGAGGTCGGTAGTGCTCGTGGAATCCAGTGTGGCGACCACCCTCCTCCTTGGTGAGGACGTAGAGGGAGGCGAGGAACTGCTTGTGTGACTTGACGGTGCCAGGCTTGCAGACGACCATACCACGGCGGACGTCCTCACGGCGGATACCACGGATGAGGAGACCAGAGTTGTCACCGGCCTGGGACTGCTCGCAGGACTTCTTGAAGGTCTCGATGTCGGTGACCTTGGTCTTGATGGGCTCGACACCCTTGCCGACAAGCTCGACTTCCTCATCACGCTTGAGGACACCGCGCTCGACACGTCCGGAAACAACGGTACCACGGCCAGAGATGGAGAAGACGTCCTCAACGGACATGAGGAAGGGCTTGTCGAGGTCACGCTCGGGGGTGGGGATCCACTCGTCGACGGCCTTGAGCAGCTCGTCGATCTTCTGCTCGCCAATCTCGGGCTTCTGGTTCTGGAGAGCCATCAGGGCGGAACCCATGATGACAGGGGTCTCGTCTCCCTCGAAGCCGTAGGTGTTGAGAAGCTCTCGCATCTCCATCTCGACGAGCTCAAGCATCTCGGGGTCGTCAATGGCATCGACCTTGTTGACAAAGACGACAATCTTCTGGACACCGACCTGACGGGCGAGCAGCAAGTGCTCACGGGTCTGGGGCATCTGACCATCGGAGGCAGCGACGACGATGATGGCACCGTCCATGTTGGCAGCACCAGTAATCATGTTCTTGATGTAATCGGCGTGGCCAGGGCAGTCGACGTGGGAGTAGTGGCGGTTCTCGGTTGAGTACTCGATGTGGGCGGTAGAAATGGTGATACCTCGCTTTCGCTCCTCGGGGGCCTTGTCAATGGCGCCATACTCAAGGAAGTTGGCCAGGCCCTTCTCGGCCTGCCTCTTGGTGATGGCAGCAGAGAGAGTGGTCTAGAAAAAGGTCAATATCATCTCGTCTGGGAGGGACTATCCGGCTTCGTTAAAAGGCTGCGAGGATGCGATTTACCTTTCCGTGATCGACGTGACCAATGGTACCTATAGCAGAGCCTGTGTCAGCACCAAGCCTCTCGCTGTAGTCCCGAGCCAAAGGGCGCCTTACCGATGTTGACGTGCGGCTTGGTTCGCTCGAAGACGGCGTATGTGCGAGCGATGTTGAGAGCACCAGCAGCGCTTCGGTTGTTCTTGAACGCAGCCTGCAGCGGGTTGATGCTGCCGCCCTTGAGCCCATGGCGGGCCGTCCGCAGGAACGGAGCAATGGATCTGAATGCCGTCGACATGATGTACCGCTGCTCTGAAATGCACAATGCCAGATCAAAAGGCGACACGAAGGAAGAAAAAAATATTGACGGTGGGGGAGGGGAAAAATGCACAGCGCCACATCAGGCGTTTCTGGGGTGCCAAATGCAGGACGAAATTTTTGTAGTAGCTCAACCAGCATCGAGATCTTTTGCGCGATGCTGATTGGACAGCAGCCTGTCGATAAAGTACGGGAAGCATCACGTGACAGGGGACTCTTCCTGGGGAGGATGCCTTTGAACGAATGATCCAAGTAGGCGCTATCTAGGTACGTATGTGCGAGAATTGATAAAGAATACAATACAATGGTATTCAAATTCATCTTATGCGTCACCTGTTGAAGCCCAGATTTCATCCACGATTCGGTATATGAACAGCTTCACAAGTTGCGTCTCTCCTCTGAAGCCCATCCTCCCAAAATGGCGCTCAACCGGCCAATCGGGCCCGCCAGGCGCCAACCGGCAGCCTCGGAGAATTAGTCCGGGCACGCCGTCCTCAACCAGGAAATGCCGTCTTCCGTGTCCAACAAAAACTTCCGCCTTTTGGGGGATATTTAACCTTTTGACCTCTCAACAACTCCCACCGCCAAAAGCTCATTCTCTCTCTTCATTCTGCAATCCTTCTAGCATCTTAAGTTCTTGTACATCCCCTAAGGGATTTCCTCATCCGCCAATTCATACCAATACATCCAGCTGCTCGACAGGCGGGGAAAGACAAATCTCAGCTCAGCTGCCGCAGCACAGGCTCAACCACACCTCCTTTGCACTCCTTTGTGAGAGTCACGCGCGGTTGATACAATGGACTCCCCATCACAACCCCAATACCAGGAGGACGGCAGTGGCCAGATCTCACTCAACTCATTCGGCTCCATCGTGGCCCAATTGTCTCAGTACGGGCAGAATGCGTCCAACAACCTCCAAAAGAGCTTCACCGACATGTCAATACACTCATGGCTGCGGCTCGTCATGATCGTCTGCACATACTTGCTGATACGGCCACACGTCATCAAGTACTCCACCAAATTCGCCGTCAAGAAGCTGGAAGAGCAGGAGGCAAAGGAAAAGGCGGACGCCCAGGAGGCGGTTGCCAAGATGTCGCCCAACGACCTTCGTGGCCTGAACAACTCAGCAGAATTCGACATTGATGCTGATGAAGGTGCTGATGGAACCAGCGCGGACTGGGGCTCCAAGGCGCGAGTCAGGCAGAGGAAGGTGATCAGAAAGCTCCTGGAAGCCGAGGAGAAGCGACGACTCGAGGAGGAAGAGTCTGACGAGGACATCCGGGATCTCTTGCAGTAAGCATTGCGCACGATCAGACTCGATGGGGCAGCAAAACGAGGTCGACGGTTGCTGGCCTGGCTTGTGCGTTTCCCGGCTGGTGGGCGGTTTTCTTCACGCACGTCGTGCTGCCCGGGCGTCTTGATGGAATAGTGTTAAAAGGGGCGAGCTGGTTGAATGTGGCCAAGGTGGCCTTATCTGCAAGACTTACAAAACATCTCTACCTAATTCACGCGCTACGATCTCATGAGGTGGTGCAATAATAAAGACGTATCTGATAGACTGAATCAGTATGCATACTTTGTACCCATTTTCGAAAGGAATCGTAGCTGTCATGAATTCTTGACCAAAGTGTTGATAGTAGTGTCTTGTTCCTATAGGCAATACCGAGGTTCGCCGAGTTCGGTAGGCCTGATTCGCCGCTACAGCGACAAGGTATGTAAGACGCAGTTGCAACGCTACATGTACAATATGGAGACTCCAGCCTCGACTGGCAGAAGTGCGCCTCCAAAAGAGCCTCACGAAAATGCCCCACCGCAGCACGTAGAGGAGAGCATGTGAGATGCACGCCAGCTGTATGCAGGCATGTAACTGGCGCGGCCTCGCCGTGATAGAGCAACTTGCTCTGCGATGACATGTCCTTCGACAAACAGGCTCAATCAACAGAACGGCCACAAGACTCGAATGCAGGTATCGAACGAGAGAAGCAGACGGTGCCGGTCATACATACACTTGATGTCGTAGCCTAAATCTACCCTGAACGTCACTTTACAAGGGCACAGGCGACTCGAACCTCAAGCGGGGAAGCACGACAGATGGGATAGGCCACCTGAACGTCGCGAGAATGCATCACCACTCGAGCTCTTCTAATGTACGAAGGGGCTAAAGAAGGGTGATCCAGTGGCGTGTTGTGTACCTGTAGCTGGCTTGGCACATGAGGATGTGGATGGGCGGCCCGCGGGCTTGAGGACGAGGAAACTTGGGCGATGCTGGCCCAGGTCTCAGTCTCACTGCTGTTAGCTGTAATACATACACACTCACAGCTGGTGAGGGGACCGACTACATGTACTACTAAACCTATCATCACCACTCATTCGGCTACATCTTGAGTTGTGTTTGACAATGCGTCGGATAAGGGAAATGCCCAGCCCTCCTCATCCAGAGACACTCAGTCACTCTCACGAGGCCCCATTACACAGCCTTGCAAGATCCACGCACTCATAGAAGCAGAAGCATCGACGTCAACGGCCATTTAGGCACCTCATCGCCGTTGCATAGGGCAAGGGTTGGGCATGAGTGGCAACAAGGGGCCAATCAGTCCTGGTCGGGCAGTCGAGTCCAACCATATTACAGCCACCACAGGCACAACTCCAGGGAAACAGGCGGCTGGTTATAGCACTCGGGGCCCCTCACAGCGGGCCGCCCAACTGCTAGAACGAAGACCCACCACGATGTCATTTGATGCCTCGGATCGTCTTAAAGCAGAGCATGGAACCTGGACCGCTGACGTCTGGGGGCTTTTCTGCCAAAAAAAAACATCCTGACCTTGTCCTTCACCATAAGCATCACTGTTTACTCTCCAGAGGCCGTTCCAGTGGCTTGTTGCGAGATCAACCGGCGGGCCTCTGCTATACCATTGAATCCTATACAGCCTACCAGGTATCGTCAAGCTCGACCACGGGTCCCTGCAGTTTGGCCTCTGGCCGTCCCATTAGCGGCGCGTCGCATTGACGCCCTGCTCCGGCATCCAAACAGAACCTGCGACAGTCCTCTTCGCGGGACAAGATCCAGAATTGATCGTCGAGCGACGGGGCAACATGAGCAATTCTCTCGATATACAGAACATGCTCCAGACGGGGTACTTCACCACGTCAAGGGCGAAGCATGGCTACTCGTGAGTACTGGGCTGACTCTGACTGCTGCCTGCGACCTCGTTTGGAACAAGATAATGACCGCGTTCATCCACACAGAGCATCGACCGGTTCTGCAATGAGCTCCATGCGCTCCTCCGAGTCCCCTGAGCCGCCGGTGTCTCGTCTCGCTCCTCGATACTACGACGACATCCCTTATCGACGCCGCTCATTCCTGCCCTCACCAACTGTCGAAGATGAAGTTGACTCGCTCGCAAAGGAGTTCCGTGGCCGCGTCGAGCTTGTTGCGGAGGAGGAGCCTCAGTCAAGGGGGGAAGTCGACCAGCAGCCGCTCATGCTAGAGGTCCACGAGTACAACCTCGAGCGGCGCTTCGTCATTGTACCGGGATCCTCCAAGTCGAGCACCTCAGAGAGCGGGGCTGAAGATGGCGCATCCAGAGAGAAGCTTCGCCAAGAGAAGGAAAAGAAGAAAGAGAAGAGGAAGGCGTCTGCGTCCACGTCGCCAGAAGCATATACCCGGACGAGCAACGAACCCGAAACGGTGGATCCCAATCGCCTGAATGGCACGGCACCAAAGCTGGAGAAACGAGGAAGCAGGCAAGAGTTGCCCAAGTTGGAGACGGACGTCAACGAGAAGAGGGTGCCGAGCCACCATCGGAGCAAATCTGCTGCTAGTGCGCCGCGCCCCGAGGAGTTTACTCAGGCGTATCGCAAATATGGCGAAGAATATCTTTCGCCGCAGGTCACCAAGCATGGGCCGAATGGCCGGGACAAGACTTACTATCATCCTCCCACCCAGAGCAGCGTCAGCCTGGGAGGGGCGGATGAGCAGAGGCGGGATGACGACAAGTATCATAGACGAAGCGCGACGGTCTCAATGGAAGGGCGACCAAACTCAAGCTTCGAACCGTTTCGGAAGTCTACGTCAAACGACCGCGTCAACGGGCCGCGGCCTCTGGACGGCACTCGACCTGCGCGAGATGACTTTAGAGAGGGGTCCTATTCGGCATATAGACCATCCCCCGTCGAGGGGTTGAGAGCTCCCTCTCCGTCCAAGTTCAAAGACCAGAATTCCCCGCGAGATGAAACTTTCGGTGCGTCTTACCGACGAGAACCTGTCATCGTCGACGACGACCCGGCGTCTGTTGCCTCGTCACGCAGAGGTGATGGCAAGAGTCAGCATTCCCGCTCTCCCTCCAGAGTCCCTACCATGCCGACCATGCCCGTCGAGCCGCCAGAGGACTGGGTTCCGAACCGCCGGCTTTCCACGACCTTTCCGATCAGCCGCGACAAAGCCTCACAGGGCAACCGAAGCCCCCCGGCGCTTAACCTTCCCTATCCAGACGACGATGATGCAATTGTTGCTTGGCCAGAGACTGAAGGGGACGCTGTGAGACAATCCCAAGCGACTAGCGCGTCATCCATCTTGATGCCCGCTATACCTCAAGTCGACGATGAGCTGATGGCGCCAGATGTCAGGTCTGTTAGATCACCAACTCCCAAGGATTCATCGGCGACGACGAAACCCTGGCAGCCGCCCCCGTTCGACCCAAGCAAATCTGGAGTGCGTCCAGACCTGACGGTTGGATCATACCGACGCTACTCTGAGACCAAAGGTCATGACAGGCAATCAGATCTACCAGATATTCCAGAATGCAAGCGCACGGAGCCGGTAGCTGGGAAGATGGACTGGCTCACGCTCCCCAGGACGGACTTCAATATCTGCCCGGACTGCTACGGTGCTGTCTTTGCAGATACACAGTTCCGAACTCACTTCCACCCAGTGTTACGGCCAACAGGCAGCCCGATCGCATGCGACTTCGGCTCATCCCCATGGTATAGGATTGCCTGGCTTCTCACGCTGAAGCACAGAGTGCCTGATCTGCAGTTGTTTCACTCTCTTGCAAACGTCATGCACGAGTCTCGCAACTATCCATGCCCCGTTGACCGAAAGGTAACGCGAGTCTGGTATACGGTTAAAGACCCCTACACCAGGCGGCCAATACCTGAGTTTGCGGTGTGCTACCAGTGCGCGAAGACGGTGGAAACGCTGTTTCCGAACCTGACCGGCGTTTTCATTCCCCTCGATCCTCGAGGTGAGCCCACCCGTAACGTTTGCTCTCTGCATTTCACACCCCAGAGAAAGCAATTTGTACTCTTCTTCGACGCTTTTGAAACTACGTCGGACAAGGGCTACGTGACCAACCGAAAGCCAGACATCGGCGATCTCTCCATGATGCTTACGCGATTGAGCACCCTTGATGAGTGCCGCGAAGACCGCCGCGTTAGCGATGGATACTGGTATGTCATGGAGTATCTGCCGGAGTTCACCGTTTGTGGGGAGTGCTACGAAGATGTGGTTCGACCTCTGCGCATGGAAGACAATGTCATAGCGCAAAACTTCTACCCGAAGCCCACAAAGCTTCCCATTGCGACATGCCAGCTCTACTCTCCTAGAATGAGAGAAGTCTTCAGGAGAGCCTGCAGGAACAAGGATCCCGAGTATTTGGAGGCAAAGGTTCGAGAGAGATTGAAGGTCGAAAAGGACATACACGCCAAGTTTGTCGACCTGGTAAGGGATAAACGAAGTGCACGGACGGATGAACAGATTGACAAGCTGAGCAGAGAATGGAAGAGATGGGAATGAAAGTGGACGGACAAAGATATCCCCCCTTGGTGCTCTTTCTATTCCAAGTTGCTTTTTTGGATATAAAATGCGCCCACCATGCATAGCGAGATTCATTATCTTACGCCGTGTATAGAGTGGCAACCAAGCATGCCATAGTAACGACGTGATATGATGACGATAGGTTATGATAATAATTGGAATCATGACGCTTTCGACTTACACGCATTCTCTCTTCGGACGAACAAATTGAAGGTTGTGACGACATCGCCGCTCGACAGGGCTTCCCTAGACTAAGTCCTAATAAGGAATAGTTCTAAATCACCCTTGGTTTTGCAATTCGAGACGGTCACGTGAAGCACAAATCAACTCGCTAAGGTACGTACCCCACCGCTTAGGGTCTCCGCCCACCAAATCCGTGGGAAGGAAAATTCAGTGAAATTTATCGCGGGTCCAGAAACTTTCCACCTCCCCATCGCCAATTTCGACGCCCTGCCCGACGACCACGGTACGTTGCGCCCTGGATAAAGAATCACGGCCTCTTCATCCTCTCGAGAGCAGTTGCTAACTCTTCATCCTTTCCACCATCAGGTCCCAGTCCTCCTTTCACAATGGCTTCGCGACCTACCGTCTCCATCATCGGCAAAGATGGTGCTCCCTCTGGAGCTACCCACACGATTCCCGCCGTCTTCGCCAGCCCTATCCGACCGGATATCGTGAAGCAGGTGCACACTGGCATGGCCAAGAACAAGCGCCAGCCTTATGCCGTCAGCGAGAAGGCTGGTCACCAGACCTCTGCCGAGTCTTGGGGAACTGGTGAGTTTCATGCATGATGGTCGTGGGAGGATTGGGAGTTGGCAATTTGCTATGGGAAGGTCGGGTGAAGCCGTGAAGATTTTTTTCCTCTTCTGGCACATCTCTCGCCGGACCGTGTTGAACTGCTCCTCTCAACACCACAGGGACACGATTCGCATTGAATCATTGCTGACTCGATTGTCCGTCTAGGTCGTGCTGTTGCCCGTATCCCCCGTGTCTCTGGTTCCGGTACCCACCGTGCTGGTCAGGCCGCCTTTGGTAACATGTGCCGATCTGGTCGCATGTTCGCCCCTACCAAGATCTGGCGCAAGTGGCACGTCAAGGTCAACCAGGGCCAGAAGTCAGTCACTTTCCTCTTCACACGAATTATTGGTTTTGGTTGGAGGGGGCCATGAGATAACTAACATTGGACCAAAATTCTAGGCGATATGCTACCTGCTCCGCCCTGGCTGCCTCTGCCTCCGCCCCTCTTCTGCTCGCCCGCGGTCACCAGGTCATGACCATCCCCGAGGTTCCCCTGGTTGTCGACTCTGCTCTCGTTGAGGGCAGCTCTGTCGCCCGCACCTCTGCCGCCCTCGCCCTCCTCAAGGCTGTCGGCGCCGGTGCCGACCTCGAGAAGGTCAAGGGCTCCAAGAAGCTCCGTGCCGGCAAGGGCAAGCTCCGTGGCCGCCGCCACCGCCAGCGCCGTGGTCCCCTGGTTGTCTACAACCCCGAGGTCGATGGCAAGGAGCTCGTCAAGGGCTTCCGCAACATCCCCGGTGTCGAGACCTCTCCCGTCTCTGCCCTCAACCTTCTCCAGCTCGCCCCTGGTGGTCACCTCGGCCGCTTCGTCATCTGGACCTCCGCCGCCTTCAAGGCCCTTGACGAGATCTACGGCAGCACCACCGTCCCCTCTGCCCACAAGAAGGACTTCCTCTTGCCTTCCAACGTTGTTTCCCAGGCCGACCTTACTCGTCTGATCAACAGCAGCGAAATCCAGAGCTCCCTCAACGCTCCCAAGGGCGACGCCGTGACCCGACGATCCGCCGTCCAGAAGAAGAACCCCCTGCGCAACAAGCAGGTTCTTCTGCGCCTGAACCCCTACGCGAAGGTCTTCGCTCAGGAGTCTCAGAAGAAGCAGGAGGCTTAAATTCTCTGACTTTCTGGGTGTGCAGCAAGTCAAAAACTGGGTTTCTTGGAGGAGGGTTTATATCATGGTTTCATATCGAGGCGTAACGGCTTCTGGAAGGTTGAGCTCTTTGAAATGAAAAGAACGAAAAGAGATTTGACTATTAACAGCGTGTGTCTTATAAGCAAAATGTGATTTCTACGAATCATCCTTTTGATGATTCTTTGCCAACTCTTTCCCTCCTCCAATTAGCCCGTGCTTGCTGTAACAGTACCGTCACAATGCATGATTGACAATGGGCGTTTTCTCCTCAGATATGTATCCTGTGACTCAATAGAAATCTATGCCACATCACCTTTGTAGTCTATGCAAAATCCCTGTCCCTTCTACTACTACGCCTCTCATGCAGCCAATGTCTCCTTGTCAGGCTCATAGTGGAAGCCAAGCTCGTCCAGCGTCTTGGCTCTGCATCCGTCGTCCTCAAACTTGATCTTGGCCTCAAAGCAGATGGAGCGTTCCCAAAAGAGCTCGCCATCCCATCGAGGCGGCTCCTTGCCGACACGCTTCGCCGTCTTCACCCAGTCATACAGCTCGTTTATATGCTTTCCGTCATCTCCCACCGCCGGATACACGTGCAAGGCCTCGCCTTGCCTCTTTTCCAACTCTCTACTCCAACGCCACATTTCATCGTCCGAGGGCAGCTCCAGATCGTTGGCCCATACGGCCGAGAAAAGCGCAGCTTGCGATTCCGCCAAATGCCACGGAACGGACTTCATGTTGAGCGCAGGGAAGACGAGCGTCGGGTGCTCGATGAGAAACAGGTGCTGATACAATCCGTGAACGCCGCGCCCAGAGGTGATGATCTTGTGGTTGAGCTCCTGGAGGAAAGGATAGCCAAACAGGAACCCTGTGCAGAAAACGATGTGGTCTATATCCCTCTCTACGCTTCCGTCTATGAAGCAAACGCCTTGCTGGTCCGGCAGAAAGTCGACTATCTCGGGGACCTCTTCGCATCCGATGTGGGAGAGTTTGTCGGGGGACGTTGCGTGTCTTACGGAAAGGAGCGTCTTGCCGGCGACTTGGTTGATTTGATATGCGACGTCAAGGCCGGAGGGTCCATTGCCGACGACGACGACTTTCTTGTCCCTGAAGCCGTCGTTTCTCCGGTACTGCTTTGAATGAGTGATGATGGAGGGGTGTGCTTTATTGAACTCTTGTATGTTTGCGATGGCCGGTATGTAAGGCACTGAATAATGCCCGTTTGCAACGACAACGGCATCATACGTCTCGCGGACGACCTCGTCGTCGTTCAGCGTCGACTTTGCTTCCACATGCCACTGATCCCTGCCATCCCGGGTCTCCAACTGTACCCGCGTCACCTCGTGGCAGAACTTGACGAGATGCCTCAGATCCTCAGCATACCGGACCAGATACTCCTGTATCTCCTCCCTCCTAGGGAACGCCCACGCATCGCTGGGAAACTCTCTGTCGTGGAACCTCATCAGCGACCCCGGGATGTTCGCATGCAGCCTCTCATACATGGGCGAAGGAAACACCGGAGCGTCCGCCCCGTCAGGCCATATCGCCGGCTCGGGGCCCCAGAAGGGATCCTGCTGCGGCACGGGCACCTCCTTGGGCGCGAGGCCGCTGTAGAGCCAGACGCCGCCGACCTCGCGCTGCTGCTCGAAGACGGTGATGGAGTCGACGGCGCCTTGGGCTCTGAGGTACCTGGCCGCGGCCAAGCCCGCCGGGCCCGCGCCGATGATGGCGACTTTCCTGACGCGGAAGCGCTGCTGCTGCTGCTGCTGCTGAGCTGGCACGGCTGCAGCGCTAGGCGTCGGGCGAGACCAGACGGAGCCCATTGGTGATGCGATTGGTTGCGACCCCTTGGGATGACGCAGGAGAAGGGCGGCCGGATATGCGTGTAATATAACGGCGCAGAGTATTGGATATGCCTACCCTACCCTAAGGCGCTACAGCACACAAGTGGCGATGCTGCTGAAGGATCGAGGGGGGGTGAGGTGATGCCCAAGGAAGCAGTGAATCAATCAGAGGGCATCTCTACGGGCTTTATACTCTAGACAGCATCAGGTCGTGAATACATGTACTGATAAGTCGCATGAGAACATGCCGAGCTCGGATGATGTCAGTAAACAACGGCCCAATGAATTGTCTTATTAGACTGAGTCGGGCGGCTAATCAAGGTGAGAATGTCTGTTTGGTGCTTCGAGTACTACCTACCTAGGTAGATACTAACTTGGTCGGTACCGATATGGCCTGTTTGGGCTCCAGTCACCTGCTTAGGTACATGTATGTAAGCGGCAAGCTGCACACCGCCTTCTACTTCCGGCTCTTCAGGCGTTTTCCTTCTAGAGCTTCAGAGGCTCCAGCAGGCTCAATCAAGCTCGCTCCAGCACCTCCACCCCTGCAACCCGTTGGATTTGTTGTCGCTGAGAGATTGGGCGAGCTGCAGCAGCCAAGGACGACCAGCGCAGTGACTTAAGGCGACGGAGAAAAAAAAAGTGACCTGCATATCATCGCGACCTGAGCTCAATCAACCATCGCCAACACATCAGAGGGGGGTACAAGCAGCAAGGAGCATCTACTTGTACTCCTTTTGGGCCGCATCTGAATCTTGCTCTTGTTTGCCTCGTCTTCTTCTTCTACCTACCTTACTTAACATGAATTTCTCTTATTCGCGGCAGAGCCCCTCCACTTCTGCTGTACACTGCTAGGTTGATGAACCGCGTGAAAGCGCCACCGTGAATGCCGTCAGCAATGGCATCGGACGAGATCCCTCCCAACCTGCTGCGCACCGCCGAAGCGACGCCCATCGCCAAGCTCAGCCCGGCCATAGCGGACGCGGCCGCGGTCGTGGTCGAGGGCGTCGTCACCGTGACCTGGCCGTACAGCACCGTCCGCAAGTCCGTCGCCTTCATCCTCGCCGAGCGCGACCCCCTGCACCGACGCGACAAGGGCCAGCTGCGAGTCGAGTTCGATGGCGCTGCCGGCAAGGCGCTTGCGGGCTCGGGCCTGGGAGGCGGCGACGAGGTGCGCCTGAGCTTGGACGGCGCCCGGTGGGAGGAGACCGAGGCATCGGTGCGGCGGCCAGGCATCCTGGAGTGGCAGCTGAGGTTCTCCAACCGCCTGCTGCTTAAGGTGCGGCGGGCGGACACCCACGAGGTCGACACTGTTGAGGTTGATGCCGCCGACGACGAGGGAGGTCATGAATCGCCAGAGCAGCTTCGGGAACCGAGTCCGACGCCGTCGATAGAGCTCGAGCACGACCTTTTTGCGACTCCCCTGCGGCAGACGCCGCTTTCTACGATACCGCAGAAGCGATTTGCATACGAGACGCTGGGAGCTGGGGAGTATGCCTCTCCGGCCTTCATCAAGCGGGCAAGGGTATCATACGGCTCGCTTTTCGAAGGTGGCTTTGACATCTTCGACGAAGAGGAGCCCGCCAAGAATAGCAAGAAGAAACGGAAGCCTCGGTTCAGCATGAATCCAAAATCCTGGAGATACACCAGTCGATCGCCTACGCCCGAAGCGGAGCAGGAGGAATCGGCCGAAGAGGACGAAGCTGAACCCAAGGCCCATGATGTCGAGGCGCCTGTAGCAGAAGAACACACGGCCAAGGAGGCTGAGACCGCTCACGAGCCACCAGTTTCCCAGCCGCAGCCGGTGATGGTGGACCAGGGATGCCAAACTAGAGAGTTGAGCTCCAGTCCCATCAGAGGTGTTCAAGTCATTGCCGAATCTAAATCAACCGGAATACTACTGCAGCCCACGCCGACTCACTCATGGAAACACGCGGATATAGATGACGTGCTGCAAGAGCCATCGCCCATCTCTTTCGACTTTGCAGCTTCTCACGATGTACACCCTCTGATGCACGAACCAGAGCCCCTGGGCCAACCTGGGACACATATGCCACACACCGGTTTCAATATGCCTATGGATCTAGACCCCAGCCTACAGCCACACGAAGCAGATGGGCAGCATCCCCATCGTGATGAGCCCACATACGATCTCGCGGCGACTGAAGCCCCTCCGCCTCCACTGCAGCAGCCTGGGGCTCACGATGCCCAATTGCACGGCTTGGCTTGGGCTGCCGAGGCGTTGGCGCCGGAGTATTCTGTGGTGCCACAACACAATGCACATGACTTCCCCCAGGGAAGCTTTGATCGATCATCTTATACACTGCGAGCTAGCCCCTCCGATGAAACGCACACGATTGTCTCATCCGTTCATCACGCTGTGGGAATGCACAACTATGTCCGGGCGGATGAAGCGCAAAGGGTGGCATCTTCCTCATTGGAGCAAGAGAACAGTGTGAAACCCAGCAACAGCTACCCCGAACGGTACGAAGACGATGCCGAGACCGCCACTGTGACTGCTACCCTTGGCAGAGAAAGTCGGTCGAGCCCTCCGCGCGAAGAGTCCAGCACGGACGAATCTGAGGAGGATGAAGACGAAGCCGCTCCTCATCGTTACTATGACTGGAACACTGGGCGGTGGCGGGAAGGATACCCCGAAGAAGAGGATGACGATCGACACTATGCTGCATACGACGCTGAAGAAGATGAAGAGGGAGAAGATGATGATGAAGAGGAGGGCGAGGACGACGATGAAGGCGACGACGACGGTCATTCGATCGCATCTGACGCCGAGTCCGGTTCTGAAGGGGAATCGGAGGAGGATGAGTCGGAGCCCCAAGGCTATCACCAAACCATGCAGCCGGTGCCACCGTCTCACAGACCATATCTTCAAGCCCCGAAGCCGGCTCCCGCCCCTCCAAGGGAGCCGATCTTTATCAGCCTTTTGTCGGACGATGAAGACGAGGCTGACAATGCGCCCGCGACTGCGCAGCCCACGCAGCCTACGCAGCCTACGCAGCCTAAGAAAGAGCCTAGCGAGGAACGCGTGCTTTACGACCACGATGATGTTCGTGAACAGCCAAGGGAAGAAGAAGACGAAGAAGACGAAATCCTTGACGAGCCTGTTGGAGAGGACTCCGACCAATACATCGACGAAGACGTTGAGGAAGACAGCGATGACAATATGGATGACAGTGGAGACGAAAGCATGGACGACAACCTAGAAGACGCCGGGGAGGAGCCTGGTGTGGAGGAAGTAACTGAGACCAAGATGGTGGCAACCGACACATCCTCCCGGAGATCCAGCCGAATAAGTCAGCTAGACGGCGCCGACGAGTACATTGCACCCCAACACGGAGAACTGGCTACGAACGAAATGCCTCCACCTGAAATGGACCATCCGAATTTGATCCTGTCTCCCAGAAAGCATCAGCAACATCCTGATGTGGCTGAAAATATTGCCCAGGTCCAGGATGAAGTGCCAAGGGCCCGTTCTCCATCAGAAAGTAGGGATCGAAGGCAAGACGAATCTGTGGGTGTCCATGCCCTCGACAATGAAGAAACTCCAAACGCTGTGATGCGCGATACCTCGACACATCGATCGCCGGAGCCTCTCTTCATCAAAACAACATCTATCGTAATAGAGGAGAGGGATGAGTTATTGGCTTCTGAGCAAAAGTCAGTGCAAGAGCAAGAGCAGCCTGCGGAGTCACTCGAGGCTGAGGATTCGACGCCGGCTGTGGAGCCCTCTATTCACGCACCGGATGAGCCTACAGAAATAACTGATGCGGTCGAGACTCTAGCACAGCAGCTCACCGACAACGACGACATGGTTATGGACGATGTCACCTCGAAGACTCCCGAAATCCAGCGGTCTGCCGTGGGGGTGGAGGTGGAGGTAGAGGTTATTGCGATTGAGCAAGATGTCGAGATGGAGGATGATGTGCAAAACCAGCTTAGAGAGGAGGCCGAGGCTGTTCCGAAAGAGGAGAACACTCAAGCAGCTACAGAAGTGGCCTCGAAAGCCACCGAGGAACCTAGAGAGGCTGCACCGTCATCACCTCTGGACACTCAGAGAGAGCCATCTCACACGGTGCCTGTGGCCATTTCAACCTCAGAGGAGCAGGAAATCGCAGAGCAGCTACCTACTCCACTGGAAACACAGCAAGAAGATGTCAAGGAGGATCACGGTGCCGCTGACAAAGCCCGCCGGGAGGTACCGCCGAATGAGAAGGAGACGGAACAGAGTATCGACGAAGATGCCGAAGAGGAGTACGAGGATGCGGACGAAGGCGCCCACGAAGGAGCGGACAAAGGTTTTGAGGATGCGAGGGAAGGAGAAGATGACGATGACGACCTTGCCATCGAGCAACAACTCATTTCCGACTTCCAGCATTATGCCAGCCCCCTGAAGGCGCGCGATGCTGAAGGCGCTGGCCAGGCACCGTTGCAAGTACCCGAAACAATCGCGGAAATTGAAGAGAGCCCACAAAGTCCACAAATCCAACAGCAGGACACTCAACAAGATAGCCCGCAGAGCCAACACAGCCACCACGGCCATCATCACACGGAGCACTGCTCACACGACCACAGTCCTCGGAGGGCAGGAACAGAGATGTCGATAACATTGCAATCTCTTCGGAGCCACTGTCGTGCTAAGAGAATGTCCAGTGGCAGCGTCGATAGTTTGTCCACCGACCCCAGCGTCTTGCTGGCGAAGGGCTCCCCTACCATGGCACATCGTCAGTGTCTTCTTGGGGAGGGTGACTCGCTCCCTCAGCGATCGCCACGGTCGCCTCGGACGTCGCCTCGGAACAAGGCTGAGAGCTCGGATCCCAGCGTTGCGCTTGCTAGATCCTCGCCCCGCGGGTCTGTATCGCCAAAGGAAGCTGAGGCGACGCCCTCGCTGCGCGCAAGACGCGGTGCCAGGGGCTCCGATGCGAGCATTATACTGGCACAGTCCTTTTCGACTCCCCCGGAACGCAGCCCCGCCAGCCCAACCAGATCGTTCAGAGCTGGTCCACGCAAGTCTGAGAAGCCGGATTTGAGTGTTCAACTCGCGACAGCCAGCTTCAGCAGGGACGCTCAACAACCACCGCAGCATCAAGAGGACCACGCAGCGAATGAGGATGTGCTGGATGGAACTCACGACGGCTCAGCAAGTGTTCGTCGTGATGCTACACCAGAGCAAACGGTGGCAGGAGGGCACAACCTGAGGTCACCCAGAAAACCCGCCGCCTCATCCTCCTTCAAGGCGCCCTCGGTTGCCAGCTCCTTTGCTGAAGACGGGAACGTGGCGACCCTGAAGCTGCAGCTGCTGAAGGTCCTTAGAACGAAACTTCCCGACTGCCTGCCGCTCAAATCCCTGCGCACCTCGTTGACCAAGACGGCCGATATATTAGCCGTAGCAACGCTCACTCCGCGGCAACCCTACCGCCCGAAACACGGGCCCCGAGACTACATGCTGGAGCTCCATCTGACCGACCCCTCAGTGGCGCCCACGAGCGTCAACGTCGCGCACATCTTCCGGCCGCATCAGGCGTCCCTGCCGACGGTCCAGGCGGGCGACGTCGTGCTGCTGCGTCGCGTCCAGGTGGTGTCGATGCAGGGCAGGGGATTCGGCGTCAGGGCAGGAGAAGCCTCGGCATGGGCCGTCTTTGAGAAGGGCGACGAGGAGATGCTGCCGCAGATCAAGGGCCCGCCTGTCGAGGTGTCGGACGAGGAGATTGAGTACGTGCAGGGGCTGAGGAGGTGGTGGGGTCTTCAGGATGAGAAGGCGTTGGCGAAGATTGAAAAGGCCAATCAGAAGATGCTGCAGGCTGTCAAGGATGACGCGAAGTGAAGGGCCGACGATATCGGACCATGGCAAGGGAGTGATTGGAGAAGAATCTGATGTTGAGGAGGTCATAATGGAAGGCGTGCGTCGGAGCTGATCTTAGTCTCCCATTTTTGTGTGTGACAGAGCTCTTCTGGAGCGGTTATCGTCAGATATGGGAAAAGGGGGGAGGGGGAAGGATGGGTTACGACTTGACGAACTATACCACATGTAAGACTACTGAGTACGGATACCATCTATTATACGGGATGCGGAGGGGTTTACTACTGCTACTGCTACTACTGCTACTACTACTACTAGCTACCGGCCCTTGGGTTATGGCGGGGAAAGCGCGGACAGGCAGGTAGGAAGATACTGCAAGCATAGGATTTAGAGCTCTACGGTACCAAACCGAAACATTGCTTTCTTTTGTTCCCCTTACTGTTTACGTTTCCGTAATCTAGTTAACCTCGTACAGAGAGCATATCGTGGTTGCTGCCATGTCCAGGAGAGACAAGGGGCCGATTTGCAATTAGCATGACTACATAATGGCCTTCCTCACGACGAGCCCTAAAAGCTCCTGCTCATCGCCGCAGCCCCTTCAAGGACAAAGTAATATGCTGTCCCAGCAAGGAATAGCTCACCAGCAGACATGATCTGATCTCGAGGATAAGTGGGTTACAGATCTAAAGATTCGATGGGTACGGGAGTTTGCGGGGTTCTCGTTCGAAGTTAAAGGGCTCTCCCTATGGACGAAAAAGAAGGCTTGCTGCGGGCCGGAGGAGGAAAGCCAGCATCCTGAACGAAGTGGTTGCCGAGGCGAAAGATAAGATGGATTGGTATGTATGTCAGAGATCATGGTTGAGGTACTTACTTGTCAGTGGGCTTGTGCGGGATAGCCAGCCATTTTGCCCTCGGATTTGGCTTGTGATTTGGGGATGTTGCTGAGTGATATTGCTTGTGGTTTGAAGATTCGGCCTGTGATTCTGCTTGTGATTCTGCTTGTGATATTGAGGGGAAGTATCTTTGCCGAGATGGTCCATCCTACCTAGCCTCGAGATCTCATATATTGGTATCCAATATGAGAACAAGTACGTGTACAACATATCCCGGAGGGAGGGAGGTCTGGGGCCGATGCCGGCATGGCTTGAGCCATTGACGAGCAAGTCGAATGCAAGACACTGCAAGCGGAGTAGCAAATAGTCTTGGAGACGAATGGCTTTGCTGCGGAATGTCGTCCATGAAACGTAAGACGGGATGAGAGCTGACTGTTCCATCTGTTGGGCTCGACGCTATTGTTAGTCGATTGTGGGGGACGAGTTCATGGCCAGCCGAAGACTCCCGGTAGTGGTTTGCTAGTCGAAGCTAATGCGGACGAGGCTGTTGGCCGTGGCTGGAGGCTTGCTGCCGTAGTCTGGGTCTGATGTAAACAGAAAAAAGTCAATTGAGCCCTTGGACGCAGCTTCAGTGCTTGAGTTTCGTGTTCCGTTCATGGCTTCGTCCATTGTGCTGCAGGGAAATCGTAAAGGAGAAGATGCACAGCCTCTTTGCGAGAGACGATGGGGTGCGCAGGATAATTTGCAGCAGCAGGCACATGATCCTACCGGCCGCCGTTTGGTCCACCGTAGGCCTTCCGCTTACACTCACATGGCCAAGATGCCTCCCGGGGGATGCATGTAGACGGACGTGCCAAGTACAGGTACATGAATGAGAAAAGGGTCCATCGCCCGAACACACATTGCAACCTAACGGGCTCGATATCAAGTCTGTGAGGGTCGAAATAGAAAGGCAAGAAAAAGAAACGGAGGCCATAGCGGGGCCGTGCGAGTCTGTCATGTAAAATAACGAAGCAGGCTCAATAAACAAGTTTCAACACACGGGTGCCTGGACGGAGCTGGAGGGTTGGAATTACCTAAGACTCCATCGGCGGTGCCATTTTTCATATCGGCTGTCCCGTCCCACCGGGCCTTTGGTATGTATAACCCCAAAAGGTGAGATACCGGAGGAGCTGTGGTGGCTGTAAGTGGTTGTTTTCAAGGAGCCCCGCGTTGTGTTGCACGTCGAGAGGATGAGTGTAAGGATGTTAGTACTTTGTAAGACCACGATGCAGTATATGGGCTTCGCTTCAGGCAAATGTAGAAATCCCTGGCCAATAATTGTATGCATATCCGCGTTCGCACATCAACTGCCTAACGTCTTTTGATGATAAAAAGACGAGAAGTAGCTTTACACGGCACACTAGACAGCTGCCGGGCGTTAATGGTCGTATTAGTTGCAGCAAATGCGAACAATCGATGGACCGCCGGCCCCGATTGCAGGCTCCATCAATGGCTCCGGCAAGCCCCATCAATGGCATGCAGGGACCCCTGGCTTGGTGGGCGGAGGATTTCGGAAGAGGTCGGGGCGTGGAAGCGCGTGCAGCAAAGGTGATGCTTCATGTGTGTCAACTGCAGAGGTCAGGAGTATCAGCTGAAGCACCAGGAAGAGTATCTGATACAGACGCGCAGAGCAGTTGGCCCCTGGTCGTGGTAAGGTAGCACTGCCGGGATGAGTGAGGCTGGTGGATGGCAGGTAATCTGAAAAGCTCGTCATCCCTCAAATCACTAGCCTAACAAGAGCTGTGCAGCTGAGCATCATGTGAAGGTGCCGTCCGCGGCAGCTCGAGCCGCCGCTTTGACGCAGAAAGGAGAGCTGCACGGAGTTCAAACGATTCTGTATGTGGTACTTTGTAGATGCCGGCCAAACGAAACAACACGCGCCAGATGGTCCGTAAGCACACGGCGCTCATGATGGCCTCAGCAGGCCTCGAGCCTCTCTTTCAAAAGCGACCGGCCCGGTTCCGGATGCAGCCCGGTCAAGCCCTCGATTCGCGATTTCCGAGCCCAACAAGAAGCGATGGATGCAAGGCAGGTTGGGCAGAAAGACGGGACGCGGAAATGAGCCCTTGCTGCTCCTTTTGAACCCCTGTTCGGATTAGGTTCTGCTTGTGTTGTTTGCCTTTGCTTTGTCTGCTGAACTGAAGGTAATCGAGAAGAAAGTGGTGGAGATGCAGAAAAAGTGTGTACAGGTACAGCCGCCGTATTACTCGTGAAGTGGAAGAAAAAGGACGCCGAGAAGAAGAGGATGGGTGGGGCTTCTGCGGCAACGTTGCTGATTGGTCAGCCCTGACCTAGTCGTGTGGAAGGTGCCGCCACGAGGCACCTGTTCTTGCCGTTTTTCTGTGCAGGAAGGAACAAGTGCCGTGACCTGCACCTTGACTTGTAAGTTGTGCGCTGAAAACGGCAGCAGCTCCTGCCCGATGCCTTATCTCTGCTATCACGCTCGTGGTCTGTTCTTGCTTCTGTATCTCTTCACTTTGATTTCAAATCTCTCCACGACATTCGAATCAGTCCATTATCCCTTATTTCCAGCGCAAAGCACCTGAGCAGACCAGCCGACACCACAGAAAAGAAGAAGACAGTCAGGCAAGCAGGCTAGCGATCGTGTCTCTCCACCCCTGCGGATCCCGGAGACCTGGCGCCGGCTAATGCAGCTTGGGGAAAGAAACGCTCCAGTTGGCGCATCCCCTGCCACAGACCGGAGCGACACGGAGCCTGACGAACGAACTGAGGTTTGGCAAGGTTGGACGGGTCCATGCGCGCAAGAGTCCCTCCGGCGAACGGATTGGCCAGACAGAGACCGTCCAGCTTATTCGCAATGCGCATCGCACACACACGTTTGAAGATGCTAGCAGACACTACCTAACATACAACGAGACCCCGTACCACGCGGAGTTACCTTACCTACCTTAGGGCTTTGTGCAAGCTTCGAACAACAGGATCCCGACCCAGGAACGGGGTAGAGGCCGGTATCTATCCCTCCAGGATCGCCCAACAACAACGCCATCCGACTCTAGTCGTTTAGAAATATAATACAAATACTCGTCCAAACCCTCTGGAAACTTGTTTGCGCCCTTGATCGAATCGATCATTCTGTCCAGCCATCCCATCTCTTCGCCTATACAGCCAGCCTCCTTTGGCTTCGATCCTTCATCTCCCTCGCCCGCTCTGCCGCTACCGGTTGCGACTCTCCGTCATATTTACTTCGTGTATTGCTAGGACCTGCGCGGAAGGACTAGCACGAGACGCCCTCATTCTTAGTCTCCCCCCTGCGAACAAGCCTCACCGGTAAGTACGGAGCGCGCTCAGCACCTTTTCTTTGGCCTAATTTCTGTTCTCGTTCCTCTGGCTCTTGGTTTGCTGTCCCTTTGATTTGCCTTGTCGGTGCTTTTCTTATTCCGCACCTCGTGCAGCTCCAGCGTCGTCCGTGCCCGGCCCGCTGTGCGCAAATGTACCGGTACCTCATCAAAATCCTCTCTTACCAGGTATTACTGCACCATTGTCTGCACGTTTCACCTTTTCTTCTGTCTGCCAATCTTTGGGCTCTCTTTCTTTGCATCTTTCCTTTGCCCCCTGGCTGCAGGCCCCTTCCCCCTTTTGCTTCTGCTTCACACTTGTTTTCCCCTTCCACGGCCGTTTTGTCGTCTCGTGATGCCCACGCAGAGATTGGCCTCCACTGCCCTCTGAAACGATTCCGAGTCTGCCCTGACCCCAAAGCACTTCAGCTTCACGTCCCCTTCCACCCCCCTTAGCTCTACCTAGTCCTGTCATGGGTCACCAGTCGTTAGTTTTGGCATCACGTCTTGCGAGCAGTCCTCGTGGAGGGCTGGGGTTGTTATTGAGAAACCGCAACCCCATGCTCCGCAGGGGCCTGACGTCCATAGCTGCCGCTGCTATTAAACCATTGGCATCCGCGCCTACATCTGCCTCTGTCTCTGCTTTGAAACCAGTGTCTTCTTCTATTACACCACATACAAGCAGTGACTCGGGTAGTCATCCTGCACCGTCCTCTTCTTGCCCTTCCTCAGCTTCGTTGCTGAACAATATCCTAGCTCTGCGTCCCCCACCAATGGCGTCGAGTGCCCGCAGTGCCGACAGCTCAGATATCCCTACCCCACGATCAACTTCACCTTCGCCGTCCCTAGCTTCGGCCCGGTCATCCCACCGATCCTCGCGCACCTCCGCGTCTCGCATTTCCATTTCCAGTCGTAGGCTGACCGATTTTAACCCGATGTCTTCAGTCGACGTCTTAGCCATTGAGGAGGCCATGAAGTTGGCGTCCCTTGATCAGCACCGAGGCTACGCTCAAGACCACTATTCCGAGGTTAAGCAAGACCGCGAGACCGCGCCAATGGAAGAATCCGAGGCATCCGGCCATCATGTTATTCGAGAGCCATTGTGGAATAAAGGTACGGTTAATCGCACTGCGCCCTGTACTACTTTTGGCTACTCTTCTCTGTACTCCTTTTGGTTACTCTTACCTTGAGTACCTTACCCTTACCCATATACTACCTTTTACAACCTTTACTCTAGCTCCTGCTCCAGCTCCTCCTTTATCCCTCTTTACCCCACCGCAAGCATTCGCTAACTTACCGTTTCCATCATGAAAGGCCTCTCATTTACTCCCGAGCAGCGTATTGCAAAGAACCTCACTGGTCTCCTGCCCCACGCCATGGAGAGCCTCGAGACTCAGTGTGCCAGGGCCATGAAGATGATCCAGAGCCGCCAGACAAACGTAGACAAGTACCTATATCTGTCCACCGTTAAGGGGCAGAACGTGGATCTCTTCTACCGCCTGCTCATGGACAACATCCGCGAGTTGATGCCCCTTGTCTACACCCCCACCATCGGTGACGTCTGTCTGCAATACTCCACCCTCTACACCCGACCCGAAGCCCTGTACATCTCGATCAAGCAGCGAAAGTCCATCCGGACCATGCTTCGCAACTGGCCCGGCCCCGAGCCCGAGATCTGCGTCGTCACCGATGGATCTCGAATCTTGGGACTGGGCGACCTTGGCGTCAATGGTGTTGGCATTTCGGTAAGTTCAACACTGCTCGTTCCGTGTAAGTCATCGTGAGTTCGTCGACTGACGCTGCCGCAGATCGGCAAACTGGCCCTGTATACAGCAGCCGCCGGCATTCACCCCGCCAAGACTCTGCCCATCGTCTTGGATACGGGCACCAACAATGAGAGCAACCTCCGCGATCCCTTCTACCTTGGCCTGCGCCAGAAGCGAGTCCCCATCGATGTTCAGCAGGACTTCATGGACGAGTTCATGGATGCCGTCAAGGATGTATATCCCAATATGGTCGTCCAATTTGAGGACTTTGACAGTGAAAAGGCCTTCAACTATCTGGACCGATACAGGCACAATTACAGAGCCTTCAATGACGATATCCAGGGTACCGGTGCCGTCGTTCTTGCTGGGTGAGTAGATCGCGTGGTGTCGAAATGCAGTTCGTCTTCGTCGGTATCGTTTTGCTAACGTTCGGTGTAGATATATCAACGCCGTCAACCTTTCGGGTGTCCCCTTGGCAGAGCAGCGACTCGTCTTCATGGGCGCTGGCTCGGCGGGCGTGGGCGTCGCCAAGCAGCTCGTCGAGTATTATACCCGAAGAGGTTTGTCGGAGAAGGAGGCGCGTGACAAGTTCTACCTGGTCGACACCAAGGGTCTGGTCACGATGGATCGCGGTGACAGGCTTGCCGAGCACAAGAAGTATTTTGCTCGGACTGACAACGCCGGCCACCAATTCCGTACCCTAGAAGAAGTCATTGAGTATGTCAAGCCCAGCGCTCTTGTCGGTCTCGCTGCCACCTTTGGTATCTTCACCGAGTCAATCATCCGAGCTCTCAAGGCCTCTGTGGATGCTGGCGGTCTAGGACGCCGACCCATCCTCTTCCCTCTCAGCAATCCTCTCACCAAGGCCGAGTGTACTTTTGAGCAAGCCGTGCAGTGGACCGACGGGTCCGTCGTCTTTGCCTCGGGTTCTCCCTTCTCCTCTTTCACGCTCAAGATAGGCGGTGAGGCGGGCGATATCACCTATCACCCCAACCAGGGAAACAATGTGTACGTCTTCCCTGGTCTGGGTCTGGGTGCCATTCTCGCCAAGGCAACCCGCATCACCGATGAGATGGTGTACACCTCTGCTGCGGCGCTTGCTGGCTCTCTCAATGCCGAGGAAGTCCACATGGGCTTGATCTACCCCAAGATCGACCGAGTGCGCGATGCTAGCATCACGGTCGCCCGTGAGGTGATGAAGGCGGCGCGTCGTGACGGCGTATCCGAGCTTCCGGAGTCCCTCTGGGTTGAGTGGGAAGAGTGGGGAGACGTTGCTTTGACAAACTACATCAAGCGACGTGTATACAATCCCACTTCCTTCGAGGCCAGCGCCCGGCTGTAAATGCACTTGACGTGAAGGAGCCAAAGAGAGGGATGAGAGAAGCCTGTCGACAGGGACGGCAAGGCTAGTATTAATGCCCAGGGAAGTGACGCTTGCCACAATTGCGATGGGAGAAGATTGCGTATATGTATATGCAGGACGGCGTTTAGGGTTCAAAACTTGGGGGTTTGCCGCTTGGCTTTGGCTGGAGGGCCTCTTCGGTTATTCATAGCTTCTTGTATAGTCTTGGATAGATCTTATCCATCTCGTTTCTTCTTTCAAACTGTTTGTGCAATAGAGATGATGCACAGAGATGAATCGCCTCCTGAGTCGAGCCCTCGGGTGATTTTGGATGCTTTGGCCACATCACTCAAGTATGGTCATGAACCGTTCCTCGTGGTAATGCCTCTGATTTGGCTGACAGGCCGCACAAGAGACCAACATGCTAAGACTGATGGGGTGGGTAACTTGTGCCAGAAACTCGTTGCGCGTGTGATCCCTGGTGTTTCAATGGCTGAAGATTCGCCAACCGTAGGTAGCTGTATGAGTGCCCAGTCAACCAGCTCCCCCTCAATCGCACACTCGGTCGTGCGGATATATGCAGCAAGCAAAGACGCATGAGACGTGATATGCCATGAAACAAGTCAACATCAAGGGATGAAATGGCGTTGCTGTGTAGAAGGAGGGGAAATAAGCACTCGAAGCTCGAACTGTCTGCATCGATGCATGGCGAGCTGTACATGTGAAGTTATAAAACTCGGAAGGCCGGTTAACGCCACCGAGGAAGCTCGGAAGGCCGAGTCTCGATCGCGGCGACCGAACGGAGAACAGGCTCGGTTCATCTTTAACCCTCTCTTGCCTCTGTTCCAACGATTTGACCCTTTATGTCATTAGGTAGACACTGGGAATTCCTTTTTCCGTGCCGCGAGCGATTGTACGAGTACTCGTATTTTTGTGTGTCCGCGGGCCCGCGCCCCCGAGGCCCCGACGGTGCCGAGTCACAACTCCCGGGCACAGCGAAGCCACAAATTGGGCAAAGCAGCCCAAGCTGTATCCATCCTGCGCATTCGTCGTCCTCATCATTACCTCCTCTGAGGAAACAGTATCATAGAGGAGCTGGAATTGCGCCTCTCTGCACTGGGAAGGCTGTGAATTTCGTCTTTGCAACAGATAGGAAAAGGGTAATCATTGCGGACGGCCTCCCGAAGCAGCGGAGGATCCACCCTCCGCGGTTTGTCCCGCCATGGCCCACACATCGCCGATGCGCTCGCCCAACATGTGCGAGGAGGGACGCGGCGGCCAAAGAAGGGTCAGGAGGGCATCAGAAATTAGGTCAGATAGGATGTGGGTAAATACGTCTCTGCTTCATCTGTCTTGCAACAGGATATGATGAGTCGGATATTTCCGCAACGTTTCCAGCACGGCTTGCAGCAATCTGACACTATCGACAGCATTCGCACAACGAGGCGCCGCTTTCGGTGCGCCTGCCAGCGTATCGTATCGGGAACAGGGTAACAGGGCAAGGCTCTCCTGCGTCTCGATGAAGAATTAATTGCCGACGGTGACGGGCTAGCATCAAGACGATTGGCACCGTGCTTGCCGGTGGATATTGCGCCTTCGTTATTCCCGTTGGCGTAGGGAGCACGCAGTGCTACAAGCGCAGTTGGTTAATTAATATAGCTCGGGCAGGCGGGGCTTGTCTTGTGTCGACAAGATGCAGAAGACCCAACTTTTTGCTCAAGCCAAGAGTCATAACCGTTGCCTTTGGCGAATGACATGCTGCCTGGCGGTGAACGCCGTCAACTCCGTTCATCTGGCTGGCTTGCTGAATGCTTTAAAAGCGGACCGGCGTTCCTCGTGCCATCTCTCGTGAGAGGATGGAACAGAAGTGGCTGTAGGACTAACTTGCAAAGGTCACTAGTAGTGATATTAAACCTGGAAGCCACGAGACGGAGACGGCTTGGCAAAGCAGGCTGATGAAGGGTACTGTGAACCATCGTATTCCTCTTGATGGCATTGCCAGCATACGCAGATATGTTCGTAGACTCCTCCTTGGCATCTGCATGGGTGACAAGCCAAGCCGCAGTGCACTTGCAGGCGAGCATCGTGTCAAGGGGCTGACCTTGTCGTTGCAGAACTTGATGAAGAAACTGAGAAAAGGAGGCTAGCCATCGTCGATCCTGCGCAAGTGCTCCATAGCCCAGGGAGGGAAAATGGCGGCTCCACATGAACCATAGAAGACGCTTAGTTTTGGAAAGAATACCGACGTGCTTTGCATCGGATTGATATTTTCACGCACCTCGGGTAGCGGTAGGGCGAGATTGCAAGAGAAAGAAAATGATGAAGAGCGGGAGTTGTGGAAGATCATCACCAGCTGGAGAGGAATGATTCGGGAATGTTACCTAATACAACCTAGGTGGGAAGGAGCAATGGGCGTCAAGCGCATCACAACTGCTGGTTTCAAGGTTGGTGTTGACGTAGGGTGGACTTCGAGATACCGCTGAGCTATCACAAAACCTTCCTGACCAGCAACGTTCCTCGCAATATGCTGGTAGCGAGGAAGTATCGCTTCAAACTGCAGGTACCTCCGGGTACTTTGAGCGCCTGCCGTGTCAAAATACTGAACTCGGTTCTGTGACATCAGCCGCCATTTCACTACGCACCAGTGCTCAAATGCCTGAACCTCAACGTATCGATCTTCATGGGCTTGTTCAGCGATAGCCTGATATATTGCGAAAGAAACGGTCCTCATACTTCCAAGCCATCGCTATGCCGATCTACCGATCTCCTAATACAAACAGCATCCTCCATCCGGAAACCCACTCCGAGCTCCCGGCATCCATACAAGCCGATCGGACGAGCACGAGGATGAAGCCGTCGCCAGTAACCCTTTGTCTGCTCCACCCGAAGGGGTCTCGCTGCTGCTTGCGCCGCTCAGAAGATCGCCCAGTCAACGTCTTTGCAAAAAGCATTACGAGCGGCAGTTACCGAAATCGACACTTCGGGATTTGCCTCTATGTATGTTTTGGCATTGGCATGACGGGGCGGCGCTTCCTGGCATGGGCATGACAGGGCAGAGCGCCGCCCAGTGTTCGCGCCTAATCATCACCAGCGGGTTGGAGTATCTGCTAGGTATCCTGCGGTAAGACAAGCGCTTGGCGGTACGAAACGAAAACTTCGGCAGTTCTGATTCTGCAGCCCGGGATGACCTGGAACGACGCACACAACAACAGGGCGGTTGCAGCTTGCAAGGCGTCATCGTTGCTTGCTATGCTAGAAGGCAGCTTGGGTCAATTCCATTGCAGCTCATCACTTTCTTGATTTCCTCAAATGCAAAAGACTGCGTCTAGACCTGCTGGCAACTCGCGGTGGTTTGCGAGAGCTAGGGCTGGACCCAAGCTGGGCTGGAGGTCGACGATGGCCCTAGTCCGCTTGCCCTGGGAAGTCGAGTCACCTGGTACGTTGATGTGCCCATACAGGGTGTAAGTAAGTGTCTTGCACCAAGCCAAGGGGTTGAAATGTAGTCCATCGTCAGCAATGTCTCTAATCGGTTTCCTTGGCGATTGAAACTAGATACGCTATTACGTGTTGATCTCCAAATACAGACTTCGTCACCCACACGTCTAGAGATCTCCAAAGTCAAAGTCGCGAACATCGCCACCCTCGCCCCGGAAGCGTGCCTTTATCCCATCACCTGTCACATGTGCTCAGTCATAAACAAAGTCTCCAATCGAGGAGACCGACGGTCCCAATCTTGCATGCCGCACTGGCTCACAAATCCATCTATCCGGCGCACAGCCAGCCAACGAATCCTCTCTGCCAGCCATCAATCCCAGCAAGCCCAGCTTGTCAGCGCCCGGAGTCCCGTGGCGTCGCCCCGGCCTCGAGCATCCTCCACTCTTAGTTGTTTCGCACCCGGTGCTCCACCGCTGGCGGTCACCGTGGCATTTAGTCACTATTCTTCTTGTCTCCCTTTCTCGGGAGCTGAAGACGGTCTTGTCATCAAGGTCCTCAGCTGGGCTTGTACTCGTATTCATCGCTTTATTGTCGAATACAGGAGGATATATAGGAGCATACACGCGCACGTATACGAACACGTACAATCAAAGATACTCATCTCTCGCCCAGGAACCGAAGGAAGCCAGGTTTCTGACAGCTTGCCCTGCGTAAAACGGGCTCAGAAGCCACCTCGACGCATCCGGGACCCAGCGCGTGCACACAAAAAGGACAAGGGCAGGGCAGAACGAAGGACGAAGGCCGGACCGTGAGAATCCACACGCCCCTCCTAGCCATGCCCCGTTTCCGATAATCCACCCCCGGATTTTTCACAATTCGACTCTTTCCTTTTCTTCTTTCTTTTTCATGATCCTTTTCTACCCCACGCTGTCTGTGTCTTTGTCTGTGCCGGTGGCCTAAGAACTCTGCTTGTTCAATGATTGATCTCGCTTCACGACCTCGACCGAACGACATTGCACCCAGCATAGCCGTGCGTCTTCGTTAGCCTCACAGTTTCCCCCTTTGACCGAGTCATACACACCAGTGGAAGCTGTGGCCGCGCCAGAACCAGCTTTCTAATCTTCGCCTTGTTGTTTGCATCATCGCCGTCTCAGCAACTTGATACGACTGCCCTCGCCACCACCAAAGCCGGCACATGGGATTCACACGTGTGAACGAACCACCACCTTCTGGATACCAGCTCGCATCTATCTGCCCGGAACGAATGCACATTGTCCTTCAACTTGACAGCCTCTGAGCTCGCCAAAAGCCTTTGAGAATTGCAAAGGGGCTTTCTTGCGGACGTGTGCCCGCCGATACAGTTCGACTTCACCCACTGCTTGGGATTTTTCCAAAGCGGTTTCACTCATCTACTTTCCCCGGGTCATACGTCATCCGTTATCCTCAATTCTCGTCAAAATCAGCAAATACAGCCGGCCACAATGTCTTCTGAAGCTGCGCTAGAGCTTGCGAATGCCGCCTCACCCTCAGATTCGGCGTCACCAGAACCAACGGACCATGCGGTC